ACTCGCATCCTTGCCTTCAAGCCTCCGCCCCCAGAGTCATCCAAGCCCATTGATCTTCGTGCTCAGTACAACCGGCCCCTCAAGCCCGCCAAGTCTTCGGCTACGCAGTTCCGTCGTCGAGTGCAAACTGCCCCCGAGCGGGTTCTTGATGCCCCCGGGCTTGTGGATGACTACTACCTGAACCTTCTCGACTGGAGCTCTGGAAACCAGGTCGCTATCGGTCTGGAGCGAAATGTCTATGTCTGGTCTGCCGAGTCTGGGACCGTGAGCTCCCTGCTCGAGACTTCCCCCGACACATACGTCAGCAGCGTCAAGTGGAGCGGCGACGGTGCCTATGTTGGTGTTGGTCTGGGAACTGGTGAGGTTCAGATCTGGGACGTTGAGGAGGGCACCAAGCTCCGCAGCATGTACGGCCATGACTCCCGCGTTGGTGTGATGGGTTGGAACAAGCACACGCTGTCCACTGGCGCCCGCAGCGGTCTCGTGTTCAACCACGATGTACGCATTGCCGATCACAAGGTTGCCGAGCTCGTCTCCCACACCTCCGAGGTCTGCGGTCTGGAGTGGCGCTCCGACGGAGCCCAGCTCGCTACCGGTGGCAATGACAACCTTGTCAACATCTGGGATGCTCGCTCCCTCGCTGCCCCCAAGTTCACCAAGACCAACCACCGCGCTGCCGTCAAGGCCCTCAGCTGGTGCCCCTGGCAATTGAACCTGCTCGCCACCGGCGGTGGCTCCTACGATCGTCACATCCACTTCTGGAACACTACCACCGGTGCCCGCACCAACAGCATCGACACCGGCTCCCAGGTGACTAGCCTGCGGTGGAGCAACCACTACCGTGAGATCGTCAGCTCCAGCGGCTTCCCGGACAACTCGCTCAGCATCTGGAGCTACCCGACTCTGGTGCGCAACGTCGAGATCCCCGCCCACGAGACTCGTGTCTTGCACAGCAGCCTTAGCCCTGATGGCCAGATGCTGGCCACCGCCGCCGCAGATGAGAGCCTGAAGTTCTGGAAGGTGTTCGAGCGCAAGGCTGGCACCAGTGCCTCGGCTGCTCGGGAGGGTGGTGTTGGCAGCAAGGCCCAGATGACCAAGTCCATGACCATTCGGTAGATGTTGAAATGCATGGAGCCTTTTGGAAAGACCTACTAACTATTTTGGTTTTAATATTGTTTGGCCGGAGTTGAGGGAGTTGTTCATTGTACCTAGTTTTTCCGTAAGCTGGTTGTACAAATACCATTCTTACCGCTGCTATTCTTCTACTTCTTCTTTTCCTCCTCGCTATCTATCTATCCATCCTCTCTTCGCTGTGCCTCGTTGGTTATAGTTAGTGACTTGACCTTGGCAAGTGCTGACTAAGCCCCGGTCGCAGTCCTTCCATTTCGACCGCAGTCACGCAACTGTCCCTCTTCAACTCATCGGCCACTTCCTTCCCCGGCCGCCCATCGCTTGTTTTCCTCTCAGTTCTGTCCTTCTGTTTTTCTCATTTCGTTTCACCCCCATCATTGAAGAGTCTTCACACGCCAGTGGTTTGCTGTTGCGTCATCCGTGAGGTGCCGTGCCGATCGACTTGCGCTCCGCCTTGCCCGTTGCGACCGAAGGCCTCCTTTAACGCCTCGAACCGAGCCTGCAGAACTGTCAGGCCTTTCAAGATCACTCGCTTCGGCCTCCAGGAACTCCCCGGCGCTGCTCTGTGTGGTCCATCCCGTCATCATGTCCAACACTCAAGTGGTAAGTCCGGTCTCGCGACCACCCGCCTTACCCGGCCTGGCCGGAAAGGTTCCCTCGATGCTTCCTGCCCCTCTCGCTCTGGTGGAGCTGCTACTTTCTCTCGATCAAGAGATGCTGTGAGGTATTGGCTGACTCCAGATGGTTCACATAGGGACCGGTCTTCGAACGCGTCATTCAGGAAGTCTGCGATGCTTCCCAAGTCGATTTTGAGGAAAGTGGTGTCGACCAGCAGACACTTCATGACCTGAAAGAGGTAAGCAGAACATCTTTTCTTTTCCTTCTAAGTGTTCCCATCGTGGATCTGGGGATGGAATCACCCAAAGCGGGGGGCCAATCTGAGGGGTGCGGGAAGCGGCTGCTTATGGGTGCAACGGACCTGGTGCACAGCCTCTTTATACCGTTGGCCAGCCTTGTTGGCCCGCCAAGGACCGCCTCAACCCCCCCGGTCGATTATCTCCCCTAACCACTTTTTATCATGATCTTTGGCTTTTTGCTAACCCTCCGAAAATAGACCTGGCAAAAGAAGCTCTCTTCGGTCAACGTCGCCCACTTCCCTTGGGATCCTCCTCCACCACAGCCCGCTCCTCCTCAGTCCCAAAACTCCGTCCTCCCTGCCACGGCTACTGTACCGTCCAACGCTCCTCGCCCAAATCCTCCCCAGGTACAACAACATGTCCCCGCGTCGCTCCCGCCCGTGTCAGCTCCTGCAGCTGCCGCGAATATGGCCCAGATGCCACGCATCAAGACTGAGCCGGGATCCAACGGCCAGGTCGGTCTGCCTCCTCACATGAACAACCCCATGCCCGCGCACACACTCAACCCGCAGTCGGCTCGTGACCGCGCCGTCCACCAAATCCAGCAAAAGTACGGTGCCGCAGCCGCGACTTCCGTGAACCAAATGCAGAACCATCACCCCGGACCGATGGGCATGCCGGGCCAGATGCACCCGCACGCTCAATATGCCGCCAACGGACAGATGCCCGCGATCAAAACGGAACCGGGCTATCCTGCAACCACGCAGCCCAATATGGGACAGACTGACGGCGCAGATGATGCATTAGCAGACTGGAAAGCGGAGGTCGCTCGCCGGCGAGAGGCTGCCGCGGCACAGAACGGACAGGGAGATCGTCTTCTTCGTACACAGGTGAAGACGCGAATGCTCGAGATGGAGGCCGGTGGTCTTCTTCGTCCCCTGGATGAACACGAGGCCGACTCCTCTTCCCGCGCGGCTCGCCGCGCGTTGGCTGCAAACATGCCAGCCGAGGCGTCAGTGACTCCAAGCATTCCGGGACAGTTTGACGGTGCAGATGGCGAGGTTAAGGAAGAGGCAGACGAAGACGCCATCAATTCGGATCTGGATGACCCGGACGATCTAGTTGCCGGAGAACAGGACGACGATGAGCCAGATGGTCAGGTCATGCTGTGCACATACGACAAGGTCCAACGGGTCAAGAATAAGTGGAAGTGCACATTAAAGGACGGCATCTTGACCTCGGGCGGCAAGGAGTGAGTTTTTTCTTCCATTTTTTCTCATCACAATCATACTAACATTGGTTCAGATATGTCTTCCACAAAGGGCAGGGCGAGTTCGAGTGGTAGCCAACACATCTAACCCTTTTCTTTACCATCTTTCAACGTGCACTTCCTCCCATGTTGTTTGTGATGAGAAATTTTTCCTTCATCATCCCTCGTGTTCCACTGTACTACCTCTTTTTTTCTTTTCTCAGATATCCTCCCCGTGTGCTACAAATGCCTCCCTCTAAAGCTCTGAATGAGGCACCCATCCCCCCCAAAAATGGAAAACACTCTCCTGTGATTTCGGAACGACTGGTCCCAACAAACGAATCCTCTGTTGTCCTTGGTTGCTACCCGGGCACTTCTTTTTTCCACCCTTTCTTCTTTTCTCTACATGCCTTGCCTTTGTGATTACCGCGCCGCATCTCTTCTTCTTTCCTGGCCTTCTTGAAAGTTGAAAGTCAACCTGGCAAACGGCTTTTTCCCACCTGCTTGTCCCTTTTTCAAAGGGACTTGTCTTTATTTTGGCGCGTCGTCGCGCACCCTTATGATGATTGTGTACTAGAATGCAAGGTCGATCCACACCTAGGTCTTCAATGGATAACTATGAAATTGATTTGGAATGAGCCGTCCTCGTCCTCTATCAGAGTGCTAGAGTGTATTGTAGACGTGCGCCCTGAATACTATAGCACTTGCTACGTTGTACTTCGATAATATAGAGTGAGATATAGAATCAATCAAATGGGAAATAAAATGAGAAACAATAGACAAGAAAGCAAAGTGTATGAAAAGGACAAAGAATAAACCATATCTACACGATGTGACGCCGGAGTAAGTGAAAACCGTACTTTTTTGTTGTTTCTTTTGTCTTCTTCCTTGCAGAAGAAAGACAGCCAAGCCACCAACCCCGTCATCTTTCCGGGTCGTGTGGGTGCGAGGAAGGAGATCGAGCAATCAAGCAAGTCCTCCCCAGACCAGCCTCCCTCGCAGACCAATCAAATCCGTGGCCCATCATCATCAATCAGAATCTAATGTCGTCTCCTTTTTTTGGGTGCGGCGCTGCTGTGTTCGACAGAACTCTTGGGGCAGTCGCCTTTTCGGTGGGGTTTTGTTGTTGTTGTTGTTGTTGTTCAAGGGAGCAATGCAACAGAAAGGAAAGGGCAAAAATAGCCAACCCACGCAAAATGACAAAACATGAAAATCAGAGAAAGCACACATCGTATAAAACGAACAGAAGATGTTTAACCTCGCTTTCTTACTGGAGCCTGGCAGGTTGTGTCACAAGTTGTCGTGCGTGACTCCCCACCTAGTACAACAGTCCGGCGGGAGGTTGGCGTCTTCTAGACATAGATGACCAGAAGTATCTCCTTGTTCCAGGAGGAGCTCTATTACCAGAACCCAACGTGTGGTTCTGGAAAAGGAGAGATATCGAGCATAAGACAAAAGTGAAATGCCAGTGCTAGTAAGCCCATGTACCAATACCCAACACATGGATGGAAAAAGGAAGGCCAGAAACCAAAAATCCCCCAGAAACTCCGAGGACACCGGAACCAGTAAGTCATGAAATCGTGTGCGGGAGCGAGCCTTTGAAAGCAAGACAGAAGATAAGAAAAGAGAAAAACAAGCCGCGGCTTGTTTTCCCTTTTCGCGAGAGAAGAAAGAGGCCGTTGAGGTCATCGGTTGCGTCAGTCAAATTAGGTCGAAGAAGAAAAAAAGCAAAATTGGGTATGAGAAGAGATAGATGATAATCATCATAGAAGACCTTCTTCGCCGATCCCGGGGAGGCCAGCTCCAGCCACGTTGATGTTCTGTCCTTGCATCACACCGCCGCCTAGATTCAGATTACGACCTCCAAGCTGGAAGTCTGGGTTGCAGGGTGGGGAGTGCGACTTGTGGTACTTCAACCCGTTCAGGTTCTTGTACCGCTTGCCGCACACCTCGCACCGGTATGGCTTCTCTTTCTCCATGCCGAGGGTTCCGGGGTATGGAGTTGACGTCTCGGGGTTGACGATCGAGAAAGTGCCGTCGGCGTTATCGTGTAATTGCTGGTTGTTATGCCCGTGCTAGAAAACAGTGTTAATTGGAAAGAAGATTTAAGTGTTGGGCGAAAACCTACAGCTTTGTGGTACTTGAGACCATTCTGGTTCTTGTATGCCTTCTCACATCCGATGACAGGGCACCGGAATGGCTTGGGCTCCTCGTTGGGGAGGATTGTCGTGGTATCTGGAACACCGGCAGCCAGTTGCTGCTCCCGGATCCGTCGTGCAATATCGCTGTTGGGCCCGTACTGCGCTCCACTGAGCTTGAAGTGGGCGTTGGGAGAACCCATGCCGCCATTGGGGCTAAACAGTCGCTTGGCCGGCTCGTCGATGCAGAGATCGACCATATCGTTATTATTCCCCGAAAAGCGTCCGAACTGGCCTTGATTTTGGCCCATTCCGTTGTTCTGCATTGCCAAGTCGCCAAATCCACTGAGCATGCTTTCATCAATCTCTGCTGGTGTACCGGGTCCTGAGGAATCAGGCGTATGGCGGAATTGAGACGCTTGGAGGGGGTTGGCCATCAACGTAGGAGTGTTGACGGAAGAGACGGTCGGGTTGTTCTGCAGAGAAAGTGGGAGCCCGGATCCGATTGGCGTACCCGGTTGTGACGACTGGTTGAAGCCTTGAGGAGTCGGGAGCATGCCTAGATTTAGCTGGCTGCCCGGGTTAGAGTTGCCAAATCCGCCCTGTCCGCCGTCACGTAACTGGGGCGAGAACAACTGCGAGGTAGAGGCGTCACTGTCCCCCATAGGCTCGTCCAACTCCATGTCATCGATCGTGTCCAAATCCGCATGTTGGGGGGTGGATGGGTTCTGACTCTTGCGCATGTCCAACGTCCGGTCGGGCTGCATGCCGCGACCGTTGCCATGTTGCTGGCTCTGTTGCTGTGCGATCGCGGCGGCCGCTAGGGCAGCTCGATTTTCACCCTGGCTCGGCCGGTGCCCTTGGTTGGGCGACTTAGTGGCATGCGCTTCCTCGTAGTGTTGTAATAGGTCGTGGAGGGTCGGTAACGTCACACCGCAGCACGAAAAGTCCCGCATGAAGTTGGCCTCGAGTTTCGGCAGGTACGACGACGAGTGGAATGACGGCGACTGGAAGGTGAATGGTGACGTGCCGGTCATGATAATGCTAGACGGAAATTTCCGGTCAGTCTTTTTTTTCCCTGCCATGCGGTGCGACAGAAGGAAATGCACAAGACTTCCCCCGCCGCGCGCGCGATCTCGATCTGTTGGGCCACACTCACTCATCTCGTATCCAACTGCCGACAGACACACCACCCCAGCTCATTCCGCCCACCAGACTTCCTGCGAGCGACTCCCGGCGTCCTTTGTCGCGGGCCGATCCCGCCATGGAGATAGGTTTGGTACCATTGCCCCATTGCGTGGCGGCGCCGATGGAGTCCTTACGAGGAGGAGGGGCCTTAAACATCCCAAGTCCGCCACCGGGGTGATGGGATATGCTGCCGGTGCGCTCCCCAGTGCCCGCCTTTTGTAAAGCGGACGTCAGATTCGACGCCTGCTGGCCCGGTGGGGAGACCGACGTCGACTGGCGAGTGGCGATGTCAATCGGATTAGCGCCGGCCATGATGAAATTCTCTAGATGTTGAGTTCGCAAATCAGACAGGCGGTTTGCCGTGAATCGCAAAAGAAGCCCGTATTCCCCTATCCGATCTGCGCGACAACCTGAGGGAGGGGGGGTGCTGATGACAGACGATAGAGTGAGACGCTCTCTCGCTCACAGCGGTCGGGGGAGGAGCAAGTGAAGATGAGGAAAGGGTTCAGGCGACCACGAACAGCCCTTGAGAAAGATGGGCGGACTAAGTGGGCTGGCGTTTTTGGGCGGGTTTGGACCAGGGAGTCCACCTTCGGATGCTGGCCTATCCCGCTCTGGCTTGAAACCCGCGCACCTAGTCGAGGGAGGTGGCGTTGACGTTGATGTCTTGGATGTCTTCTAACCAAGACGAAGAGGGAGATGGAAAAGAACGAGAGAATGACAGAAAGGGACCGTCCAGCGTTGAGGAAGGGAAGTGTCGAGGGAGTAGAGTAGTGTAAGTGATGATCGGGGAGGCAATGCCGCAATGCCGGTTTTGGCAAGGCGCGGTAACGGCCGGTATTACCTCACGTGTTCTCTCCGTGTCTCTCTACTTAACCACCGACGAGGACGATCTAATTGCAACAAGCGAAGTCACTCAGGCTGCTAACTACTCTTGTTGGCCTCCATTGTCCCATTATCTTCCCCGCCGGGGCGATCGCTGCAACGATGACACCAACACACCGCTTGCAGGGTCAATACCGAAACCGAGTGGTCCCCCGAACTAGTGACTAATCTACTATTGTGATGCTGATGATGATGATGATGATGATGTGATGACTGGGTCTACAAGTCTGGCCCTCGCCAAGTGCTAGCGGTGGTGTACGTGCTTGTGCACTCGCCATGGAGAGCACCGCGAAGGAGTCGGGACAACCAACACCTTCTCACACTCGCCCATGTGGAAGCCGCTCGCCTTCCCATACTACATATCGGCAACGCCCACCCGTGGTTCATCGGGCAGGGTGGATGGAGCCCCTATTTTAGCCCTTCCGAGTACCAACCACTGGTGTGAATTGGATTGATGAGGGTATACATCCAAGTACATATTTCCATCTGCCATGCTCGGGCGCTTCAATTCAACAATTGCACCACAAAACCTGGGGTCTGCAAGGGGGGCCTAGGATTATGCTGTGAGTGGCGGAAACCGCGGAACCCCGTCGAGTGGCAGCTCCCCAGGGTGTCATTTCACACACAATGGCCAGAAAGCCGACCCCTCCCCCTTTTGATCTCGACGGTAGGAAGATCCAGCGGAAATACCCCTCTGGTGCGGATCAGCATTATTATTACAGCATGGCGGATAACCGTCGCACCCACAAGAAAGAAAGCCCACGTCTGCCGCCCTTGACAACAACAGCCGGGAGGCATCGGGTCTTGGCTTTGGCGCTAGAACCGCCACAGAAGCATTTTGATCAATTAGCGTCGTCCGGAGAATTCAAGCCCGCTCTCCCTTCCATTCGCCCTGCTCCCATCACACCGCCTGTAGTTTCCGTCGGATGATGAGGTCGTCCGTGTACTCCGTGTTCATTGCTTTTATTACGGTTGTCCTGACGAGGTCACATTCCGCCCTCCTCTCCTGTTCGATCCGGTGTGGTGCAGAAATATTCCTGGGTTTGGTGTAGTGACCCACTCTCGTGCGAGACCAGGAAATGCAGCCTCCTCTTATTTCGGTACTATAACACTGCCAATGGAAACGGCTTGCATATTACTAGCGTAAAGTAATTGGTTTATACAGAACTCTATGCCACCAGGATCATTTACCGTTCTCTTCAAGGAACTATTGATTGTCAAGTGACCAACTGATGGTCTATGCAGCCCATAACCTAGAGACTATCCATACCCTAGAGCCCCATAGTGTTATTATTAGTCAAAGCTAGTGTGTCACTAATACGTCACTACTAGGTGGGACCTGTTCCCTTTGAACACCGACGAACTAGTCTATTGGGTTGATGAACAGCTCATGCGCTAACAAACCAATAATACCTATTTAGCCCTGCTTTTGGGTCGTGTTATTGATCTCAGTACTCCAAAATAGTTCCCCCTTATCAGGTCCTGGAAGAATCAAAATTTGTACGAGTCGACCGAGGTTTGAAGTATCACAATTGTAAGAGTTCTAGTGTAAAGGGCTTGAAGGCTTCTATAGAAGGCTTGGGGTATTTTGCAAGCGTTTCTCATTGAATATTGTGTTGGTTTTCTTCTTCTTGGTATCTTTTTTAATGATTCGATCGTGACGGATCGGGTACTCGCAGCCAGGGTATCGGCAATACTTCTCGTGATGGTAAATCACGGCATCGGCAGGGTCGATTCGCGGGAGAAGCTTGGCATCCTCGGCATCCAGCTGGCCGTATGCCTTTGGAGCGTTGTCCGACCCGCTCGGAACCTCTTCGATCTTCAGGTAACGCCGCTTCGGAGCCGGTGGTGCCTTTAGCTTCGGGTCCCGTAAGATCTCCGGATTCTTCGGGCAGATCTTCTCGTGTCGATCGAGCGCATCTTTGTGCGAAAAGCCCTTCTCACAATAGCGGCAATTCAATGCAGCTTTGCGGTCCTCCTCATTCTTAAACTCATAGTGCTTGTGGTTCCGGTGAGCCACAAGAAGCACAGAGTTGCGGAGGACCTCGAGACACCCATTGATACCGCACACATATCCACGGCGGTTGTAATCTCAACCCTTGCGGACATTGCGCTGGTAGGTGTGCTCTTGGCCTATATTGAGTTAGTTTGTTAACATAAAAATCTCCAGGGCTGACCTACCAGCCGCTTTCCAATCGCTTGGATGACCTTTGCGATGTGGATAATGTTGAATTTCTCGACGAAGAGCCGGGTGGAAGCGAACGATGAAAATTCGTCGTCTTCGGCGTCAAGATCCCAGATCCCCTGCCATAATGGCGTTGGCCACGTCGGGATCGATGTCGTAGAATTTCTCTTCCCGTGGGTTGTTCACATCGTCCGCGTAAATGCGCAGTCGAACTGCAACATTCAAGTCAACTGCTCTATAAAGAGCCTCTGGAAAGTGCCTTGGTGGGCCGTGAACCATCCCATCCTGCGACAACAAAGAGAATCTCGCAATCTTGCTCAAGAGCCTGCTTGAACAGAAGTTCAAAGCGATCCATCAGATACCCAGCCTTGGGTCAAGGCCGTTTGGAACTGAACGAACGCGAATCTCTCGAGAGAACGGATCCCAAGAGTACCATAGCTTTACTCGTGATCAGCCATCACAGGTTCCAGCGATTTAAGTAACCACTTCATGGTACAGTCGCAGCGCTTGGTCGGGCAATAAACACAATGAAGAGGCGATGGATAGAAGGGATGATGGGATGGAGAGAGAGAGGAGAATGAAGAATGGCAAGTGCGAGGCTCGTGCATATTTATTGACCTCGATCTGGTGGTAGTCACGTGGTCGTACTCCGCCATCCAACTCCGCTCCAGGCAAACCGGAGGACCCAAGCGATCCCCTCTCAAGATGCTAACTACTATATAGGAAGGACGAGAACAAGAAGAATTGATTGATTCTTCATGGTTTTTATTTTTTTCACTATTTTTAATATCATTATTTTAACAATTTTGTAACTCTGTTCCCAAAAATGTGACAAAATCTTTATGCGAAACTCGTCAATTCAAGCCTTCGTTCTAAAAGAATACCTTCTAGTATCAGTTATACTATATTAATGCACCAAGTTGATATACAAACTAAAATGGAAAAGATTTGTCTGCAACTACAAAAGCAACAGTAGATGAGCGGCGGGTACACCGGATTTCATACCTCGGGCCTTCAATTCGGACTATTGATGAACTACAAAATACTTTTACTAGCTCAGAATATATAAAATAGATGGACGAATGACCGCTGAGATAGACATCTCGTACCATATCTTCGAAATATCAAATTAGTATAGAGTCGTCTTGCATACTGAAATGAATAATGCAAAAACTTCAAAAACATGTTGGACGATCGGCGGATCGAACGCCGGACCTCTCGTATGCAAAACGAGCGCTCTACCACTGAGCTAAACGCCCAATTATGACAAATATAGCTTTAGATGAGTTGATATACAAATCAGTAAAGCTTGCATTCGGGGTAGGAGAGAAAGAGAGCGTATACTAGAACGAAACGCGTGATCGGTTCTAATAGCACATAGACTCCTAATCTGGTCTTTGTACTAGTCATACTAAAGCCTTTATCTAATCTAATTATAGTTATATCTTTCAATTCGCTCGTCGGAAGTCGTGGTAGAGCTTTAGGGTCCTTTCTACAAACGTGCCGAGAAATCGGTGCCGTGATACTATATGTCGAATTCCAAAGCATTTTAGGCTTAAGAAAATACAATAAAGACTCTGGGTGCCTTTAACTATAATTAATACTCGAAAACGGAAGCAATTCGCCCAAATTTGGGGAAGATATAGGTGATTTAGAAATGTGATCTTTTTCGGATGAATGATTACTTCAACGTAGATCTAATTCTTCTAATGGGTCTTTCGACTCATTGTTTCTGTCTTAGGCATATATACATACTTTCTGAGACATTGTCTTTATACCACTCGGATTGCACAGCTTACCTATCAAAGCTTGCAATATTGGTTGTAAAGACTCAACCCAGCGCGAACACTTGATGTCAATGCAGACTGTCGCCTATTTGCGAACTATCCGGAGAACACTAATGGCCTTGAGAAGTAATTACATCACATCTATTAGGAAGTTAAATTTGGCGGGTGATCAGAGATTTTCTGTTTAGATCTATTTTTTGCAACACTCCAGAATATGTTTTGCGCAGGATCCCAACCGTTCTTCGCGCAACGCCTGAAGAAGAGTCCACCATCCCTTCCGGACCCCCCGCACCCTCCCGAAACAAACCAACTCTCCAATCAGTCCGCCTTTTAGCCGACATTGATCCTTTTCCCATTGAGTTCCTCGATCCTCAGCTTGCTGATATCCACACCCTTCAGGGTCCGTCCCTGCCCTCCTATTATAAGCCAACGGAATACTAGCACTTCCATACCTACAGAACTTACGTTGACAGCCACAATGCCCTCATATTTCCCGCTCTCGGCCCGAGCATAAACACTAGTCCCGCAGTTAGGACAGAAGCCGTGGGGGAATGCCATGCTTCCGAAACAGTACTCCTTTCCCAACCGTTAGTAACTAGATAGTAACACGCAAGAGGAGGCGGGGAGGTATGATTCAAACCTTGACAGCACCAGGGCTGTTATGGAAAGTGATATTGTCTTTTTGAACATAAACCAGGATATAGCCGTTGATGCTACAGATCGAGCCTGTACGGTAAAAGTGGGTTAGCGCTCACGATCTTCTCTTGATTTTCTCCGCACTTTAGTCTCACGGAGGGAAGATCTGTACAATTGCATGTGTTGACGACCTGCTCTTCTATGGGCGAACCGAGCTGCGCGGTGAAGCTCACTCCTCCGCAGTGGCAACTGCCGTCATATGAGCTCAAGTTGGCTGGAGATTCCGACATAGTGAGCATAAATTATGGATTGCTTCGAAATGTCTAGAGAGGAGAGTACACAGTGTATTAGGGCGAGATTTACAGAGTCATTGAGTCACGACTTCTGCTTATGGTGGTTTGTCTTGGCACCCTCCAATGAAACTGCGTCGAGGCAGCCTTTGTGAAGGTAGTGCGGGGTAGTGCCCTTATGAGACATTGTGCAGCTTATCTGGGTCCTCCTTTGAGTATCAGTATCGCCAGACGAGGTTTGGTTGTCGTGATTGGCCCAAGTAGAACACCCAAGGAAGGCTTTATACGAGCTGAGAGGGGAAATTGTTCAAGTTTCCAACACATTCTCTAATCCCACGACTTGATTCCTTTTCTTCACTGTCCCTCATGACCACTTATCAAACAAGCCTAAGGAAACACACAAACTTCATTGATTGCCAGTTAGGAGGCTTTCTGGCTCCGACGAATGGTCCTCTGGTGAGCTAAGGCAGCTCCTGAAGCTACGCCACACGAATCCTAGTTCTGTGGGTGGTTTGACCAACCCTTGTCTAAGCAGAATTGAAGATGGACGTTGGTACTGCAATCAAGTAAGTGGGTATAAACAGAGCTTCTTCCGGTGACTGTTGTCTATGACCAGCGGTTGCTAATCGGCCTAGATGCGTTATTGTGGGCGACAGCGGGACAGGCAAGACCTCTCTCCTTATTTCCTACACAATGAAGGAATTTCCGTCAATGGATGTTCCAGCCCTTCTCGATCCCTGCGATGTTAGCATAATGTAGGTTGGGTCTATCATTCGAATAATGCAATAGGATAGACTTCCGCTTTGTCCATTAAGCTGCGCAATTTTGATGATGAATGCACATACTAATTTCATTATAGGGCTGCAGGCAAAAAGCCGCATGCTGCGATTATGGGACACCACCTACGAACAAGGATACACTCGGTTGTCTCCACTCTGGTATCCACACACCAATGTGTTCCTTATATGTTTTTCTATCGCCTCACCGGACTCCTTCGACCGTGTTCGTGAAAGGTGGTTACCGGAAATCCGCCACACGTGTCCTAAGGTGCCGTGTCTGATCGTTGGCACAAAAACCGACCTACGGGATGATCCTGCTACAAAACAAGAGCTGCCGAAGGAGAGAATGCAACTAGTACGGTATAAAGACGGTGTGGAAATGGCAAAAGGTCTAGGGTTGCAGTATATGGAGTGCTCTGCACTTACTCAAGACGGATTGAATGATATATTTCGATCAGGTAAATTACAAACTCCTTAGGTCGATGGTGTTCCCGCTCTAATAACCCTATCTAGTCGATTATTGCTGCTCTACAGCCCCAAACATCGGCGAAAAAAACTCGATGTTTAATACTGTAGCAGCCTACCATACCATATTTCAGTGCGTATCCCTAACCTAGGCATGTATGTTGCAGGACTAGAGACGTCCCGCGTCTGTGAAAAGAGCTCGAAGAACAGTACCGGCGCATGGAGCTCGCAACTGTTTGCGGGACATTGCAGTCATTTCAGAAACCAAATAACCTTTCACTCTTCTGTCATGCCATGAGTTTGGACTGTTTGAGGATTGACGCTCGTTTATCTTGCAAAATACAATAGACCCTTATTTCGTACGACTGCGTTGAAATATTTGGCTCACGGCAAATTAGCTACCCCCTCCCCACTGTAAATCAGCCTCAGCCCGTTGCAGCACCCCATCTTACGTGGACAATCTCGTCAAAGACTGGCCAGTGCATTTATGCCCAAATCCGCCTGGTCTCCTTCCTTTCTATAAAATCACCCGTTAGCTGTCTTTTAAACCGATAAGATGGCCTCAGTTGAACGACGAAATCTTGTCCGGATGAGATGATTCTCTCTGGAATATTCCCGGGTGTGATCGGTCTCAAGCCAACCAGCTGTAAGATTATCTCAAACACATTTGATACCTGTACGTTTAGTATTCAGTTCGAGACCGTGCCACTGCCGGACTACCCAAAGGATCTCATTGTCCGACTCGAGACATCGAGAAGTCGTTTGGCCATTTTGGCAACACTCCAGCGTTTAGCACGTTCTCAACTCAACGATTTAGTTCCATCAGTACTGGATGTCGGCACCACGATGACTGCAGCCGCAAAAGAAATCGAATACCTTGTGACCCCATATTTTACGGGAACGATTTCTCTCGAAGATGTGTGGAACACGCTCGACCAAACCCATCAGCTGGAGGTGGTAGATTCAGTTATTCTTGCTGTGGATAAGCTTCAGAAGCTAGACCTTGGCAACCTAAGCCAAAGCCTAGCGGGGACCCCTTATATCTCAACCAACGATGCCCCTCCCCAGCCTGTGAAGATTGCGATCGGTGGTCCTGCGCTTGGATATTTTCCAGACGTTAAAGAGTTCTTAGGTGGACTCCTCCAAGCGAGCAATCAGAAGCCACCAGGTTGCAAGCTGCTAGAGATCGATTGCGGAATTACACTTCAGTCTGCATATGCAGATATAGGTCGGATCGATTTATCTCGCTCCGACCTTGATGAGCTCCAGCACCATGCCGTCTTCTGCCACAACGATCTTGAGCCCCGCAACATCCTTGTGAGAGAAACATCGTCTGGGAAATACGAGCTGGCCGGCGTGATTGACTGGGAAAGGGCGGGTTTCTTCCCATTTTCCTACGAATATGGCCTCAAGGATACGATCTTGGGCTCCTCGAACCTATATTTTAGCTGGTATACTATGTTCAAAACCCAGGCATCTCATCTGTTGCCTCGAGCGGAGTGCCATGTAAAACTTATCAAGGCGCTCCCTGATTATCGCTAAATCAAGAAAGAGATCCATGACACGAAATGTCGGCGTACGGGTTCAGGCGAAGTGGGTGCGGCGGGAGCAGGTAGAGGAATCTTCAGACCCCCCTCAAGGTTGGGTTCCCAGAGCTGATGCGAAACCTCCGAAGGGGTTTACGAAAGATGACCAAGCAAATCTTGAGCTGGAGGTCCTGAAGGAACTAGGGTGTGTATAGAATATTGAATCCAGGAAGCCATTATTAATATGCCTGGCTTTGCGTTAATCAAAATTCCAATATTTGGCTCTCAGCCTTGTATAACATCAGCATTGGGAACTCCGCATCTAAACGAAACGTGGCAGTGATGTGGCTGGCAGGTATAATATACACGAAGAGGTGAACGAGGCCGCCCGCCAGACCAATAAGCTAAGTTAGTCCGAAGGGATAATGTATAGAGAGGTCTAGTGAGATTGAATGCAATAAGCATGCTCTTGATACGAGGTCCATGGATACTATAGGCCCAAAACTGCAGCCGGGAGATATATCACCATATGACCAATGAGTTATTGTTATAATCCCGTACCTTCTAGTAAAAGTCGGTCGAAATCGATGCAGTAGGCAATATTTGAAGGGTCGTGCTATTTGCACAGCCCAATTAGACGTGGGGCTGTGCATGTAGCCGACCCTAGTTGGAAGGCTTATTTTCCTAACCCGATTTAGACCCGTATGAAACGGGCTCAGTCTCTCTCGGGTCTGCATGATCTCACGTCTTCATGGGATCCTTTAGCCGAGGGTAATATGTCCAAAAGCCATTTAAATGGTTATGGCAACCCTGGGATTACTTAAGTCTTGAAACCAAAGTATTTCATAGTGCTAAACTCAACCAGTCCTGGGGAGCAGCAGTGCGAATTATCTCCCCATGCGAGGGCTTTCAGTACTGTCCTGATGACATACATCGGCTCGGTCATTGCAGGAGCGACTAGTGGACATTACGTCGCCTTCTTTATTGCGTGGGTTTGTTGGCTTGCCCCATTACGGCTTTTGGCGGTAGGAATCTGGGCTCTTTTCGAAGCCATCCGCGGGCGCCGATTAAAAGGGGGTGACCAGTATCACGACTTCTGGAACCGCTTCGCCATCCTTAGTTGACTTTTTACTGCGGACAGAGCTTGGGACACTCCTTTTTTCCGAGGATCTGTAGTCAAGTCTCGCCCTACTGCCCTCCATTGGGTGGGTTGGGCGTACAGGAATATCTATGCTCCTATAAGTCAGATCCTGTGGGTCGCCGAGAACTGGAACAGCGCGAGCGCTGGGCTCAAGGTAGTCAGGGCTATGGGCATGTGGGTGACTGCTCTTCCGTTCACTATTGACACCCAGGCCCGATATGGAGATGACCTGGAAGAGCTCGTACCTGGTCACGTTGTTGATCATCAAATATAAACATACGCTTCTACCGAACATGGTTCCCACCTTCCAATTATAGATAGTATCCTAAGGTCATCGAGGGATAAAACAACATGAGTGGCCGGAGAGATTTCGGCCCGAGGACGCACTAATAAATCAACCCATGGCTGATCTGGCGCAAGGCTGATGGACATTCACTCTTACCTCACATTTGCCATGTCAGCTCTGCGGCAACCATGGAGGCGCTGCCAAATAATAACCAACCCTCTACAAGTTCGAGATCCGGCGGTGGATCACCCGCTCCCACATCAAAGCGGTCTCGGGTCGTTATTTCGCAGTCGAAACGAGGCTGCGTGACTTGCAAGTATGGGTCTTCACCCTGTCATCTTGCCGCCAATTCGACTGACCAGATGCAGGACACGCCGGGTCAAGTGTGACGAGCAAAAGCCTCTATGTCGGCGATGTGTTCAAGCAGGTCGACTATGTGGTGGTTACAACCACGAAAGCAAGCCCTCATCGGCCTTGCGACCTGCTCTGAAGATCGGCGTCACAGCGGACCGCCATACCGAGAGGCTATGCTATCTCGCAGCTCATGTGCTGTCTCTGGACAACAACGGCCATCCTCTGCAGGAGGACGATGTCTGGGGGCGCATCTTTCTTCAGCTATCGAATCAAGTCGAATGTGTCAAGGCCGCTGCTGCCGCATTTGGGGCTGCGTATGAATCATCGCTCAATAATGCCATAATAAAAAGCCCTTGTTCCGTCTGGCGTTGCTACGGCTCAGCACTGGCAAGGCTCCAATCGGATTTGAACGACGGAACTGCCGGCCCAGAGTCCCTGGCTCTGGTATCAGTGATTCTAGCCTGCGTTGAGATCCTAAGCCAACACGAACAAAATGCATTCGCCCATTTTCTTGGGGCCGTACAGATCGTGACCAAGACCTATCAGCGTCGCCAGGAGGCTCCATCTGCTGACATTCTTAACACAATCAAAGACGAGCTAGTCAAAATTGACGTCTTGATTGGCAGCTACGCCTTGTCCCGAACGCCGACAGTTGTGTACCTGGAATCTCAAGAAGGCGCTGGAGATGATGCGTTCCGTGAGCCGAAGCTTGCTATTAACGCCGCGATGCTCTGCCTTCACCGATCATATCAATTCGTAGAGTCGGCTTTCCGGCTGCGGTACACGTATCCGAGCTGGAAAGAGTATGATCCCATCATGTGCAAGGGTCAGTCTGAGGCGGTGACCCAATGTCGTTCGGTTCTCGATGGCCTTGCGGCGCTTGCCACGAGACTGCAAGCCCAATATTCGTCCGCGACGTCTACACTGAGAGATTCGGAGACGCTGGCGGAGATTTATGCCATGCGCACACAGCTGACCGCGACTATAATCTTCCTCTTGTGTGTTCACAATCCATTTGAAACGGGGTACGATGAACACCTGGACCGATTTCGAAGCATCGTGAGTGATGCTGCAGCGTCGGCGCGGCTGAGGCGGCGGACCAAACCCAGCGCTTTCAACCGCTTCTCAACGCGTCCTGGTATTGTTAACCCTCTCTTCATCGTGACTTTGAAGTGCAGAGATCCGCTGCTGCGTGCGTTAGCGACGACGATGCTCAACGAACAAGGTCGCGAGGGGCCTACCGATGGACACATCATGGCAGCAATTGGTGCTCGACTGGCTGCCCTTGAGACATCTGCCAGTGTGCCTTCTTCCCCCGGCGCTCCGCTGGCTGCCTGCGACGTCCTCGAAAGACAGAGGGTTCACGGCTACTCGGTGCCCCCTCCAAGATTAAATGGCGAGGGCCGCCGCGTCGTTGACGTTGTTTTCATGTGGCCAAACCCGCCTGTCGTGCAAGGATTGGGCCGTGTTGATTACTCAACCCAGGATGGCTGGACCTACCGATCGGAACCTATCGATATATAGACTTCGTTCGATCGCCGCGGCGCTGCCTATGTGTACGAAAAGCCTCCCATCCCCTGTTTGTATATGGAGAGACCCGCGAAATCCTTGGTATGCTGCTCGCACCGCCTCTTGGAGCGCCTCTACTTCTCGTTCATCGCGAATCTCTAGGCACCAGCGTGGAAAGTCTCGGTTTGCCTCTTGGCCTCGTCGGGGTCCGTCTGCGCGTGATAGCAGCTGAAGCTAGCATCATGTAAAATTGGACTATGAAGGCAGTATAAGCAAGCCTGCATGGACTTGGTTTTTGATGCAGCATGCGGACGAATCAGGCATTGACAAACCATCAAAGACCGAGATGGCCTCCACAGCTATTCTCGGCGAATCAACGGCGACGGGGTACTTTTCATGTTGCAACCTGTACCTCGAATCGCTGCTTAAATCAGCTTAGCTCGATAAACACCGAGCTGGGCTCCACAAACACCGATCTGAGCTCCACTGGCTGTTAGTGGCTAATTAAAAGCCATACTTAGAGACCCCAGGCAACACCCTATGTAATAATAGATACTCTTTCTTGCTGTGTCGGAGCCTCCAGGATCCAACACGCCAAGAGCTCATATTATATAAAGTAGACGATACGGTCACCAGGATCCCCTGAGAGCATGCCTTCAAATCAAACCTCTTCAAAAATAGCTGGATTTACTCAGTGATAATGCGTCTCCTTACTATTTCCCTTCTCCTTGGGGCCGTGCAGGGCCCTCCTCGTTCCCCCTCCACCAGGCCCTTACTCCGTCGCCGTCAAGCCCTTTGAACTCATCGACCCGAACCGCATCGACCCCTTTGCGCCCGAGGCCAATACCAAGCGCCGCTTCATGGTTTCGGCATATCTCCCCGTCGACGCCCAGTACGGCTGCAAGGCGCAAGTTGTGCCATACATGCCACCTCTGACGGCGAGCGTCTATAGCAAAGTAGGCGAGTCCCTAGGCTTGCCGAAGGGGATAATTGAAAAATTTGAAATGGAGCTTTGCGATATTTCGACAATCAATTTGGGTGTGAGCCATAGGGAGAGGAAGAAGGAGTTTCCTGTGGCTGTGTTTTCGCCGGGGTACGGAGGCACGAGGCTTGTATATGGTGCGCTGGCGAGGTCGGTAGCGAGTCTGGGGTATATCATCATGACGGTCGATCCTACCTATGAGGCGGCGGTCGTCGAGTTCCCTGATGGGAGCGCTGCTTACGCCCAACCTTCAGCTGCCTCGAATCAGACGTTAACTCCCCTGGAGCTAGAGGTAAGTCCAACCCGGTTATCGTGAGTGAACAAGTCTGTGAACAGCATAGACTAACATATCCAGGTCCGCACGGGCGATGAATCCTTCCTCATCTCCCAACTCTCCAACACTACCTTCACAGACTCCCTCTTTGCCAACTTCCCCGGCACCTTCAACCCTAACAAGATTGCCGTCTACGGACACTCCTTCGGCGGGTCTACTGCCGCCGAAACCGCCCTGCGCGACTCTCGCGTCATCGGCGGGCTCAATATTGACGGCCCCATCTACGGATCCGTGGGCAAGCAAGGCATTAAGGGTAAGCCGTTTGTGCTGGTAGCTAACGGCGGCGAGCCCGTGGTCGACTTCGACGAGTTTTATAGAAAGATTGACGCCCCAAAGATGGACCTGGTTGTGAGGAACACGCAACACTATGCCTTTACGGACGTGCCGTTGCTGCTGACGGTGTATCAGATCCCGCCTGCGTCGCAACCTACGGTAAACCAGGTGTTCGGGACATTAAATGGGAAGAAGGTTGAAAAGGCACTGGATCAAATCACTGCTGGGCTGCTGGAGTTCCTCTTTAATGACAGGACGAAACCTCTCAAGGATGTGGCTGGGGATCGTGACATTGATGTACTGCACAGCGATCTGCGGAAGTGCAAGTAGGTTAGGATAGAACCATAGCTCAATTAGAGGGATATACAATAAAATATCAATCTAGCTGATGAGACATCTCTGCCATACTCTGACATTGCTCGTACATACTACCTGTTCAAAGAAAGACTATGTGTTTTTAGTCTCAGTCTCAAACAAGCCTTTCATACTGTAATCCGATAGTGACAACTGCAGGAGGGTGTATAGACGTTGGAAGCAACAGGAGGAAGGGAGAGGAAAGGAGAGGAAGGGAGAGGAAGGGAGAGGAAAGGAGAGGAAGGGAGAGGAAGAGGAGAAGGAAGAGAAAGAGGATGAGGAAAGGTATGATTTGAATATGCAAGCACAATGGAAGTGGACGCCTCAGACCACAAGCAGGCAAGCATCGTTCTGTACGGTGTTCTTTATGAATTATGAACAAATCTGCAAAGGCGAACAACATGCTGCTATGTATGCATTACATGCTCCAGTTACTTGATAGTGCTATCCAAATAGAAATCATAGCTTCGCATTCACACTCTGCCCCTGCACCGCACGATCCACAATCTCCATCGCCCGGAGCAGATCATAGTCATGCTGCTTAGGCGTGATGACCTGGACACTGAGCGGAGAATCCAGGTATACGCGGCGGTCGACCGTTTTTTCGTTCCCTGGTCGATCTATTAGTAGAGTTATATGGCAAGAAAAAAGAGGAAGAGACGTACACAACAGTCGATTCGCCTTATCCCAGCTTCCCAGCACCGGCGCATCCATTTCACGGCCGCTTTCAAGATCCTTCTCACCAAACGGCCGCACAGGGACCACTCCAGCCGGGTAATCAAGTAGCACGAAGGTGGAGGTATAGCCCACAGCATTGTAGCGGTCCAGTTCAGGGACGGGATGCGGCGCGACGGGGCAGATGATAGCGTCGATACGACGCGTATGCTTGGAGGAGGAGAGAGTCCACATCTCCATCATCTCCCTCTCGACCTCTGCTCGCTGGGCCTGCAGTGCCGCCAGTTGATTGATATGCAGGGCTTTGCCGCGCTTCATGCGGCCCTGCAGCCATGGAATGAGTGGCTCGCCCATACCCTCAATCAAATCAAGCATGTTGGATCCATCGTCGACGCCCATGAGGCGGCCAGCTAGGGCTTGGCATTTGGGAAGAACTGGTGGGAGCGGGATGTCGATGACTTCGACGCCTGGCGTGCGGCGCAGGAGGGTTGCGACCTCGCTTAGGATGCGAGTGATCGGTGGCAGGGGAGTGACGAGGCCGTCTGTCTTTAAGACGCCCACTGTGAAGTTCCGTGGAGGTGACAGGGAGATCGTTGGAGACGGCCAGTAGCCAGGGATACCGTCCTCACCGAATAGCTCCGCGCGAGGGACAATCTCCGCCATCACGGCGTCGAGATCTGCCACCGACCGAGCCAATGGCCCAGCCACGGCTTGCAGCGCAATGCGTCCCTTCCCAGCCATTTGCCCGCTCTCCTGTCCACCGAAAGGCACACGTCCCTGGCTGGGCTTGAATCCATAGATCCCCTGACACATAGCCGGCACGCGGATGCTGCCCCCGATATCTGTGCCGAAGCCGACCATCGACCCATGCATAGCGACTAGCACGCCCTCGCCGCCTGTACTGCCGCCGGCGGTCCACTGGCGGTTTAGCGGGTTCAGCGTGCGCCCGAAGAGGTGGTTGCAGCTGTCCAGCGTGGCCAGGGTCTGTGGGATGTTCGTCTTGGCGATCACCACCGCGCCGAGCGATTGCAGTAGGTCGACGAGTGGTGCGTTCGCCGACGCAGGCTTGAATGCTAGGGCTGACAACCCGATACTCGAGTCCACACCCTCTACGCAGAAGGTGTCCTTGACGGACACGGGTAGGCCGTGCAGTGGACCGACGGGGGTTCCCGTGCGCTGGAGGTGCTCGTCCAGCTTACGCGCTCGTTGCAAAGCGCGGGTGAAGAGAGGTTCTGTCAGACAGCGCGTGAGTTGGTGGGCAATTGCCGCTCTCTAACATAGGTGTCAGTATAACTAGCTACCAGAGGAGAAAGAAAGACTCTACTTTGCAAAACCCTTGCACCACCTCTTCGGCCTTCAATCTCCCCTCCGTCATCTCCGCCACTAATCCGCGCACATTGTACTTCTCAGTAATATCCAGCTCTTGGGAAGTGAGAATTCCACATGTGCGCGGGATCTCCATCACGTTGACGCGCCCGTATTTCTTCGGGCCGTCGGTGATGGACTCGGCGGGCGAGAGCATCCCCGGGGGAATGAGGTGTGCGGGTAGGCGCCATTCGGCAGGGATAGATGCAGAGAGCTGGGCTTGTTTACGCTGTGCGACGCCCACATAGGCGGGTGACTCGGATACGGGCATGGTAGATGGTGGATGATGGATGATAGAGGTATGGTAGAACGGGAAAGAAGAAGTTGGTTTGATGTTGTTCGGCTGCGGGGAGTGCGGAGAAGAAACCTCGGCTGCTCATGGATTTATGCCGATACATCAACTACATCTACCTCACAGTCTAGGTAGTGAACTAAAAACGCGACACATCCCTCCCAAACAAATTGTTCAGCAACCACCGAAACCCGACCCGCAACTTGTTACGCCAGCTAATGCTCATCGTGAGATACGCCGAGTTCCACACCAGCCAGGCCGTGCGCCCCGTCAATCCCTCGGGGAGGTACTTGTTGCGCATGCTGCCATCGGCATGATCATGCGGGATTTGCATCAGAGCCCGCGCGTTGCCGATGTAAGCCAGCGTGCCGAGATTGCGGAACGAGAAGGGCGGCGTTTGGGCTAGGTCATCGCGATTCAGGTGGGTTGCTAGCCATTTGGCTTCTTGGAATGCGGCCTGGGCCGTGGCGGGAGGCGTGCCAGTCTCGGACATGGCGGTATCGCCCAGGGCGAAGACATCTTGGAGCACGGCCGTGTGGCCGGCTTCGTTTTCCAGCTGTACGCGAAGATGGCCGTCCACAAGCAATGCGCCCGTTTTGGGAGCTTTTTTGTAGTGCCACTGTGTGTTCGCTGACGGATCATTCTTGAGACGCGCCGATTCTGTCGGAAAGGCTTCGACAGACGCCAATGAATGGCTGACAAAGTTGGTCATGGCGTTTCCAGTCACCCACACGCACAAGCCGACGCCAACTTCTCCTTCCTCCTTCGTCTTGAGCGTGAGACAGTGTTTCGGGTCCATCTCATACGGCGGCTCCGCTCCCGGAGAACCCCAGCGCAAGCCCTGAACATGATGGGAGGTCTTGATCTTGATCCCTTCGCTCTTCATCGTCTCCATGGCGTACCGCGAGAGCGACTCGTCAAACATGGACAGGACTGAGGGCGCAACGTCGTACAACGATATTTGAGGAATACCTTCCAGAGCAGGGTATATCTTCATCATATCCGAATAGATAAAGTCGCGCAAAGACGCTGCCAGTTCTGTGCCAGTGGGACCAGCCCCAACAATAGCAAAATGCAGCAGCCACTTCCGCATCTCTGGGGTGGTCGTGGGCAAGACGGCCAGCTCGAAGCATTCACGTACGCGGCGTTTCACCCGTTTGGCGTCGCCGATATCCTTGAAGAACATGGCATTCTCCCGCACACCGGGTGTACCGAACGTGCGGCTAACGGCGCCGACCGCAATGACCAGTTTATCATAGGGAACCTCGAACGTCTCCCCCTGTTCCCATTGACGTTGGGCCGCTGGCTTCAGAGACCCTTCCTCGAATTGTTTCTCATCCTCCGTTCGTGGCGTCTCGGTCACCCCGCTCTTGACGACGGTTGCCTCGCATAGAATTGTTTTCTTCTTCAGGTCGATAGCACGCGCCGCGGCTTGGATGAAGTCGACTTTGGCGTGGTGGTCCCGCACTGGTTCCACGATATTGGAGAAATCCAGAGATCCGCTGGCCGTATCGGTGAGGAGAGGAGTAAAGACGAAGTATGAGCGAGGGGAGATGATGATGGGCGAGTAGGTTTTGGGTGATAGTTTGCGCGATAGGGTATAGCCGCCCCAGCCAGAACCTAGAATGACGACACGCTCCTTGTGACGACCAGATTCACCGGCGGCAGCGGAGTGTTCGATGTGTGTTGCGAAGCATCTCCTCGTAACAGCTTTGGGAAAGTTGAGCCGAACTGTGGACAGAAGGACATGGCGGGCTGGAGACCGCACCACGCTCAATGACAAGGGCTGCATTTTCTACAGACCTGATAGCTGTAATGCGGCATTGTTAGTCGTGGTTCAAGGTAGGTAGGTATATAATGACGGGAGCTGCAGATGTAGTTAATAGACTTTTCCTTCTGACACATCCATGACTTCATCCTCGGCAGGGCCATGAAGGAAAGAATCGGAGAGGAATTTTGAGGCTATCTGGAGCTCCACTAAGCTCCAATCGCGACGGGTGCTCATCCCTCCCGTCATTAAGTTTAGTAGAATTGCGTGAAGCCCACGGCGCGACCCGGAAGTCTTCGGGAACGTCGGTGAGGAAGAGTAGCACGTGCCCCTCTCGGGAGAAACAGGCTGCGAGTGAGGTTTCCATGGTCAGTAGTCTGCATCCATGGTCTTTTGTGTCAGAGAGAAAGAGAGAAAGCAGTATTAGCATGTGCTGCAGTCAAGAGACAAACAAGCAAGAAGGGACAATACGGATGGTCACGTGATGTCATCTATACAAAACTCGGCGAGTGGCGAGTATTCTGCAAGTGACTCATAATGGGCTCTAGAGTGTATAGAGATATCTGCAAGAGCTGAATGTGTGAAGCTATTGATGTGGTAGTACATGGCTGAGAGGAGTTTGACGAGAAACTAGCTAGGATCATCCTCAATCCAGAATGCAATGATATCGCAGATTGCAAAAGCTACCCATGCGAGGTATAGACAGTGTTAAGGAAACGTACGGCATCATCGTATACCCTGTCTCGCAAGTTAGCGTCGATGAAGATTGAAGGAACTGGATATATTGGAGTTAGCCCTAGTCCAAAGGTCATAGTAAACGTGAATCCATACTCTCCAACCATCCATGAAATTGATCCTCGAAGAACTCGCACTCGATATGGTAGGCTTCATCGATTGCATTGCCTTGCGAGCCGTTTGAAGGACGAATTTTACGGTTGAAAGCCGCAGCCTCTTCTTTTATTCTGTCAATGAACACTAATTGTTCATGCAGAAGGATATCGACCTTTGCTCCAAAGAAGAGTATATTCCGCGGCAAAGACTCGATATCTGCGAGTATAGGATGCAACAACGGGCTATCACGGTACTTTTCCCGCTCGGGACCTGCATAGGCATCCATTAAAGGTAAGATGAATGCCAAAGGATCCTTGGCGGGGAAATTGATAGGCTTCGGCTTTTCCCACGGGGGTAGACGAAGATCAACCTAAACATACAGTCAGTGTGTACATTAACCTATACACTCTTATTAGCATATCACCTACCGGCGCATCAAATGTCACCGATGCTTTGACAGCAAATTCCGACCGGGACAACCATTGCGCAGCCCCTAGTGCTAAGTTCCCACCAGCTGAAAACCCGCTCACACTCATAACTCTCGGATCCGCCCCCCAGACTTTCTCAGCATTCTGGATCAGCCACTCCGCTACATCTTGGACATCCTCATGTGCAGAAGGGAACGTGTAGCGCGGAGCATATCGGTGTGAGGTTGAGACAACTAATGCTCCGGTTTCATTTGCAAGTTTGCGACAGAAAGGCGCGTTGCTTTCTGGTAATCCGCCGATAAAGCCGCCACCATGAATATTGAGATGGAGAGGCTTTGATCGCGACCGCGAATTCTTCTCAAAAGGATGGTATACGATAGCACGGACTGAATGTCCAGGAGAACGCTTCAAGGGAATCCAAATTACAGTGTGTGGCTGTTCTGAGAATAACGTGGTCCCTCGGAAAGACTGGATAGTGTTTGTGAGGAAAACCAAAGGTTGAAAAGCTAGGAGGCGCCAGCGAATTCCGAAGGACAGGGACGGGCAGAACAAGGCATCATATACAGGACCAAACCATCGATAGACGAGAGACATGGCGATCGGTTCTCAACAACAAAAAGCAAAAAGAAGAGGGGATCGCAAGAGAGTCAGTGCATTCTAGGTTTCTTCTGTCACGTGTATCTGAGGAGAGGGGCAAGGAGCTAGCGTGTGTAGTATATCAGTTTCGTGTAAAATACCTTGTCTAGCACTCGATCTGTGGATTGAAGTGTGGACGATCAAATTCTATCAGGTCTCGCACATTTCGGATTTAGACTCTGGGAATCACGTCGCAAGAGTGTGGAGGTATAACTGATTTCGAAAACTAGTGTAATCAACAGGTTGTTTCTAAGTCAAAACGATTGCTACTCATAGACCTACTATAAATTCATGACCAATCAACTCCTTTTGGGAGATTTAGCTTTACATCAAATTTGCCTCCGTAGATTTCAAATCACAATTTTGACCAAGTTTCTGGACAACTTCTACATACCAGAACACAATCTAGGTCCTTGAAAACCAACTACAAATGAGTGGCGTTGCGTGGCGCTCCCGTCGTCCTCGGAGTTAGGGGCAGATTACCACATTTGGAATTACCCGTCGCGGGTCGTCGCCCGATCATACTTACTTTCTATACATTTCCAGGGCATTCACGGATCATCCATCTGACTCATACACTCTATTAATCATTCTCGGCCAGTCCCAAGTCCGAAAGCAGGATAGCTGCCGTTCGGAGAGTTGTTTGGCCCGAAGGCAGCATGATTGTACGTAGGCCTATTCGTGGTGACGAAGCTACGGCTGCCTGGGGGCAAAAAGTATACCGGGGTCTATATAAGTGGCATACATTTCCATCCTTTATGTTCTGCTGTTCTATCAGCGAATATTTGAATATTCTTCCAATACTTGGAATACTTCTCTGTCAATATGGCGAATCTCTACTACCTCAATAACCCTCCCCATCCCCTTTGGGACTATATCTCCAGTGCCCTCGAGGAGCATCCCTTCTTTGCTCCTCAGGGTCGCCACCCGCATAACCACCACCGTGGACCTCATCCGCATCCATTCGGAGGGTGGGGAGCTACACCCCAGGCCGAGGACGTACCCCAACAGCCTGAGGAACAGCAAGCCGGGCCGTCCAACAAGCAACAGAATGAGGATAACTCATCCTCGTCATCAGACTCCGAGCCCTCAGGCGACGAGAAGAAGCACCGTCGCGGAAAGCGTGGTGGAAAAGGAAAATGCAGGGCCCATGGAAAGGGTTGCGGCAAGGGCAAGCATGGACCGGGCCCTCATCACGCCGGTCCGTTTGGAGGTCCTTGCGGAAGAGGCGGTCCTTACCAGCACCACCGCGGTGGACCAGGCGGCTATTGGTTTGGAGGCCGAGGAGGCCGCCGAGGACCGCGAGGCTGGCACCACGGCCCTCATCCCCATCACCATGGGGGACCACCTCCATTCGCACAGGGAGGTCCCGGATTCCCAGATTTCAACTTCCTACGCAACCTAGGCGCCCAGTTCGGCTTCCCCTTGGCAGCGGAGTCACCAGAGGGCGTCGACTTCGTACCAACTGTGGATGTCTTCGACATGGCAACCAAATATATCGTGCACGTTTCTCTCCCCGGCGCAAAGAAAGAAGATCTCAGCATCGACTATGACGTCGGCGAGTCCGTGTTGCGTCTGGCAGGTGTTGTCTACCGCCCTGGTATCACCGAGGATCTGCACCAAGGGCTCGTGATGGAAGAGCGTGCTCGCGAAGTTGGCGTGTTTGAGCGCGAGGTCCGCCTCGGCACGCGCGCGGCTCCGGCTGCTGTTGTTGTCGAGGAGATCTCGGCGAAGCTGGAGGATGGTGTGCTTAATGTCACCGTCCCTAAAGTTCAGGAGCCGGAGGTGAGCCAGAAGAAGAAAGTTGTTGTTGTTGAAGAGGAGGTGAATGAGAAGGATGCGATGCATGTGGATGAGAGTGACAGTGAGACGGCTACGCCTGATGAAGGGTCTGAGGGTAGCGATGCGGAGGGTGAGGCGAGGGAGTATGTCAAGGTTGCTGTGCAGTGAAGAGGCAGCTCCATCTAAATAGTTAGGTTTCTAGTTTTCTTGGTTATCCGGTGTTTTGGTTCTAGTTCTATAGTTATGATTGCTTGTTCTTGAAAAATCATTGCAACTATTCGGGTCTATTCTGGGCTCGAAGGTATACATGTCCATCTTTATAGCTTTCCTGTAGCCGTCTTTATAGTCCAGTAAACATAACTTCCCAGACTTCTTTCACTAGCTAGAGTAGAATGCTGTCAGTTCCAGTCGAGCTTCTGAATACCGGGCGCCGGCGCTGTTCTGCCGGATGTGCGACGGAGATTGAGTCACTATCCCTGCATCCTGCTCGCCGGTGGACCCCAGACCCGGGTACTCGAACACTACTTTTGGATGTCAGATAACAACAAGAATTTTAACAGGTAACGAAGAGCTTTCCAGCTCACCTTGCTAGCATGGCTGATGCGGTAGAAGCTGAAAGTGGTACTACGACCATTTCTCATAGACGTCCAGGGGGCACATGCCCTTATTGTAAACATTCGGCGGCAGTGGGAGCTCGTCGTCGGTTAGGTCTATTGTTCCGAGCTTTCTGAATGGGTTTGGGAGACTGCAGAGTAGCGCCAGATACTCACATATGTCCAGCCTTGTTCGACATGTGAGCCGCCGTGAGGAACCATATCGACTGGTGTAGGCGGGTTGGGTGGTTTTTGACGCGACGCACTTCTTTGGGTTACCGCACATAACCGTGTGAGCAGTACGGACGTCGTGAAGGTCTTGTGCATTAGGATTTTGGACATCCCCACAGTGGTCGTAGGTCCATTCGATGCCAGCCTTGTTATCGGCAGCCAACGCTAGCTCAACATGTGGTTGTGAATCCACTCTGCGTCGTGCATTTGACGATTGTCACGGCGCTGTCGCCAGTAGGATTCGCAAAGAAACCCAGCGAAAGCATCCAAGGGGTCAAGGGAGAAGCGACGTTTGATGGCCACATCGCAACGACCCAAAGTACCTTGCTTGCGACGGCGAATAATACCCGCTCGTCGTGCAATACGGTGGGTGCTGTCCCGCCTTCTGATGCAAGCAGCATGCCCGCTGTAGCATTGCTTGCCTACTTCGCTGCTCCGAGCTTTGGCCTCCTCGATTTGTCGGAATTTTCGTCGCTTCTTGTACTCATCGATTCGATTTCCGGGATCTTCGGTTTTCTCTTTGATCCTCTGAGGACTCGTAGAATCCATGATGAGCAGCCGGGAGGCCTTCTGATCGTTTCAAGTGACTCCTTTCTGCCTCCACTCCTAGTATTGTTTTCTATCGCCGGGCTGGCCTTGGACTCCATGCTCGTTCGCGACCTGGAAGTGCTCTAGGAGCCTTGTGCTAGAGAGACAATCGGTGATATTGAGATTGTCATCACAGTTTCATAACAACTCTGTCCATTCCAAGATCTTCACCAGATCCATCTGATGCACCCAACATCATCTTGTCGATCTACCACAGATGAGCATCCGAGGCGGTCCCAAACGTCAGAAAAGGGAACGAACCAAGAAACAAGGCACATTTCTCTTGTCAGGTCTTGCAACGCTTCGAGGCGGCTATCATGAGGGTAGCATCACCGCTACCATCCTTCTGGACCTTCTTGCGACACTTGTTGACGGTCGAACGGAAACACGACATACGCCAAAACACCTGGAGAACCAGGGCTGATTCGCGACTGGGATGTATGGTTTGCGCTTCGATTCTTGTGGGTTCATAAAAATGGCGTGAAAGTAGTATGACCGTATTAACTTGGTAGCCGGAATTTGAGAACCACCAGTGTGTATCAACTCGTGGTTGTGCTTCTGATTCCGAAAAACCCGTTTCACTAACGAGCGAAGGCCACTTCTCTATGGCATCGTGATGAGGATCTCTTGACGGAGTAAGAGACTGGTTGGCCCCGCCCGTCTGTAGGGATTCTGGATAGTGTAGAAAGGAAGAAGTGGGAAGGTGAAAAGTGGAAAGAGGGACAAACAATGTCTTATATAGGCAGGCTATGGCGTGGGTGCCAGCAGGCCTGAGGTGTCCAGCTTCCATTTCCCTTTGTTCTCTATTGAAAGGGTAGGTATAGCCTATTGATGTTTGTTTCTCGAGAGATATTACGTAGTTTACGAAACTCCCTCAATAAACAAACCCTTTTATGCCACTCATCTCACCAAAACCCACCGTCTCGGCCAGGCTAACCATTCCTGAAACCCAGGATGTACAATCTTCCTTTCAATATCCTCAAGCAACTGTCGCGCTGCGCCCTTCGCAAACCAGTAATGATCCACTAAATGCAGACGTACGCACCAATGCGCAAGAATAATCAGTGCTGCGGGCTGGTGCGCTTCTAGGTCATCGCGGAAACGTTTTGAGAGCCGATATGCCCATAGGAGGATCATGCCGAATTCAATATTTGGGCCGGCGAGCTCGATTTGGCGGGTGGACTGTTCGAGGGAGGAGAGTGCTGTTTTGTAGTCGCTGAGCCGGTCTTGGTCTTGGTCTTGATTAGAGTGGGATGTATTTGACGATTGCGGGAAAGAATAGTCTTGGATGAATTGTCGGAGTCGATCAAGCTGTGTCCATGTATCTGGAGGAAGGAGGGACTGTTTGATTGTCGACGGACTTCCAAGAACCATGTTAGCGGGTCCATTCTTTTGATAGTCAAGTGTCAGAAGGCAGACATACTTTGGTGGCATCATCTCATCCTCAATCCAAACGGAACAAACAAAAGGCGCCCACTGGGTCCTTTTCAGCAACGGTAAAAACGGCTGCATAATAGTTTGAAACCCCGTAATAACCGAGAACATCTCCACCATATTTGAAATTGGTGCCGGCCAGCGATCAATACCCAGACGCAGTGGCAACGCGCACACGTGCACGGTGATCATCGACGCAAAACAGAACACCGGCTGCCAGTTGCTCGGGTCAATAGGGGAGGCGATCAGGTCCCGGAACTCTTTTAGGCCCGCGGCCTGGTGATAGGCTGATGCCTTGGTGTATCGGTCTCTCTGGGCGGGATAGAGGTAGGCGCGGTGCATGGCTGCTATCGCGAGGAGGCCGTGCATGACGTATTCGTTGGAGTAGCCCTCGACGGGAACGACGGACTGCCAGGTATGTCGGGCGTCCGGGCGGATGGCGAGGGTATTGCAGGTGACAGTGCTGAAGTGGTGCATCAGCTCTAGGTCGAGGGCCCAGTCTTCTTTGGAGGGAGTGTCCTCTGGCGAGGTGCATAGAAGATCCAACAGATCGGCTCTGTTTTCTGAAGAGGATGCTGTCCAGGCATGAAGTCCGGATGGAGTCGTTACTTGAGATTGGGGCTGTGATGGCTGCGGTCGCGTCGCTGGCAGCTCGGCGGGTGTTGACGGTGCTGGAGACGCATCGCTTGGCTCAACTGGAGCGACATAGCTGCATGGAATGTCATGCTTGACACAGTTGGTGCAGGGATATCTTTCATTGCACTGTTTCTATTAGAACTTGAGTGCTCAAGGGAATCGAATCAACATACTTTCAATCTCCGTGTCTTGCACTCTCGACACCCATTGCGCGACTTGCGATGCGATCTCCGTGGGCCCATAGCGCCGTGCAATAGTGCTGGTGCAGATGTTGTAGATGGTTAAACGGACTCGAATACGGACACGGAAGCGAGTGCGAACACGGATCCACTGGCCCCACCTTGAGGAGTGTCAGATTGAGATTTTCTGCGATAGGCGCAGCAACTCCAGTAAGTATTAGTTCCTATTCTCCGATTTAGCCTGGAGCCTAAACATTATGAGTGTTTAAATATGGCGGTCCCCTCCGCCATGTCAGATAGACAGTAGGAAAACAAAATGAACGAGTGGAATCTGTACGGCTACACGCCGTCCATCCCCGCAGCCGTCATCTTCATCATCCTCTTCGCCTGCTCAACCACCTACCATGGCATTCAGCTCACCAAGGCGCGATGCTGGTACTTTATTCCCTTCGTGGTGGGCGGCGTGTGTAAGCAACTCTTCCTGCACCGGAACAACGGCAGCCCTAATTGACAATTCGGCAACAAAACAGTCCAGATAATCGGCTACGTCTGCCGCGCCGTTGGGCACAATGACCTCGCCTCGGTACCCCTCTACGCAATGCAGTCGCTCTTCATCCTGCTCGCGCCGCCCATGTACGCCGCCTCCGTGTACATGGTTCTCGGCAGACTGGTGTCATACCTCCATGCCGAAGAGCTAAGTCTTGTTAATGTGCGGTGGATGACCAAGATCTTTGTGTCGGGCGACGTGCTTTCGTTCCTGACACAGGGCTCGGGAGGAGGTCTCATGGCTGGAGGCGGCAATTCGCGCAATATCGGCAGTTATGTCGTCGTCGGTGGTCTGGTGATCCAGCTCGTCTTCTTCGGATTCTTCGTGATCACCGCTGCCGTGTTCCACGTCCGCATCAACCGCAATCCGACCTCCAAGGCACAGGCGGAGCGCGATATTACCCGTGCTCAGGGATGGAGGCAGCGCAATTGGGCCACGGTGCTCCTGGCGCTGTATCTTGTCAGCGCATTGATTTTGATTCGGTCTATCTTCCGTCTGGCGGAGTATCTCTACGGGTTTAATGGGTTCCCCATGACCCATGAAGCATTTATGTATATCTTTGATGCTTTGCTCATGTTTTCGGCCATGGTGGTGATGAATGTTTATCATCCCGCCAGTATTTTGGGGGATGGGAAGGTAGGGAGGGAGATATATGCGGATGCGGTGGAAGTGTAACTTTCCAAAACTATAGACGAAGACAGTAAAGACATGTCACCGAATGGCATTCCAGCCACACTGCGATATAAGGGATATAGTGCGACTAGACATTCGCTTCTTCAAAACACAATAGATGCAGTATATACTACTATGCCACGTTATCGTTGATAGGGTCTAATGTATTCCACACTAGCCCGCTGAAAGGTCGATGGCCTTGCACTACCACGCGTAGAAGTAGGCAACAAGCTGGGCCCATAGTCCAACTCCGCGCTTCTGCGCGAGCGAGCCAAGCTAAGAATCTTCTCAATCTCCAGCGCCTGCAGCGAGTCGTCTGCCGAGTGGCGTTCAGTCGCCTCTCTCCGACGAGACAGCCAGCCTCGGCCGCGGAGCGTACCGAAGAAGTCACTGATATCATCGACTGAGAGCGCAACCAGAATCAGGGGGATGGAGATGGCGAAACCGACGCCAAACGTGTACTTGGCGACATAGCCCAGGTTCAGGTTCTGGAATTCTTTCATGTTAATGGTGAATATGGAGGTGATGAAGGATAGCGGTAGGAAAATGATGGTTACGATGGTAAAGACCATGATGGTCTTGCTTTGTCGTGTCGTGCCTGCGGCCTGGTCGCGCGCGAAGCGGGCCTCGAAGGCGTTGGCGTGTTTTTGTTTGAGGTCTAGAAGATCGGTAATGGAGTGGTAGATACGCTCGGCCTGCTTGTCCATGCGGTCTATGTCCTTGAGGTGCATGTCGATTGTGCGCTGCTGGTCCTTGAACCGCTTTTTCACCTCGTACTGAGAGCGGTGCTGCGCGTAATAGATTTCGCATATTACTTCTTGGAAATCAGCGAGGACGTGCTTCTGGTGTTCGAGGACTGTGCGGATCATGTTGAGCTCGTCGCGGATGTCCTTGGTCTCGGCTAGAAGATCGGTTTCCTGACCGATGTCCAGCAGCCTGTCGACGAAGAGTGGTTGGTCCTCGTCATTTTCCGAGTCATAGTTATCTGCGGCGTCGTCCTCGTCTGCTGGGTGGCCCGAAAGAGAGCGAGCCGAGTTGCGGAGAGGTTTGTTTAACTTGCGATGGTTCTTGAGCCATCCCGACGCTTGTGCTGAGGCACGGTTAAACCGGTTGAAGAGGACTGTCTCTTTATCCGTGGCAATGCCGATAGACGACTCGAACATATCCAGGAATTGATATTCATCATCGCCCAAGCGGTGACGGTCAAATACACCCGAACATCGGTTGGTAATGATAATCGCCAGATCATAAATCAACTTGACAGGCTCGCGCGTCTTGGAGTTGATATCTTCGATGATCCCATCAAGCACATTAAGCGGATCATTCTTGGGCTGATCCCACCGCTGCGGAAACCCTGTGACGATCAGATTCGTGCCCAATATCCACATCCACAACTGATCAACCATGAAAATCTTGGGATCCTCGCTGGTCCCTGCGCGGCCGGGGCCTTTGGTCTGGTAGCGGTAGACCACTTGATCCTGATCACGACTCTGAGTATCGATGTTCGGGTAAAAGAACTGGTCCAGCGTGCGGCGGACATGGAGAGAAGTTGATGAAGACGACAGATGTGCGTCAAGCAGCATTTCATCCCGCGTACGAATCCTGCTGATTCCGCGTGGCTGGAAAAGAGAATCCATTTTCTCTGCTCGTTGAATAGCTTCTTGCATCTTCTGCCGTCGTTCGGCGGTCTCGAAATGCAGATATGGTAGGTAGACACAGACATTGCATGCAGACACCAGAGGGTCTTTACATAGCGTGGTAGTAGAGAGCGATGATCTTGGTTGCTGTGGTCTATTCTCAGACCTGGGCGTGCTGGGACCACTGCCCGGCTTGCTGCCGGCTTTTTTCTGAATCCCCTTCCCTTTCTTCACCGAGCTCTCGTCGACAGAACATGAATTCACACGCTTGGGCTTCCCGCTGATTTCCTTTTGCTTGCGACTAGCGGGCGGGGGGCCAAGATCTGGTGTGTTAGCTTGAGCAGCATCTGACGACTGCTCCTCGAAGCTGCTTTCCTCTTCTCGACGCCCTAGGCTGCGCGGAGTATTCTGGCACAGCGGACGCATGAAATGCGAGTGAGTCCTTTGACCGCGGTGCTGGTAATTAAATGACTTCTCCAGACCCTTAAATCCATCGACATCGTGTGCCCCTTCTTCAATAAACGACTTGGTGAGTAGCGCCTCCACCCAAGCCATATTGTTAGCCGGGAGATGGATCCAGCGGAAATCGGTGGCCCGACTGTCCGCCGGTACAGTTGTTACGGCCTGCTTGCGCGGATTCTCTGGGTCTCTGCCATAGAGCAGCTCAAATACAGACATGCGCTTGACGCGGTTTTCGTTGTGGAAGTTGCCGAAATCAACCACAGTCGCATCGAATGCCCGACAGGCATTCCGTGCATCCTCGGAAAGAGACTCGACATTGTTGAACGGCGCCAGCAGCAGGACAATATCCTTGCGTTTGAACTGCGCCGCGCGCAGGAACGGCGTACTTCCAAAATTATCCCGCACTCGACGCTTGAGATCCGGTCTCTCCAGCAGACACTCCACCACTTCGGTGTGGCCACCCTGCGCCGCAAGATGCAGCGGCGTCACGCCGTTCAAAAGCTGGCTGTTGATATGAGCTCCGGCGCGCAACAACGTCCTCACAATAGCCACAGAACCCCTCTCACACGCATTATGTAGCGGCGTCCAGCCACCATCACTGCAGGCGTTAACCGCCGCTTCATGCTGCAGCAACAGCAGCACGATATCCTCGCGATCATGCGCCGTCGCAATATGCAGCGCCGTCTTCCCTCTCAGCTCGGTGGCATCAATCTGCGCCCTCGGTCCATCCGGTCGTGTAAGCAGCAACTCCGCGAACCGTCGATTCCCCGTCGCGCAAGCCCAATGTAGCGGCGTGCGTCCCAATTCATCCTGGCCCTCAGGCCCATCAATCTGACACTTGGTCCCCAGCAACAATCCCACAATCTCATCCCCCCAACCAGAGCGACACTCCTTATCAGCAGCCAAATTATGCAGCGCATTCCTCCTCCGCAAATCGCGCGCATTCACATTGGCACCGCGCATAATAAGCAATTTCAGGGTCTCGGCATGATTGCGCCACGCAGCGCTCATGAGCGCCGTGCGGCCCTCCTTATCCGCCGAGTCTGGCGCCGCCCCGTGGTCGAGCAGCACTTTTACGATTTCGTAGTGATTGCGCTCGACGGCACGCAGTAAGGGCGATAATCTGTTCCCTGTGACTTCTGTCTTTGCGCCGAGGGCGAGGAGGAATTCCGTGGCGCGCACGCTGCCGCGGTCCGCGCTGCGCATCAGCCCCACGCGGAGGAATGCGTCGCTAAATTGGCCATGTTCGCGGGATAGGCCGATTATGGTCCGGAGGGACTCGAGGTCGTCGTGCTCGACTGCGCGGAGGAGGCGGGGTTCGAGGCGCTCGTGGCCGTCACTTGTTGCGCTGGAGCGTCGGGACCGGGGCATGGTGGGGTGGGTGTGGCCAGGGGGTCGTCTCGATAATATCTATATTCACGGCATTGACTCTTGAGCTGGTTAATCCATTATGGATGTGTGGGGATCTCCCGAGGATGGCAGGTAGTGGAAAAGCCTGGAGTGAACGTAGCTGAACGAAGAGCCTCGCCCTAAGTTTCTTCACAGAGTTCACTAGCCTCTCCTGATCTAGCCTTGGCTCTGGCGATCGAGACCGGTGTGGCTGATGGACCTCGACCCCCTTCCTCTCTATAGAGGTGAACTTGGGTGTTTACTCTACAAATCAAGAAGAAAATAAACAAGCGAACCATGGATGAAGCATCCCGAACCGGCATTTATACAATATTAGTGTCTATATACCTCTATCGGCCCAGGAGAAAAACGGTCGAGCACAGAATTACAAAAAATAGGGATGATGGCAAATTCCCATGGGAATCAAAAGAAAAGGGGAAAGGGAAAAGGAGAGGAAGGGACACGAAGTGGGGGGAGAAGGAAAAAGCCAACACAAAGACAGAAAACGAAGACCAACCACAGTTCCTCCACGCGGAGATTGCTGATGTTGATATGCTGGAAATAATTATGATGATGATGACGGTGCTCAATGCTGTCCTTTCGCTCCATGTATGCTCCCTTCTTTTCTCTCCACCGGTAAATGAAATCGATTAAACAAGATAGACTGCTTTTTGTGTTTCCCTGTGCAAGCACGCCAATTCCCCAAGTCCCGTGGTTTTGTTGCATGTACCGACCACCATATGCGCCTATCAACAGAATGAAACCAACCGAACCAAGGAAAAGAAAGACAGAAAAATTAGTGCTTTTTGCCCTTGTGCGTCTCTTTCTTCGGGACTTCTCTCAGGATGTCGTCGAAGCTCATGTTCGGGTTGAACCGACTAACGGGTCGTGCGGGAGGTTCAATGGGAGCAATGCCTGCGGGCAATGGCAATGCTTCCAGGCCCGGGTAGATCGAGTGTCGATGGTCAGCTCGGGATCGCGAAGCAGGCGAGCTGGTCCGTGGAATAGCGGGCGGAGGCGGAGTGAGGCCACCGCCAGGCATCATCATTGGACTCGGCAGCGGGTGATCCGAAGATGATCCGATCGAGGACTGCTGGGCCTGGTAGGGAGATGAGATCGAGGACTCGTCCTCCTCAAAGGTATCCTCCACCATGGGGGGGTCGATCAGCTGGTCCGTGCCCGCCCACTGTTCAGCCATCTGCCAACAGTGGCTGCGCCGATACACGCCTTCCACACCGTTGATCACCACATCCGACGGGAGACTGACAACACCGGCACCGCCGGCAACACCAAACCAGCTGCGAGCGGTCTTGGTGTCATTGTGGATCCAGGGAGCACCACCCCGAGGGGCGATACAGAGGAAATACTCCACATTTTCCGTGTAATGCAGTTCAGGCACATCCACCACGAGCATGGGCAGGGACTGAATGACAGCGTACAAGAAAATCCACTGTCCACAGCGCAAGTCAATGAGATCGTCCACGCTCTTGCCATTTGCGCACCGCCGTTCAAACTGCATGAAACTCTCGATGAACGGCGTGGGTCGCATGCTTTCCCGGGTGTACGAATTCATCAGCACAGCGTTGATGTCCGAGTTCTTGAGTTTCTTGGCCCGCTGCTTAGCCTCCTTCTTAGGGTCAAGCGGTTTCCGTTGCAGCGGTTGCACAGACGGCATTTGCGGGATGTCGAATGGAATCGGGGGGAGAACGGGTGGGGTGCTGCGGTCGTACTCGCTGAGAACCTGGCGCAGGGAGCGGACCAACACCTCACTTGGATCGGAGGAGATAGGGTCGTTGCTCGCGGCCGAGTCCATGGTGCGCGTAGTGAGAGAGTTGCGGTCTACCAACAGGTCGTACAGATCGGTAAAGTCGTGGTAAAGATCCAATGCGAGGAGTCGGTTAAGCCCGCTCTCCTCAAACTCGTTCTTCTTGGATCGAGCCTTGGGAGGCCACGCGCCATACTTCTGGCGGTAGTATTGCAGGGTGAATCGGCGAAATTCAAGGAAACCGGATTTCCAGATCTTGAACCGTACAACCTTGCTTGCCTGCGACGTGGTTGAGTTGGCAATGCCCGAGAAAACCGACGGGAAGTCAAAGTCCTGGAGCTTGCCGTACAGCCCACGAAGGCGCGAATCGAGATCGATGAAACCGCGCTCCAATCGTTTCTGGGTGATCGGGTGAATGAATTGGTATTTCTGGCTGCGAATTTGCTTGAGCTCGTCCAGCTTTCCGACTCCGTGCACAAACCCTTCCAGGTAGAGCGGATAGTAGCGCAGGCGCTCACCCAGCACAATGGCCTCGATGGTCTTTTCCCGGCTCCGACGCACGTCTGACAATCGCAGTTCGTCGCAGTAGTTGCTGAAACTGGAGGTAGCCGTCTCACCGAAGTTCGAGCCATCCAAATTGGAGAACTCAAAGCGGGCCAGGAGCACGGCAATATCCATGAAAATGGTGAAGAGGGAGGAAGACTTGGGCGTGGCGATCAGGGACTGGCCCATCAAAAAGGAGAACAGGTTCCGGAACAGAAGCAAGGTCTCGGTGTCTTCCTGGGTCAGCTGAAATTGGGGGACGCTGACGTCGCTGTTGAGAGGGATCGGCAGGTAGAGGTGTAGTTCCTGGAAGTCTTCCGGCCCGTCATCGAACGAGTCCATCCGCTGACTGCCCGAACTGTCGTTGTCATTGTCCGCCAACTGATCTTGCGCACCCAGTGTCGGGGACGCAGGGTTGTTGAGCGAAAGGGTGCGTGTCGGTTTCTCTAGGATTCTCGCGTTGGCATCGGTGCCACGGGCCAGGTAGTTGAGGGAGGGAGACTCGGCGAAAATGGTCGAATCGATCTTGAATGAGGCTGGACGGCCGGTGTTTTGGGGGAAAAGGTACACATAGGTATCGCCATGTTCGTTCCACAGTTCGGCAATCTGGCAAAAGCGTTAGCTGGTACACCCGGCGGTTCCGAGTTTCTGGGTCGGGCACACCTGTTCTCCTCGCGATAATGGTCCCAGATCGTACACAATCTTCTGGTCCAGCCCTGCGATCCACGCCGCCGGCAATTGTGGCATTGGCATCACCGACGCTCGCTTTTCCACCGAGTTGGCCCTTGAGCGACCCGGCATCCAGCTTCGTCGTTTCGATGGTGTCCCAGGCCGAGAATCGGTGTTTGTGCGGGGGATGGCTAACCCAGCCGAGCTGGAGGGCCGACTAAAGTCGCGTCCCCTGCTCTTCGGTCGGCTGTCGACCGGTGAGGTCGGGGCGCTGCTGGAGAAATCATTGTTCACTTGGGACAAGGGCGGTGGTGGCGGTAAGCCCTCCAGGTCGAGCCGGTCGATACCCTGGCTGGGGACCGTTCGTGGTTCCGAGTAGAGGGCCGTTGGGGTCGATACATGACGGGTCAGACGAGATGTGCTTTGCCGTCGGCGTCGCTCGTTTGGAATGTGATCTGATGAGTTGAAGGTGGGGGATGATGGGCCTTGGTCTTTGTGGGAGCCCAGGGAGAAGAGAGACGAGATGCGCTTGGCTGACTTGACAGGAGCAGACAGCATCGTGGTTCGTCTGGTGGAGAGGAGGAGGAGGATGGGGAGGGAGAGGGTGGAAGAGGGTTAATGTGAAGGTGACGGTTCAGGTGGAAGGGGAAGATGGGCGGGAGGGAGGGAGGGAGGGAGAGCGAGTGGGTATGAGCGGGTGAGGTCAGGAACGCATGGAAGAATGACAAGTAGCAGGAATGGATCGGCAGGAGGGAAAGAATGGCAGGGAGAGAGTGAGAGAATGAAAGAGAGAGACAGTCAGGGGGGGCGTGGGTTGTTTCATAAATCAGGAATTATCATATAGACAGCAAGAAAAAAAAATTCTCAGGAACATAAAAAAGTAATGAAATCGGTGCTAAGTTCGATCGGGTTCTTTGCATTCCTATTTATGGCAGTGCTGGGTAGGGTGGGCCCCCCTGAGACACGATGGACAGAGGCCAGAGAGGATCGTTCGATAGGATACTGTGTAGGATCAGACTTCTGTCTTGTCAGATCGTGAATGATGATGATGATGATTGTTTCCACTCATGATCGCCATGACATGTATTCAGGAGCACCATCCTGGTCGGAGGGGAAAGGTATATTTACATCGTCTCGGTTGCTACAGTTCCTATCGATCGGGTGGTTCCGCACTCGCCCACAACTCTGGTTGTCTCCAATCCAACCATCCCTCATCATGCCACATCATCCGCCGCCCCAATGATGACGACCCCTGCCGATGGCCCTGCCTTGGCCGCCACCACCACCACCGCTACCGTGCCCTCCCCGATCGACCTGTCCACTGGCTGGCCGAACCCCACGCTCCTCCCCGCCCGAGATCTACGCGGCTCTGCCGATACCGTGTTGACCACCCCGGCCATTGCAGACCCAGCCTTGCTATATGGCCCCGATGAGGGCTACGGACCGCTGCGCGAGCACATCGCCCAGTGGCTGACGGCATTTTATCAGCCACAGGAGCCTATCTCGCCGCAGCGCATCTGCATCACCGGCGGGGCGAGCCAGAATCTGGCCTGTGCCCTCAACGTCTTTACGGATCCTGTCTACACGCGCAATGTGTGGCTGGTCTCGCCGACGTATCACCTAGCCTTTCGGACTATGGATGATGCCGGGTTCGCGGGGAGATTGCGCGCCGTTCCTGAGGATGATGAGGGGATCGATCTGGAGTTTTTGGAGAGTGGGTTGCTTGCCGCGGAGGAGAAGGCGAAGCAGGAAGGGAATACGGAGCCGGTATTTTCTCGCAGATGAGAATCCTGGAGAGCACATATTGATTGTCTCGCAGAAGATGAAATCGCCGCAGCCCTGGCGGAAGATTTACAAACACATCATCTACACCACCCCGACCTTCTCCAACCCCTCCACCAAGATCATGTCCTACCGCCGCCGAGAGGAGCTAGTTCGTCTAGCGCGCAAGTATGATGCGCTAATCATGGCTGATGATGTCTACGACATGCTGCAGTGGGCAACAACGCCGACGGGCAAACTCGCCGCACCCGACAAGTCCTTCCTCCCGCGCCTGGTCGATGTCGACCGGTATCTGGACGGCGGGCCGCAGGACATATGGGGCAATGCAATGAGCAACGGCAGTTTTAGCAAGCTGATCGGGCCCGGGGCGCGGACTGGATGGGCCGAGGGAACGGAGCAGTTTGCCTTCGGGTTGTCGCAAGTGTATGTCCTCCTGTGGAAATATTTGTGTTACACACTCTAACGCGGTAGATATCCAGAGGCTCATCCCGGTCAGGCGGTGCCCCCTCACAGCTCTGTTCCGCCATCATCGACCAACTACTCCCAACGGGGATATTACAGAATCACATCACAGATGTCCTCCAGCCCGCCTATGCAGAGCGCTACCACCTCCTCCGCACCGCAATCGAAGAGCACCTCATCCCCCGTGGTGTGACCCTCCCCGCGCCTTCCCCTATCGCTGCAGGCGGGTACTTCATTTGGATTGCGCTACCCGCTCCACTGAAAGCAGAAGAGATCGTGTCACTGTCCGAAAGCACGGAGAACCTCCGCCTCGCACCGGGCGACATGTTCCAGCTCCCGGGCGACACGTCAGCGGCGACAGATGGTAAATTCAACAATTGCCTCCGCCTGTGCTTTGCGTGGGAAGAGCCACGTCACCTGACCGAGGGCGTGCGTAGGCTGGCGCGCGTCCTGGAGCGAGTCCAAAAGTAACTTAGAAGTGGCGCAGGCACCATGGGTCAGGCCAGGGGAGCCCGGCCGGTCCGTGCCGCGGATTCGGAATCGGACTGGACTGGACGCGTATGTACTACTAGGCTGCCACACCGTCGTAGTGCATCGTTGTAAATAGTGATGGAGTAGGAAGGGATATATAAGACAGTGGCAAATGATATATATATATATATATATACACTAGCTGCAAACACTGCGCCTCATCTGATCCTCAGTTGGGATTTTCAGGGCGGAGCACGGAAGATGCCGGGGGATCTGCTGACTCGGCTTTTGGATCGGGGCCGGGTGTGACTACAGAGTCGTAAAGGGACCGAGAAAGATATATATCCCGTGGATCCATGGATATATATATTGGAAAAATCCTACGCTCCGAACCAGTTGACTGTGTATCTGGTCTCTTTGGCGACAAGAAGGACATACACACGGCTCCTAAGGACCTAGTGGCTGACCCTAATACCAATCAACCTGCAACAAACTACTGTACTACCCTACATAAGCACAAACCCGTCGGGGGCCAACCCAAAGCTTGGCTTTTCTGTGGCGTGCCTCTGCCGGTCCTGCCATTTATTGCAGTATTACAGTATGTACAGAGAGTTACATAGTGCACGTCGTCGATCCTGTTGCTTGCCTTCGACAAGAATTAGTCTGCCTTCGACAAGAATTAGTTTCGTCTAGACCACGCAGCGCGCGCTCGGATTCCGTGCCGTGCACCGTGTCTGGCGGGTCCCTTTTGAAGCTCTGCCATTTTGGTGGCGCCTGTCTCTCGTCATCAGGAATTTGCCTACCCGTCCACTCGCCCGCCCGCCCTGGAATGTTTATCCATTCGTTGCTTGGGCATCCCTGACAACGTAGTAGGATGTAGGTGCTCTATTGTAAATTCATCGCATGATATTATTACCGTGCTCGACAAGACGAAAGGCCTGCTCGAAGCGAGTGTCGGGTAATAATGATTAACCCTCGGGATCAAGCAACAATGCCCCCTGAGTCGGGATAAACAATACCAAGTAAGAGCTCCACTTGGACCTCGCGCTTAACCATTGCCCAGATACCTCACCCATTCCCGACCACGCCTACCAACCCCCCCTTTCTCCGACGCATCAGCTCCGCGACACCATGCGCTCCCGCAATCCAGATAGATCCAGATGGAATGGAGGATCCATCAACCCGGCATACCCGGTTTAGGCGCGGAAGGGGGTTGTCGCATAGGGAGTATATAGGTCGTAGACCCCGGTCCAGCCGTTGCTACTTCCTCTTCTGCTGGAGACTTTGGGCCAGTGCTTCATCCACTCCATCCCATCCACACCTTCCCCTTCTATCCAACGATCGGTTAATCTGCAACGCTCGGCCCAGCGATCACCTCCTTCAGCGTTTCAGCACACTCCCAGCGCGTTTCACTTTTCGACGCCAATACACCCGGTCGGGTCTGCGATTGGCTGGTGGCGGGCGCGGGTGTGTTTGATTGGTGGTTGTGTCGGTGTGCCAGGGACCATACGGGAGGTGTTACAGCACAGTTACCACGTTAGTACTTCTGCATCTTTCTTATTGTTCAAACCTTTTTCTCGCTCCCTCCTTCTGTTCTTTCTCCCATTGTTGCTTTTGTCTCATTCAGTCATTCTTTGCTCCTGGCGGGCTACATTCACTTCCCTTTCTGCTGCCTTCGCATTCAATCTTTGTGCGGACGCAGTCGTTCACTCCCTTCGTTTGTTTTGGGTCTGTCGCTTTCTGGTTTAAGCGCCAACTCGATCTCCCTCTTTTTCGGTGCTGGTTACTGAAGACTTTTATTTTCTTTCCGTCTAGTATTCCAGGTCTCGCTGCAGGCTCAGCGACCATCGTCTTGAAGATGGCTCCCTTACAAACTTCTATGGCGCTGTTTCTGGCCCATATCATTCTGCTGTTGGGTCTGCCTGCTTCGCTGGTCGGTGCAGTGCCCGTCCACCCCCATGGGCACCATGTGCACCAGAAAGCGGTCGCTGCGGCGAGCTCGTCCGACTCATCTGATTACTGGGTTGCCAATATCAAGCGCCAGGGTATCGTGCCTTTCGGAAGTAACGACAACTATCAGGTGTTTCGCAATGTCAAGGATTTTGGAGCTGCGGGTATGTATTCATTCCAGATAATTAAGATCAAAGCTTACAATGAATAGGTGACGGTACCACGGATGATACCGCGGCGATTAACAAGGCGATTTCGTCTGGTAACCGCTGCGGCAAGGGCTGCGATTCATCCACCACCACTCCGGCCCTGGTGTACTTCCCACCGGGTACCTATGTGGTGTCCAAGCCGATCATTCAGTTCTACTACACGCAGCTTGTGGGAGATGCAACCGACCTGCCTGTGATCAAAGCCTCGCCCAGCTTCGCCGGGATGGCGGTCATCGACGCCGATCCGTACGAGGACGATGGCGCGAACTGGTACACCAACCAGAACAATTTCTTCCGCGCCATTCGCAACCTGGTCATCGATCTCACCGCTATGCCCCAGTCCGCTGGCGCCGGTATCCACTGGCAGGTTGGCCAGGCTACGTCCCTGCAGAACATCCGGTTCGAGATGGTCCAGGGCGGTGGTGACGCGAATAAGCAAGAGGGTATCTTCATGGACAATGGCTCTGGAGGCTTCATGTCCGACCTTACCTTCAACGGTGGTAACTACGGCATGTTCCTCGGTAACCAGCAGTTCACGACTCGCAACCTAACCTTCAATAACTGCAACACGGCCATCTACATGAACTGGAACTGGGCGTGGACTTTCAAGTCTGTCAGTATCAATGACTGCGCGGTTGGGCTGAACATGTCCACATCGCCGACCAACCAGACCGTGGGTTCGGTCATGATGCTGGATAGCACGTTCACCGACACTCCCATCGGTGTGGTGACCGCCTGGAACCGCGATAGCATCCCCATCGGCGGTGGTGTCCTGGTGCTCGACAATGTGGACTTCTCCGGAGCAAAGGTGGCCGTTGCCGGAGTTGACGGCGACGAAATCTTGGCCGGTGGCTCGGTAGTCAACAACTGGATGCAAGGAAATGCCTACTCCCCCTCCAAGACAATCAGCAAGCGTGACGCCGAGGCCGAGTCTGCACCCGAGGTTGTGACCGTTGTTGAGACTGTCATGAAGACTATCATGGCTTGCCCTGCGACCCGTACCGATCTCGCTGCCATCCCTGCTGCCACTGATGCTCCCGCACCGGCGAACACTGTTCCTGACAATACCGCTGCTAAGCCTGCTCCCATTCCCACTGTTACTGGCGAGGGTCGTGCGAAGGATGTTCCGGACGGTTTCACTGGTCTGCCTGGATTTGACAACAGCTGGCTGTCTTTCCTGAGCGCCCCACAGGCCACCGATGCCTCCGTTCCGGATGCCACTCCAGCTGCTGTTCCGGATACCCCTGCTTCCGCTCCTTCTAGTGAAGTTACCTCCGACAACACTCCTAATAATACTCCCGTCGTTGTTGAGAGCACACCCATTGCCCAGACTACCCAGAGCAGCAAGAGCGGCTCTTCCGGTGGAAGTGGTAGCAGCAAGAGTGGCTCCTCCGGTGGAAGTGGTAGCAGATCTGGCAGCCACTCTAGCGGTAGCACTGGTACCTGCGGTGCAAGCGAGGCCATTGCTTCTGCGCGCGTTCAGCATTCGTTCAAGGCGAACTCCAAGCCTGCCGACCTCCTCAGCGGTGGCGCTGTCTTTGAACGCTCGAAGCCCCTTTACGAGACTGTGCCCGCCTCGTCCTTCGTCAGCGTCAAGTCGGCCGGCGCCAAGGGTGATGGCACCACCGACGACACCGCAGCCCTCCAGAAGATCCTGGATAGCGCACAGGATGGCCAGGTGGTTTACTTCGACCACGGCGCGTACGTCATCACCTCGACGCTGAAGGTTCCCAAGAACATCAAGATCACGGGTGAAGTCTGGCCGGTGATCATGGCGTCGGGCAGCAAGTTCCAGGACGAGAAGAACCCCATTGCCGCGCTGCAGATCGGCCAGTCCGGCGACGTCGGCAGCGTAGAGATGAGTGACCTGATTATCACGACCAAGGGTTCCGCCCCCGGCGCCATCCTCATGGAATGGAACGTCGCCGCATCCTCCCAGGGCTCAGCCGGTATGTGGGACGTCCACATCCGCGTTGGTGGTGCCGCTGGCACCGAGCTACAGAGCAGCAACTGCCCGAAGACACCTCACACAGTCACCACGCCCAAGGCCTCGTGCATCGCCGCGTTCCTGCTCCTGCATATCACCGAGAAAGCGAGCGCGTACATCGAAAACGCGTGGATGTGGACCGCAGACCACGAGCTCGACCTGCCTGACCACTCCCAGATAAACGTCTACACAGGCCGTGGCGTCCTCATCGAATCTCAAGGCCCAGTCTGGATGTACGGCACCGCCTCCGAGCACCACCAGCTATACAACTACCAGGTCTCGAACGCCCAGAACGTCTTTATGGGCCTAATCCAAACCGAGACACCATACTACCAGTCAAACCCCAACTCCCTGACTCCATTCACACCCCAGTCCTCGTGGAACGATCCCACCTTCGAGTCCTGCACCACAAACTCCTGCCGCAAGGCCTGGGGTCTGCGCGTGATGGGTTCGAAGGATCTGTACGTCTACGGCGCGGGTCTGTACAGCTTCTTTGAGAACTACGCGCAGAGCTGCCTTCAGTCTGAGGATTGCCAGCAGAATATGGTTGAGGTCGATTGCTCCGATGTCCATCTTTACGGTCTGAGCACCAAGGCGGCCGTCAATATGATCACCTCGTCACAGGGTAAGGGCATGGTGCCGGAGTCTGATAACACGAGCAACTACTGTTCGACTATTGCTCTGTTCGAGCAGTTGCTCGCTGCTTAAGGGATTTGAATTCGTTCCTTTCTTCCAGTTTCCCATTTTGCATATTGAATTCGTTCATCTGCTACTCATTTACTCATATTCCGTTTTTACATTTCTTGCATATGATGCATGACCTGTATTGAATACGAGGATAGGATAGGATAGAGGATATGGACTGATAGGGCTGTGGGAAAAAGCGAATCTCCAATCTCGCTGGACCTTTCGCATTGGATGATTTTTTTCTTTTGATACCTCGTTTCTTTTTTCTGTATCCATTTCGTTTTCTTGCTTTGTGAGATCATCATTAATAGAATTGACTTATTGAGACAATGGCACACATACATGCTCTGCGATGAATGCAATAGGATGAATCAAATAAAAAAGTACACTGAAAAGCACGATGGAAGTCGCTACCTAGTCCAAATCGCAGATGTAGCAGAGATATTACTAAGTAAACCTGTTTCCTAACCACAGGCTAGGCGTTGAAACATGTTGAAGTTTAGCGTGTTCGCTAATAGTCCATGGAATTCTCTATCAACCAGATTCGTCAGTTATAGGACCATCCACTTCATTGTCTATATAGCCTGAACCCAGTAGTCGTATCACTTCTAGTACCCCAGTGAGGTTAAAGTTCCCTCAGTTACAACAGCTGTACGCAATGCGTCGAACGTGCAACTTCAACTCGGCTAGAGCTCTTCTGAACTGACCTAACCGTAAGAATTAACCGGACTCCCAGTCATGAACAACGGTGCTCCACCGTTCCAACCACCAACCAAGGGATGTTTCCCTCGCACGATGTTCTCCGCACCAGTGTCTTAGATTCCATGGGATACGACCAAAGTGACTGGTCTAAGTTTTTGTGGACGCTGTCTGTCGAGAGGCTTAGAGGAATCAGAGCCTTTTCGGTGACTCGGTGATGTTTATGCCGAGTTCTACCCTACCCCGCTAGCTATCGCAGCTGGAGACTCGTTTCCTATAAAGACATTGCCGTCCGCTTGCAAAGAAACCCCCAAGGCCGAAACCGTCTCGTCTTATCCATGAAACACAGCCATCTATCGTCTGAAAGTCAGACACAATGATCACACCTGCTGGACCCGAAACCAATCTCAAGCGTTCCTATGAAGAGAATGGCGTGGTCAACATCGCAGGGGTTCTAGAACCCGTCGAGGTCGACGCCATTCGCGATGCATTCATGGCCCAGGTCGAGGGGGACAAAGCCAGTCTCGCCCACGACGATAATGTCCCGGACGACGACATCCTAGCCCGCTATCCCCGCTTCGTCCACCCGCATCGTCACCCCGAGTTGGGGGTCGGGCGGTTGGCTCGCAAGTACATGCTGGACCGCCGCATCCTCGACAAGGTCGAGGCAACGATTGGCCCCGTCAATGGTGCGCAATCTATGTTCTACTTCAAACCACCGAAAGCTCGCGGTCAGGCATTGCACCAGGACAATCTATTTCTGCAGTCACATCCCGAAACATGTATAGCAGTTTGGATCGCAATAGATCCGGTCGACGAGGATAACGGTGGGCTGCAGGTGGTGCCAGGATCCCACAACTACGAGCTAGTCTGTCCGGGTGACGCCGATTCAGAAACTTCATTCAGCCGTCAGGCGATTCACCTGCCTAGGGGAATGACCGCCGAGCAGACGTTGATGGCGCCTGGTGACGCTCTATTGTTCCATGGCAGCATGGTGCATGGATCAGGGCCGAATCGAACCACCGATCGATTCCGTCGGTCGTTGATCTTCCACTATGTGCCGCAGTCCAGTACCAAGATAGCGAAGTTCTACCTGCCGTTAATCAGCCCTACTGGGAAGGAGGTCTTCGTGTCCGAGTCTACTGAGGGCGGTGTTTGCGGCGACGGCTGGGTACCTTCTGGTCCGCATTGAGGCTCTGTCTATAATGTCCATTGGAAGAAGAGTTTGCTTTACCAGTTGAGGTTCAATTCTACTTAGAAAGCGTGTGCAAGCCTGGCATATTCATACAAGACAGGCGACAATCCGTACAGTGAGCTCTGAATGCTAGGCGCGGGAATCATGATACTGACAGTGGACTACCACGGCAAGATCATTGCTGCACCCAGGAACATTCCCGCAGCCGTGATTCCAACCACAGTGCCAATTCCATTCCAATTCGACGGTCTTGGACTAAGTCTGACTGCCGGGTTAGATGTGCTCACATCTGTCGGCTGATGCATAAGCGTGATGGGGCGAACTGCTGTGACGGCAAGAAGAGAAGATACATCGCTTGCTTTGAAATGAGTAGTTCGAGTCTCTGAAATGACGGCATCTGCAGTAATTGGAGCACCGAGAACCGCTTCGACGGTTTTGCCATACCACCAGATCGATTTGGTCACAGGTAGCGCATCGGCATCAGCCGTTGGCATCATTTCATTGCAGACACTTGTCGGCGTGTAGTCTGGTACAGTTGAGTAGCAATATACTCCGTTGGGAGCTGGGGTCATGGACCTAGAAGAGGAAATGCCGTTAGTACTATTTATTCACCGTGCAATGTCACATAATGTACTTCGGACAGCACAACACGGCAGTCTCTCTCGGATCTAGGACCTGCAAGAACACATTGTTGACCACGTTCGCGTACGCGAAGTAGACCGATGATGGCGAGGGAACGGCAGGATTGAAAGCCCCATTCCACTCAACAGTCTTAGTGCCGTTGCGCGATGCCGTTGCCACTGGGCCCCATCCGGAAGGACAGTAGAGACCAGGAGAGTAGTATTGCTGGTAGAAGTGGTTTTTGTGAGGGTCCTGAAACCATGAGGTCGCGGTCGGCAGATCAGTGATGGTGATAGTGCCTGTTGGATAGCAGCCCCAGGGGTCCGCCGACACGCCACAGGAGACACTGCCGAGGTCGACTGTTGGAGCGCTGGTCTTCGCGATATAGAGGTTATCATTCTGGACCGATTGGCAAGAAGCGGGCGGGGTCCAGGTTGTGGTGAGTGGTCCCCAGTTGTGGAAGGTAAACCCCGACAGAACAGAAATCGACGGCATTGTTGCGGTGTTGATTTAATATCTGGGTGAGCAACGCAGTCTGAAGGAAAGTCTTTCAAAGGGAAATTTAGAGAAGACAAACCTGAGAACTAAGAAATAGTGGATGTTTGCAATCATATATCTATTACAGCTTGGAGTATACGGCTCAACTAACGGCCCCTTTTTAGAAGGGGCCGGGTCTCTGCCCCCGCATTAAAGAACCAGGGTCCTAGCTTCCTATGGCATACGAGGCCTATGACATATCTGCAAGACCGGGACGTTCTCAAGCGGCGCAGTGGATTTTCCTCAAAGACTGTCGATAATTCGGCAAGTTGCGCAGAACCTTGGTGCATCTCTTCGGAGCAAAAATAAAGACTCCAAATAGGGCTATCGATAAACGCAACCCGCTATCACGGGAAGTGAAGCAGATGCTATCTAAGATCGATCTACGCGGCCAACTCGAACTGGAGTCTCGCATCAAGAATGGTTGAAGTACATACACAATCGAGCAAGCGCAAGTCACTTCGACATTAATGAAAATAGAGTATAGATCACTTTAAAAGCAACATTCAAGCCCTAAAACCGGGGTCGGTGTCATCAATATCGTAACCAGGGCTACTATTATCAAAGTACATTGCTCGAAAGTTCACTTTGGCTCATTTGAATAGATCCTAAACGGAGAGGGAACGTTGTTTGTGGGTTTCATCTGGCAGATCGCGTTGTCCAGGCTTGTCAACACCGCAATAACAATTAAGGGTACACAGGGAAAACTACACTAAGTATATTCCACGCTACTATCAATGTGTGTGGCGTGGGTGTGCAAGTCGCACGTCCTTAACAGAATTGGCATGTCGAGGCAAGGGCGTACGTGCACTGCGATGAATGCGACACAATATTAATATATTAAGTAGTCAGCACACTCCGAAGTATACCGACGGTGTGTAAATGCTGGATCGCTTTGCCGAATCGTTTATGAACGGCTTCCGGGATATTTGCCGTAGTCAGACGAGTGACGAGTGGAACCGACTCCTCTTAAACACGGATCGGTGAATTGATTCTTAGCCGTAGTACTGTAGTACGCAAACAGGACCTACTACCTACAAAGTACTATTAAAAGCCCACGAAGTAACTATGAAATCCCAGTTGGCCTCGGAGTTCTAACATTTACATCCACTCTGTCCATTATGACAGACAAATTTACTTACTCTTATTTCCGCATCTCCAAAACCGAAGGAGTGGCATTATCCGCCCAGAAGTACCGAAACCTGCGCCTGAACGCCCTCCAATCCTCTCCTGCTTCATTCTCCTCCACATACGAAATTGAAGCAGCCTATACAGAAGCTGACTGGGTCAGTCTCTTGACTATCCCAGGGCGCGAGGTGTTTATCTGCGCCGCCATATCACAAAATGCTGATCAGCCACGGTTGAATGATGCTGAATGGGTCGGCCAAGTCAGCATCCGTGGCCCATTATCACCGGCCGACTTTACTCTTCCCCCGGAATCGGGCCAGCCGGCCCCAAAGTGGGATACGGAAGAAGAAAGATGGCAAATGCTAAGCTTGTTCACGCTGTCCGAATATCGGGGCCAAGGACTGGGGAAGAAATTGTGTCAAGAGGCGCTTGGTTATTTGCAGTTCTTTCGTCCCCAGCCATCTGTTGTTCAGGTGCGACTTATGGTGAAGCCTAGTAATCACGCAGCGGTGAAGCTATATGAAGGTATTGGGTTTCTTCTGGTGGGGAGGTGTGCGCTTAAAGAAGCGTTCGTTGCCAATGGCGACGCTCATCTACTGCCCGCGGATACGAGCACGCCAAAGTTTTCGGAACGGTCAGGTTTTATCATGATGTATCGCATATCCCGTGAATAGGAACAAACCCTTATAGCTAGGGCCGGCATAGGGAGTCAATATACTGCATAGTGTGTGACATCGATTAGGACTTGATATTTGATTAAGAGCTAAGGTTTAAATCAAACAGGGCTTCTGCTACGTTGCACTTCTTTAGCTGTTTGGAAACGTTCTCCGGCAATCAAGGATATTAGTAACGAAACTAGCGAAGCGTGCACCAGAGAAAGACTAGATCGAAATAAGATGAGAAAATGGTATCTGCATTGTAGGTAGCTCAGAACTGGGGGTCTGGAGGCCATAAAAAAGACACATCTATATCGGCAAAGAGCCCGCCGTCCTCTAGTGAATCGAGATTCATGTCTGACTGATCCATATCCAAGAATGCCTGCAGGTCTGGCTGGTACAGAGCCAGCTCGGGGACTGTATATGAGGCATCACTGATAGGCGCAGACCCACCACTGGGACCGATTGAATAGTGGGTGGTGTGTGGAAGGCAGTATGGTGCTGCCGATGATTGATCCGGGCTATGAATATCTTTGAGGTCTGCAAAAGACGGACCGGCATTTGGTGCCGCCGTCGGTTCACCCGGAATGGCCTTATGATCTACAAAAGAAGGATCAGAAAGCACTGTGCTGTTTTCAAAGCATTGCCGGACATATCGAAGACGCTCATAAGAAGTCTCTGCCATAATATCCTCAGAGAGGCTCATAACCCTAAGAATCTCCATGCCGGATTCAGCAGAAGTGAGATCGCTTGGGTTTCCGAATGGCAAGATGCTTGAAATCATCAATATGAGCGCAGATGAGAAGATAAAGGATGGAAAAGAGTAGCCCAATACCGCTACTGCTCCGGTGGTCCACTCTTCCACACACATGGCTAGGGATTGCCTCGCGGTGTGTATGCATGCTTCGCTTAACGTAGTCGCAATTGATGACACTTTACAATTATCCGAATGATTGGGACGCGTCTCATAGAGAACATAGAGCAGGACGGGCCGAATTGCCACAATAAGACACTGCAATCACCATTAGCTCAACGCGGACATGGCAAATTTTTGTTTATAAGGGAAAAAAAAAAAAAAAAAAAAAAAAAAAAAAAAACCTTACATGGTTGAATTGCAAATGCGCTTGAACAAGGTGTGTAGGATTAGACTTTCCCTGTTGAAGCTTCATACTTTCAGGAAGAGACCGGGCCCACTGCCTAAGTTGAAGCAAAATATTCTGCTCGTGCTGCAAAAACCTTGCAGGCGAGTGTGGTCGGCTGTAGATCTCCTTGATCGTACTCCCGCATATTTTTGCCAGCCCGACGGTAGCTATTTGATAAGTACTATCGGCGAATTGTTCGCGGTGCATCATCGAAACAGACTCGGATGGAAGATCGAGGTGTATATCTTTATCGTCAATTTGCGCAGGAGATCCTAGCCTTTGCCCCCAAAAGCGATCTAGCACGTAAACAGTCCACCACAATCGTAAACAGTGTTCTCGTTCCAGGGATTGACTCTCCGCGATAGGACGATGCAAACCGAGACTGGTACAAACCCGCATGGCGGTTCCTACTAGCCGATAGCCGGAGTGGAATCTGTTCATAAACTGACAGTAAAATGCCTGTTGATGGAAATCAGCGTTGTTCTTGTCTCGTTGTACTTAGATCGACATACAATGCAGAGAAGACTCTCGACATGAATTATACTAGCCCGTTCGGGAATGAATAGAATGAGAGAATGCGCTTTCGCAAAATAGGATGCACCTGGCAGAGGGGCTGCCCGTGAAGAGTCTCGAGGTGTAGTATAAACATTCCCCAGAGCAAAGAGAGCGAAGTATTTGCATTGGAGGGCCGGGTCGTCGAATGTCCCTTTTTGGTAAATGGTTTGCAGAACATCGAGGGTGTCTTTCCTCAGTGCTAAATGGAAAGATGGATTGACGTGGCCGAGCGCTGTTTGCACTAGCAACTGGGCATATGCCAGACTGGGCCATTGGATGTCGATGTCTAGCAAAGACGACAGGGTTGATTCATCTGTATAGCGCAATTCTGGGAGTTTCTCTGCTGAATGATCGGAAGGCTGGAGGTACTTGCATAGGCGGCTAGCAAAGGCTGGACATGCTGCCTCACTCATGTAGACAGGAGGGTTAGACGATCGACTTATTGAAAACGCCTGTGTCACCGCAGGACTCTTAACATCAGTGTCGTTAGCATCGACGATGCTATTGATACTGAGAGTACTGCGGAGTTTGCGAAGCTCCTTGCTGTCGCTGAGAAGTTGCTCCAAGTAACTGGATTATTGTGTCAAAGCAGCCACGAGGAGGAAAGAGAGAGACGGACCTTTCATCAACTCGGATTTTGCGATCGCGAGCAACATATCGGCAGTGGCTGCCCTGTCCGACTTGGCAACATCGTGAACAGGGTGTCTCCCCTGAACACTTTATCTTCTGAGCATGGCACCGGTTACAACTAGAGCCCAGGTGAGTCAGTTACTCGGTTGGTATAGGGCGCTGGATTGTGTTTACTCACGCAATAGACCTTTTTTTGGGACCCATTTTTGCGGAATAGGGAACTGATCTTGACAGATTGCCCAAATTCCGAGTCTGGGCACTTTCACTTGTCATTTTCACCAAGAATCAAAGTTCATGAAGGTGTTACTAGAAGAATCCACCCATAAGTCCAGTTAGGGGTCCAACTTGGTGTCGGGTATTCCTCCGTGATGCGTGAGTTAGTGCAAACCAGACAAACATCGGCCAAGTTTAAAATTGCCGGTCGAGACGGCAAGACAAATGAATGAGGTTGCCGAATATAAAGAGTGACCCAGTTTATTCATAGGTGTCCAGTAGCAATGGCTTTTATATATACAACTGAGAAGAAACCCAGAACCGAAACAACCAGGAATGTAACCACCAACACCGAGACAAAAAAAAAGATCATCGCTCAAAAACATTCGGAAAAGACATGCACAAATCTCTAAAGCTCTTTCTTAAGGAAATGTTCCGGTTTATGGGTAGTCTCATAGTCCACATGGACATACGCGCGCTCCACATCGGGCAAGGACTCAAGCTTGATCTGCAGCTCCTCCGCGACGTCGTGCGTAGCGCGCAGCGACTCCGTCGGGTCCATGACGATGTCGACCTCGACGAGAAGCCGCGGGCCGGAGGTGTAGGAGCGAACGGTGTCGATTGCTGTTATTAGAGGGGAGTGGGTCATTGCTGTGGTTGATTAGTTTATGGCTTGAACTACACAAAAACAGTGCGTAGAAGAAAACAAGCGAAGGGAAGGGAAGGGGGAGACATACAGATATACGTGATCAACTGCTGCATCTTCGTATCAGCGGTCACGCCAATAAGCAGCTGAAACTCCCCGTACGCAGAATGCAACCACAAACAACTAATAAGCACCGAGAGTATAATAGCGCCCATAGGATCAATCCACCAGCGCAACTTACTTCCACCAACGGAAGTCAGAATACCAAACCCATTAATCAGCAAGTCGTTGCGATGATCCTCCCACAGGATCCGAATCTGCGAGACTTGATTGCGCAGCGACCAGCAATAAAGGAATAGAACAAGCTTCGTAGTGAAGGCGATGACGACAGCGATGACGGACGGGAGATGAAACGACTTCGTCTCCTCCTCTGAGCCCGCACTAAGTTCGCGCACCGAGAATGCAATTAGAATAAATGACACGGCAGTCATAAGGAAGCAGAAGCAGATGTTCCCCGCCGTCTCGATCCGCGCCTTGCCCGCGGGGAACTTGCGCGGATCGACGCGGTTAACAGCCTTGTTGCAAAGTAACAGCGTCAGATTCGACATCGGGTCAAAGATGGCGTCTGCCATGGTCGTAAACAGGGACAACGATCCCGACGACACCGCGCCGTACACCTGCACCACAGAGAGAATGATATTCGCCGCGAAGCTGCCATACACGGCAATGCGGTATTTCAGGCGATTATCAGCATTGAGCTCGCGCGCGGTGCGGACATGTTCCTCCACAGGCTTGAGCATGCGCTGGATATTCTCATTTTGGCGTTCGTAGAAGCCCTGCAGTTTCCTGGTTGTCAGGGCTTGTTTGCCCCGCAGGCTCGGTGCTTTGACGAGATCCACCACATTCTGACCATTGCTGCTTGTCTGCGTGGACTCGCGTTTGCGAGAGATATTCGCCTGGATCTCGCGGATTTCTTCTTCGGACTTGATCTTCGACGCGAGCTGGAACGGGTCGTTCTCGGGTGTATACCGGGGCGGAGGTTGCCCCTCTGCATCGTCGGAGGTCGTACTCTCGTCGTACGGGTGCCGGCTCATGCTAGCCTCGTCGTGTTCGAGGGCTGTCGTGGTGGCCGCGTTGATGGAGAGTTGCGTCATTCTGGTGTCCAAGGGCCGGTAGGGCTGAAGGGAGCGTGGCGAGCTGGAGTTGCTGTTGCTGTTGCTGTGGTGGCGGTGCTGGAATGGGTGGTTGGAAATACTTTGGCGCAGGCGGTCTTCCATGGTGCGTGTCTGTCAGAATTCCTTTGGCTGGAATGAAGAATGGCGGCGCAAGGGTCTTGCGTGTCTCCGGCTGGTTCAAGTTTTGGGGGAAGAGCTCTTGTAGCTCTTATCTTATCGAGGTAAGTAACTATGGCTATGGCGTAGTTAGACCTTGAATGAATGCCGATTGCGGAATATGTAGAATGATCTTTTTATTCTGCAATTGTTTGCAGAAGTACGAACAGTCAAAACTGCAGAATCGTATCTAAATATCCATATGCGGAGGCTATAGGTTGATGATCAGAGGTAGGCTTGGATTCAACAAGAGTGGATCCTGATCTGTTATCGTTGCGCGATATCAGACGAAATGTCACATAAATCAACGATTCTCTGGCTTTCAAGGAGCTCACTATATCCTGATATTCCATACAATCGGTTTTGTTCGGGCTGCGTACGGCGGGTATATTCTCTGTATGATGCTTCGAATGAGAAGAAGTATGTAATCCAAATATAAGAAATGGTGCTCCACGGAGGTATCATGGGTGAGTGCCGACAACGGCAACAAAAACGCTTTAACGAGAGACAAGGACAAGGAAGAGACAACCCTTGAAATAAAAAACAAAGAAAGCTGCCAATCCAGCGCTTTCAACAACAACCAATCATTCTTCAACGCTCCTGCTCAGTAGCCACAACCCCAACAGGACCATTAGGCTCCTTCGTTGTCGTGCTATGAGGATGATTCGAATCGGAGTCATTCGTGGCAAAGTCATCGGCAAAGGGATTCTGCACTTGGAACTCATCCGAGTTATACTCATACCGCTGGCTCGTAGTTCTGGGGGCAGTTGGTCGCGAGCTGGGCGCTGGCTCTGCGGCATCATCCATATCTATCAAAGGCGAGGGCACATCGTTATTCAAGCGGGGCGCGGCACTCGCCGCCATGGGCCCAATAGCGCCGGACGCAACGGCATAATGGTTGTTGTTGTTTGACTGCGGGCTGCGCTCGCCGGAGGAGTTATTATTGGGGCTCTGGCTGACAGAGCCGCGGGCCTTGCGCGCTTTCAGCAATGCGCGCTGCTGCTGCGAGAGCGCCACGGAGAGCTCGTCGTTCGTCTCGATCAGGGTGAGGAGGGTCTCGTCGTCCGGGGCCGGGTTCGTCGCCTGCATGTAGCCCGAGATGACGCGCGAAGCAGTCCGGCAGCGGTCCGTGAACTCCTTGATCAGGTCGTTGCTTTCCATCTCTGTCGGCGGGGTCGACTGCACGAACTGCGTGAGCAGCTTGGCGGAGTTGCGCGACTCGCTAACGCGAGCCGCTAGCTCATCCGGGCCAGGCAGCACGTTGCGCGGTGCCTGCGGGCGCGAGTAGTAATTTTGATTCTGGTATTGCGGCTGCTGCGGGTTCGGCAGGTACGATCCTCCCATCGGTCGGCGGTCCGTCTAATTCGAGAGACTGTGGTTAGCGGGTGGGCGCTTATGCTATGCCGTTCCTCCTCCAAAAAATAAAGAAATATTGAAAGGGCAGGTTCTTACCCATGACGACGTAGCCCTGTGCTTCTCCTTACTCCACATCTGCAACAGTGGCGTCAGGTCCTGGTCCCAGTGACGCTGCGTCTCCAGCGTGGTCAGGTATTGGCGCAGATAGTGCTGCACATGCCAGTCGCGCCCTTGCCTGAGCTGGATCTTGATCGTGGCCACGAACTTGGAGTCAATGTTGCGCGTGAACGTGTGGCCCGGGTTATCGACCAAGATGCGCATGAGCATGATCGAGTTGTACTGGACGTGGTTCGGGGTTTTGTCTGGCGCGGAGAGGTACCTGCGAATGCGATGGGCGGCCTCCTTGGCGGCGCCGGGGCTGCTTTCGGCAGTTTCGACGATGAGGGGCAGGTGGACGAATTCATTTCCGGCGGTCTGTAGTAGGTAGGCTTGGTCAGTTGCATGTACATAGTATGAAGTGGGAGGATTGTGGGGGTTGAGTGCATACCGAGCCGTGTTGCGGGGCACCGCTGGTTTCGCAAAAGGCTGTCTGGACTTCTTGTTAGTCGGGATGGGTGTGTTATTTCAATCTCAGCAAACACACAATTTCTTTTAGGATAATGCCCTCGGGGGAGTCCCCGGGGTGGGATGGTTCGCTGTCGGAGCCAGATGGGCCTGGGTGATCCTGTCAGCATTCCTTGCTGCGGGGAGGGGGTAAAGAGACAGGCAGTCCGACGCACTCTCTTGCTCACTCTCGCGCCGGTTCAGACGTAGGAAGCGCTTCATGGTGGTGGTGTAGGGGGGGAAAAACAGGGGACGAAGAGAGAGAAGGCAGGAGGCAAAACCAGAAGAAAACCACAGGAATTAAATAATTGATGGGGGCCAGAGCCCAAAAAAAAGCCACGAAGCGAGGTCTCAGCCTCCCCGCCAAGCGAAGGCACTAACAACAGACTCTACGCGTAGATGTCCGTTGACGTGTTTAGGGGGTTTCTTCTGCGGTCGCCGTTGGCTATTCTCTGGATGAGCTGCGTCAGCTTGTAGCTCAGTAGCTGCCTGGTGCCTAGCAGTCAGCAGCGAGATGGGGCAAGCTACTATTGAACTATCGCTAGACCAGAATTATTATTGCTAGACCGTTCATGGAAGCTATAGCTAATCCACAAACCATACCATGAAACGTGATCGTCCCGTCTGGGGGCCAAATGGATCGATCATCAATCAATCTATTTTTAACCCTACGGTCTACCCGCAACAACAACAATCCTCTCTAACAACATCAAGAATGACATACTACTACTCTTCTTCCCGATGCCTACTATTGTCCCAATTCCTTCTCCAACGCATCCGCCATCCCCCCTAGTGTATCAAATCTCCAATCAAACACTGTTTCCTCTTGATTCCCCATCATAGCCCCAGGCCGCTCAATCCAAACAGACTTGACCCCCATCTTCCTCGCTGGCTGATGATCGTGAAACTGGCTCTGTGCCGTCTGTAGAATCGCCGTCTTAGGAATATCAAAGGCGGTTTTCACTTTCTCAATCATATACTCGAAATTCCGGAGATCGGGTTTATAAGACCCCACATCCTGTGCCGTGATGACCAGGTCAAAGGGCACAGCTTGCAAACTACCCTCATTCGAGCGCGCAAAGGACTCCCTGTCGACATTGGACAAAACGACTAGTTTGTAGTGCTTCCCCAGTCGGCGTAGCGCGTCCACCGTGTCTGGGAAGGCGGGCCAGCTGCCGACGGTGTTGCCGAACGCGGCGCTTTCTTCGGGGCTTGGGGGTGGGAGACCTAGCTGCAAGGCGAGGGTTGGGTGGATGGTTGCTAGCAATTGCGAGTAGGGCATGTCGGGGGTTTGGCGCTGCTGGGCGCTTTCGAGGGAGTGGTAGACGGTCAGCAGGTGCTCGTTGGGGAATACGGTGGTGCTCTTTGAGAGGAGGGGCTGTAGGGCGGAGAGAAGGCCGGATTCCCAGTCTATTAGGGTGCCGTAGACGTCGAAGCAGAGCAGGCGGTAGTCTTTGAGGTGTGACATGGTGCGGGTGTGGTGTGTACCTATTCTAGCAGATATGTGTAGTGGAGGAATGGTTGTAGAGGGCAGAAGCAACCCCGCAGCAGATTCTTCCCTGGTCCCTACCGATGATATTGGAATACAAAAACCTAGTAGGTTACAGAACGATATCGTGGTATTTGAACTTTTTGAAATTGTTCTCCATGAGTGCTGGGCGCCATGACCTTAAAAACAATCAATCGTATGATCCGTTTCCAACAGACATCACAGAGAGACGAGATGCGGAAAGAAGAAATCCCCCGCCCACTGCGACCGTTTTCTTTTCCGGGCACACAACATCATCATATCATACCCCCTTCTCCTTCACATCCATCCACTAATCCATCTATGCCTCGGTGAGGGCACGGCGGATCTGGGAGCCACGCTGGCGGGAGGACAGACGGGGCTTGAGGGCGTCCGAGGGTCCCTTGGCGACCTGCTCCTCGGCCTCGGTGAGGATGAGCTCGATGTGGCAGGGGTTGGTCATGTAGGGGTTGATCTGGAGGATGTTAGTTTCGTGTTTGGAGGGTTGAGACATATTTGAAGAAACGTACGCGACCGTGGGCACGGTAAGTGCGTCTCCGGCCCTTGGGAGCCTGGTTCACCTGGATGCGCTTGACGACCAGGTTGCCAGTGTCGAGACCCTTGGTGTCGGCGTTGGCCTCGGCGTTCTTCAGGAGGTCGATGAGGAACTCGGCGGACTTGACGGGCCAGCGGGCCTTGCTGACACCGAACTGCTTGCCTGGTTGGTTGTCAGAAAAAATATTCAACCATCAATTCCATCCTGCAATCGTGCGCTCCAAAAAACCCTCCACTAAATTTTTTTTCCACACCCAAAATAAATAAAAAGGAAGCACTCACCCTGAGCAGTGCGACCGGTGCTGCCGGCGTACCGCCGCATGGGGACGGCCATGGTCTTGGTGGTGACGTTCTCGAGGAAGGTGAGGGCCTTCTGCAGCTTCATGCCGTTGATGGCCTGAGCGGTCTCACGGGTGTTCTTGAAGCTGACACGCAGGTAAGAGCCCCGCGCGCGGGCGCTCTTCGTGGCCGAGATCTCCTGGGCGGCGTAACGGACCTGTAGAGGGAGAGGGAGTTAGCATTTGGTGCGTTTGTGGATTTGACGGATTTCAAGATGAGACGAGTCGACAGTGGATGACAAGGGAAACGGCATCGGAGGGTAATTGGGCAGAAGAATTGTCGAGACGTAAGAGAGCAGCGAGACTCACCATCTTGAAGGAGTTGGCGAGAGGAAGTCGATGGTCCTTTGTCGGGTGGTGTTGGGTTCCGCTGTCGGTCGCGGATTCTTCGAGTGTGGATTTTTGCGAGGTCAGGTGCTAAGCGAGCCCTAAACGGGTCAGGTGATTTGATCATTATGTAATCAAATAGTGGTGCCTCAGGCATATTTGTTTAGAGTGTCTATTAACTTCGGTAACTATTCTCCTCTATCTACCTTCCTCCCTCTATACCTTGGCCTGTCGCTTCTGCTCTGGTACCTGCGTGAGCAATTCCCCCTTCTCCACCGCCGACCGCAGATTATCCAGCACCAAAATCTCCATCTCCCGCTGCGTTTCGTAGGTCATCGTGCCAATATGCGGCAGCAACATAACGCGCGGGTTATTCACCAACCCAGCCTCAATCTCGGGCTCGTTCTCATACACATCCAGCCCGGCAGAGCGCACCTTTTGCCGTCATTAACTTCTAGATTCTCGTCAGGGAGGATTGGATACGTACCTTGCCCGACTCTAGCGCCGCGACCAGCGCCTTCTCGTCAATCAAGGCTCCCCTCGCCGTGTTGACGACCACCACGCCATCCTTCATCTTGCCGAACTCCGTCGCACCAATAATGTGGCGCGTCGATGCGTTCAACGCCAGGTTCAGACTCAGCACGTCGGCATTGGCCAACAGCTCGTCGAACGAGACGTACGTCGCGCCTCCTTCCAGATCAGCGGGCAGTCGCGAGCGATTGTGATACTGGATCTTCATGCCGAATGCTTTGGCTCGCGCAGCCATTTCCTGGTTCCCGTACGTTAGGCAGAGCTCTTTCATGAAGGCAAGTAAATCAATCCACATACCCGTCCAATACCTCCCATCCCCAGAATCCCCAACACCTTGCCCTGGGGATCATTACCCAATGTAGTCTTTCCCTGCCACGTTCCTAGTCTTATCTTCAGTGGGCAATCATTTTGAGCGTAGACAGATGAACTCACCAGCGCGAAGAGCCGCCTGCGGCACGTAGGCCTGTCGCAATGCGCCAATCATCAGGAAGATGCCCACGTCGGCGGTGGCATTGTTCACCGCGACGGGCGTGCTGGACACGGCAATGTTGCGCTGCGAGCAGGCGGCGATGTCGATATTGTCATAACCCGCGCCGTTGTGGCAGATGTAGCGCAAGGATTGCGGGAGGACGGCAACTAGCTCCGAGTTAAAGGGACCAGTATGCTAAAGATGCGCATTTAGCCAATGACGTTTGCGTAGAGTGGGTTCGCTCGCACCTTGTTGGACGTATTGGACCGGTAAATGGCAACGACGTCGTCGTACTGGCCGGCCTGGCAGTTCTCGATGAATGCTTGTCTGCCGCCGCTGGGGAATTCCTGTTGCGGATTAGCAATGCACTTTAAAAAGTTTGAACAATAAAACTAGGCGACGTTACTTTCAGCGTCAGGAGGGAGGAGAGACTCTCCCATTCCTTGCGCGCGTGTATAATGTCGCCGATGAGCAGAGCGGAAGGCATCTTGGCGGTTGTTTTTCGGGGATATTGTTGTGAAAAAGAGAGAAGAGCTGGCTAAAGGGAAGAAACGAGCCCCGCGACTATCGATAGATAACCCCCACAGGTGGAGCCTGAATTCCGAGATGACGGAAGGCGGTGTTTGGAAGTATACTAAGAGCGAGTTCTACTGTACAGTGGGTGACTTAGGTCTGTGCCTAGGGTGCATGGTTGCGTCTCTCCTCTCGTAAAACTTTCGATAAGTCCGACTATCTATGAAATCTCATCCTCTATCCGAATAATGCCAACACGGCCAACCCCAAATTATCCCACGGCATCGGCAATTGAAAATGCGGCATCTGGCTCGATAGCCGACACGGACCAAGTCCGGCTCCCCCACGAGAAACAGTGGGGGTTTATGAGGGGAATCATCACTCCAAGTCAATTAATTCTTGTTCGACTCTCTTCCTCTCAAACACCACACACACCGCCAACATGACAGAAACATCCGTCAATGCGCTTGTTCTCCACGGCGCAAAGGACCTGCGCCTGGTAAGTCAAAGAATATTTTGATATTAACCCAGAACAGGTTGTTAACAAACATACCTAGGAAACACGCCCGGTACCCGCCCCAACCGGCACCTCCGTCCAAGTCGCCGTGCAAGCCACCGGCCTCTGCGGCTCAGACCTACACTACTACACCCACGGCCGGAATGGCGACTTCGTCGTCCGCGAGCCAATGTGTCTAGGGCATGAGTCCTCGGGCACTGTCACAGCCGTCGGAGGCGACGTTAAGAACCTGAAGATCGGTGACCGCGTCGCGCTAGAAGTCGGTCTGCCGTGCCGCAAGTGCGCCCTCTGTCAGCAGGGCCGGTACAATATCTGCCCGGCAATGCAGTTCCGCAGCAGCGCGAAGCAGTTCCCGCACCTGGACGGCACGCTCATGGAGCGGACGAATCATCCCGCCGACATGTGCCATCTCCTGCCGGCTAATGTGTCAGATGCCGGTGGGGCATTGATTGAGCCGTTGGCTGTGTGCTTGCATGCTATTCGGCGGTCGAGGCCGCCGACGACCGAGCAGGTGGCTCTGTCGAAGAGTACGGGAGAGGGGACTGCGGCGCTGGTGTTTGGCGCTGGAGCCATCGGGTTACTCCTCGCTTCTGCGCTGTCTACATCGGAACAGTTTACTTCTATCGTCGTCGCAGATATCGATCCCTCGCGATTGAAGATCGCCGAGGCGCTGGGTCTAGGTCTGAAGACAGCGCTGATTCCTCGCGGGGACCCCGCCCACCCGCCTCCTGCGCCGGATGCTCCGCAGGCAGAGCAGACCGCGTTCGCACTACAGAATGCCCAGCGCGTCGCGAGCACACTCACCGCAGCAGCTGTCTCCGCCAACGACAACCTTTCAGTCCCTGGCTTCAGCCGCGTCTACGACTGCACGGGCGTGCCAGCTTGTGTGCAGGCAGGCATCTACGCCTCCGCACCAGGCGGCGTCCTCGTTCAGATCGGAATGGGAAATCCCATCCAGACACTCCCCGTTGGCGCGGCGGCGCTGCGCGAGGTCGATATCATTGGCGTCTTCCGGTATGATGGGTATGCGTACCCGGCTGCTATTGCGTTGATGGCAAGTGGGAAGATGGCCAAGGTGGAGGAGCAGGTCGTTACGCATCGGATTAAGCTTGCGGATGGGGAACGTGCGTTTCAGCTTGCTGGTAAGGGGGTTGATGAAATGGGGAAGCCAGTTGTTAAGGTCGTGATTGAGAGTTAGTCGTGCATGTATGTATACCCATGGAAATGGAAATGTCGGATATTTATATTGAGAATATATGAGAGCATGGGTTTAATATTGCTTTGCTCTTCGAAAATATCAATATCAAAAGTAGTAAAAGTCAGATCAAATATTACCAGAGGGTCAAAAAGAGAGGGCCAAAAAACAGAGGGCCGGAATCTGCTATTTTCACCAACCGCCCTTTGAATTGCGACTTGGAGCGAGTGTTGAATTCCGTTGGGGACCCACCCGTCCCGCGGCCCCGGAGCTAAAATCCCTACAGTACTCCCGTGGCGAGGTCTAGACTTATCTACCTAGTGTACTGCTTTCTACTCCATATGCTGGAAATAGAACCTGCGAGTGAGCCTGCGGGTAGCCCTTTGTTGCTCGGACCTAGCGGGAACTCGTCTCGAGGGTTAGAGATTCGGAATGTCGACCCTCAAATTTGAGGGCCAAGTTTAGAGCCGTGCGAGTCGCCCGCCGGTCGTGCCGTGGCTCTCGAGCGAACTTCTTAAGGTTACCACTCTGCTCAATCCTAATTTAGAAGTGCGTGATGATTTCTTGTCGTAATGAATATTGTTAGGGATCATTACCAAAGAGAGGGCCTGAACTGCGGACTCAGGTAATTCACTTTTAGCCCGGCCTAGGTGGTAAAACATGATAGTCTGAATCGCATCGATTTAATCATTCTCTAATGAAATACTAGGTAGAATTACTAGTTCATACGCCCATCAGACACTCTAACATGAATTAACCGAGATAATAATGGTAAGAAACAAAATTACTGCCGCTCTACAGAGAATGGGAGGCGGTGGACAATGTGACAGATTTAATAGCAACGTCGGGTTAGGCTGCCGCTGGCGGGGTCCTACAACGTGAAGACACCCCAAGTGCAACAGTGCCAGCCATCCTAGACCAGTCAACAGGACTATTTTGATCATCGGTTTTCCTTATATGCTTATATGGTACGACATCCAAGATCTTGACACTGTTTGTAAACTTACGAGCTCTAGGTTTCCTTCGCATCACCCCTAACATGGACCGGACAGATGTCCTCGTTTTCACCAAATTTCATGTCCCTGAAGCCGAGAATTTGCAAAGTGATAAATGGATTGACTTTGCAAAGTCCTTAAAGCAATTCCCTGGGCACCACAGGTCCGTTTGGGGCAGAATTCAGCAGCGCCCATTTTCCTCATCAGATTATGTTCTTCTTATCACTTGTAAGTTCTTTAACTCCAAAACCTCTACCAAATCCTTTGGAACTATAAGACATTAACCTTCTGAAATGTGGACTTCTCCAGAAGCTCTAAACCATTTTGAGGCTTCCCCTGCATACAACACATACAGGTCTACTCTTTGTCGCTACTCACCTCTGCCCCCTGAGGTCTACAAGGCGGACTCTACCACTTTTAGATCATGGATTCATCCGAGAAAGGGAGTAGTTCTTGCACTTTTCACAGTCCATTTTCCTGCCTATCTTAGCGATGAGCAGCTAGAGGAGATTACTTCGATTGATGGCCTCAGCCCAGCGGCAGGTATTGCGCCTCAGCTACGCAACTTGACCATGGAAATGGCGCCTCATTTGAAGTTTTGGGCTAATGGAACGCAAGTTGTAAATGGCAAGGAAGTGAAAACGCGCATATTCGTACATATCTGGAAGACCGAAGATAAGGGAGAGCGGATTAAGCAAACGCGAACTCGTGACGGGTCTACCTTTTTGGAGAAGTTTGAGCAGAAACTAAAGGCAGCTGGAGCCGAAGACTTGGTTGAGGAACAGATAGTGCAGGAAAACCTGCCAAGCGAGGAGATTTTTATGGAGGGAGTCTAGACATAACTGTTCTGATACGCGGCTGATATGGATCAGGAACAAAGCCGCAATATCGGAAATGATTCCTGCCCTATCTATATGAAGAACCAAGTTAATTCGAAACCAAATTGGACTTGATTATATATATGGCCTACTGTATCCCCTGGGAAATAATTTTTAAAAAAAAACAATTTCCCTCTGAATTACAACTAGAATATTGGGACCTGTGAAATTGACGCCGAAAATGGCCGGTTCTGTGGCTAGAAATGGCCGCCTTTCCATTCGTAACACCTAGAGCGAGTCGCTGCTTGATTGATTCTTATTTCGTCTATACGCTTGATAGGATTGGCTATACCTAGGTAGCCTATCACAACATCATAAAGTTCTCTAAAGTTACTAAATTTCTAGCCTACGCTACTAAAGTGCACAAATATAACGTCGATATTATACTGTACTATCTTCTAAAAAGCCTACGGCTTATTTGTAGCGATATTGCATCTATCGATAGTATAGAAGCGCCTTTAGTTTCAGATAGTTTGTCACGTATTGAGACTCCCGCCTCCTTAGTCGGCTTTAAGATAGCAAATATCGATCCATGTTTGATAGGATCTAATATCTTCACTATCACGAACCCTTCGCCACGTCGGCCAGGCACTGAAATTCCCGCTTCTTCCGTTGGCTCTAAGATGACAAATATCGGCCTATGATTGATAGAGCTTCCAACAAGGCGAGCGACGAGGAGGGCTACGAAGGCGGCAAATTCCGAGCTAGGACCTCCACTAGAGCATGCGGCACGCTCATCTCAAAACCGCGAACGCCGCGAAAAGCAGTCTGAGCAGAAGAATCAGAAAAAGTGGCGTCGGGTAAGACAGAAGGCCTCTGTCACCAAACCTCCACTGCGTCGATCAAAAAGATTACAATTCCATTGATCCAGGCTTGGGATTCGCGTGTGTTGCGTCTTTTTTTGAGAATATACAAATAACAGGACAACGGTTATTTGTTATGGGCTTACCCAAATCGCTTCTCCAGTAGAAAGCGGTTGATCTATCGCATACTTGGCTCGATGCGGCACCCCACCGAGGCTCCCCACCGAGGCTCCCCACCGAGGCTCCCGATCTGATTTGGTCGATCGCCGCTGGCATATTATTAATTGCTGTAGGGTAACCAACTACTTAACGTTACTCTACTTTGTGCCAGGAATTCGTAATTGTATCTTCCACCCGTCATTGAGTTTCCGCTTCTTGATAGCCGTAAAGATGGTTCCTCTCACCACCGCCCAGTGGACTGTGAACGGCAGCAATGGGGTCGACAGTCTTCACTTCGAAGGATCCGTGGCCCTGCCACCGCTGGGCGAGCAGGATTGTCTGATCGAAGTGGAAGCGGTGTCCCTCAATTATCGGGACCTAGCCATTACAAAGGTACATATATCTTGTCATTGTTTTTCATCTTGACACAATCACGATTAACCCGGCTTAGGGTATCTACGTCCGTCCAGTGACTCTCCCCGTCGTACCTTGTTCGGATGCCAGCGGCATCGTGATCGCGACGGGAAGCAAGGTCACTCGTTTCCAACGCGGTGAACGGGTCTGCACCTTGTTCAACCAGGGCCATCTAACGGATCCGATTAGCCCTCAAGCGATGCGGACGGGTCTCGGGGCCGACCTCGCTGGCGGCCTCCGTCAGCACGGCCTCTTCCACCAAGACGGCCTAGTAGCAGCTCCTCCGCATCTATCTGCCATCGAGGCTAGCACCCTATCGTGCGCCCCGCTGACGGCATGGAACGCCCTATATGGCCTACGGGCGCTCCAAAAGGGCCAATCTGTGCTAATCCAAGGGAGTGGCGGTGTTAGTCTCGCCGGCCTACAGTTTGCGCGTGCCGCCGGTGCGTTCGTGATTGCCACTACTTCTTCTAATGCGAAGGCCCAACGACTAAAGGAGCTCGGGGCGGATACGGTGATTAACTATAAGGAAGATCCGAACTGGGGGAGACGGCCAAGAAACGGTCGCCGGGAGGACAGGGGGTGAACCACGTTATTGAGATCGGAGGCCCGACTACTTTTGGTCAGTCCGTGAAGGCCGTCGCTCCAGAAGGAGTGATTTCTGTCGTCGGGTGGCTTGGCGGGACGAGCAATTCTACCCAGTTAACCGTCTGGGATGCTATCTCCGGTCTCGCCATCTTGCGGAGAATCATGGTAGGATCGAGGGCCCAATTCGAACAGATGAACCAGACGATTGGTATCCATGGTATCCGGCCCGTCGTGGACAAGACCTTCCCATTTGAGGAGGCGAGAGAAGCGTACCGATACTTTGAAGAGCAACAGCATTTTGGAAAGGTAGTGATTCAAGTTTCTGGCCAGTAATCTGAAATTTTTTTTGTTCCCTTCAGAGTTCGGCATAGTGTAATTTAGTTCCGTGAAGGTTCTTGATAGAGTCACATCCTAGAGATCTTTTGAGACAGAGCCTGAAATGTAATGATATCTCTTAGAGTTGGGCCTGGTTCCCCCTAAACACTTGAATCTTGAACACATAGTAAAGTCACGTATATCGTGCCTTGAACTTCCTATTTCAGTCCACCAGCCAGCAGGAGACTCTGCCCCGTCATATACCCGGTCTTGCACAGCATCGTAACAACATTAGCCGTCTCCTCCGGTGTGCCCAGCCTCTGCAGTGGGATGCCTGCCGCGACTTCGGGAATCGCGGCCGCATTGGGGATCATCCCCGTGTCACCAATCATCGCGGGAGCGACGTCGTTGACGCTGATATTGAACTCGGCGAGACGGGTAGAAAGGTTCTTCATCATGCCCGTAAGACCGCCCTTTGATGCGGCGTAATCTAAATCCAAAATTAGTCGGTTATCTAGAAAAGAAGGGAAGGAGGCCAGCATACGACACCCATTAATGCCCCCGCCTTGCGCCGCGATAGAAGACATAAATACAATCCGGCCCCAGTGCTGAGCCTTCATATGGTCAACCACTCCCTTTACAAGGATAAACGACGCGCGCAGGTTGACGTTCAGCGTATAGTCGAACTCCTCGAGGGTAATATCCCACACATTCGGGAAGCGCTTCCCGTACCCGGCGTTGGAGACCAGGATGTCCGGTCGCTGGCCGTGCTGTGCGTCGATTGCTGTGAACATCGCCTCAATGGACTCTGCAGAACCGACGTCTACTTGGTGTGTGGAGATGCGGAGCTGTTTGTCTGCGTGGGCGGACTTGAGTGTCTCTACCAGCCTGTTCATTGCGTCTAGATTCGTTGAGTAAGTGAGCGCCAGGTGGGCGCCTTCAGACGCGAGTTGGTAGGCGCAGGCGGCGCCGATTCTAGAGACATGGTCAGTCCTGTTTTGTAATGATATTGATGCTTTTGTTGTGTGATTAGCTGAAGAGGTGAAGCTTACCCGCCCGACGCACCAGTAATTAGAGCAAGCCGCCCCTTAATCTCGTTGAGGGACATTTTTGCACTGATTTAGCACTGACCTTGCTCTGAATCGGAAGTGGATGCAAGAGTAGAAGTAGTAAACGCCAGTCTGTCCTCGGCTACAGCAGCATCTCGGGCGGACCGCCGAGGATATGGCCGAGTGGATACGGCCCCGCAAGCTAACCCCGCCGGGCGAACTCATTTGCCGAATTGACACTCAGCATATCAGAAGAGCAGATTGCTGCTCAGATCACCCATCCACGCAGGCTGCCATGCCTGCGACCGATTTTGGTCAGACTGGTACAGATCCGCGTTGGCATTCAAGAACGCATCGAAGCCCAGCATGCCCGCGCCAGAGATCTGGTCGCCAGACACATAGTCGCCCACGGCCTCGAGATCGAGCCATGAGAAGTCGTTGGCGGGACTGAAGTGCATGTAATTACTGGGTTCGGTAACTGGGTTCGAGAGCGCGCTTTGCATTGCGAAGTCGCTGCTCTGTGGTGTTTCTGTTGAGGTGTTGCCCATCGGCGGCTTGGATTTCCAGAGAAGCTCGAGCAGCCGCGCATACCGAGATCCAATATCGTCTGGTCCGGCGCTCGCTTGGTTGAGGATTTCGGTGGTTCGTGCGACTAGGCCTTGCACTTTGGCTTCCTCGGAGGGAACCATCATGCCAAACGATCGTGCTTTATACAGAAAGACGGCGGAGTAGATGCCATACCTGCATTTGATCAGTTGGATCCTGTTGTACAAGTGAAAAGGACTCACAGGTAGAACCGTAACGGCATAAAATGCAAATGTCTCTCTGGATCAACCGAGTCCACGAGAATAGTCAAATATGCCTTGGCCGCATCGACGGACTCATAGATGAAGCGAGAATCCTGCATCGACGCCACATTCCGAAACGTAGCCCGCAGCTGTTCGCGGTGAGACACCCCGTCGCTCTTAGGTTTCACCAGTGACTGAGAAATAGCAGCCTGAAAGGCGAAAGCAGTCGTGTAAAGACGCAGGTACTCGTACGACAACTGCAACGTCGCCCGCATCGGCGGAGAACAGTCTAACGAGCCCCAGAGTGATTTCCATCGCAAGATGGCAAGCCGGAAGTCATCTACATACTTGACGTAGTCGCCCATCAGCATCATTTGATTGCTGGCGCGCATACCGGAGTACAGCACTTCGTGAACATTGCCATATAGCTGCGTCAGATCCAGCATAGCCTGAAAGATCTTTGCGTAATCCTCATCACCGTCCGTGACGGGCTGCAGCGACGGGAAATCCTGGCTGGACAGCCCCGTCATCGGACCCGGCCCGCGAGACCAGAACGCGCGTCCAATTCGCACGGAGATTAACCTATCCGAGACGTAGCAGCTGGCCCAGGCCAGTCGACGACGGGCTTCCGTTTCTTGATCCCCGGAAGGATCGCCTCGAAACGACGTTCGATCCAGTCCGATGAAGTAGCCCGACCGCAGTGCAAGACCAACATGCATCCACGCTGCGCGATCTTCCTCGCCTCGTCCCACGCGTTCGATGCGTGGCCGCAGACCCTGTGGCTCCCACTCGGCCAGCAAGAGGAGAGCTTCCACGGCTTCGACGTCGCATTCGGCACCAGCTGCGATGCCTGAGATTAGCTCGTGCATGTACTTCGAGCAGTACTCATGGATCTCTGGCCGATCGACCAGATCTTTCGAGGCGATGGTCAAGACTGCAGTCAGCAGATGCTTTTCGTTGGTGGCAAAGTCGTCCAGCGCAGGGCGTTGGAAATATTTGCGCGGCACTAATGGCAGATACGGGTGGAAGTTGGCCTCGTAGCGCATCACTAGTTGCCACACAGTTTCCGGGTCCAGAGACCGCGACTGGACCAGGCGGTACGCTCTGATGCCCGTGCTGGGCGTGGTGAAGTCGGGAACGCCATCGCGCAGACCAGAGTAGGAAAAGCTGCCTGAGCGAGGATTGGTGCGCGCTGCTGTAGCGGCAGTGTCTGCACCGCCATGAGTCGCAATATCGGTCAGACACTGCCAAGCGTCTGACGGGTTGCGCGGGACAGAGCCAATGGAAGCGGTCTCATCATCGCCCACCGCAGCCCCTGCAGAGGTAGGCGGATTCGGCGGCAAAAAGACTACAGGACCAGGATATGAAGCAGAATGCTTCCTATTATCGGGACTAGACGTATCCGAGTCCTTTCCGGGAGACAGAATACCCGGCGTGAAGTTCTTGATTTTATTCTTGCGAATACGGCGCCCGCCCCGGTTGGAGCCGCCCAGGACACACTCGCGGTGCTCGCGCACGCAGCGCTGGCAGGGTGGCTTACCAGGATTGCCGTTGGTATCTCTGTCACGAGGTGATTAGTCTGTATCTGCAAAGATCCGGGGAAACACTCTCCGCTAAACGTACAGGTCGCATCGGGATTTGCGCTGGCGGCAATGCAGGCACGCGCGAGATACCCGCTTGGCGATATGATCAGCGCGGGATACGTCTTGTGGCGACTCCAGCTCCATCTAGGATGTGGGTTTGGGCTATAGCAGGGAGTAGTTGGTGGTCTCCAACAATTCTTGTACAAGAAGCACGAGGACGGCACAGACCCACACGAGCAGGGTTCATTACTCATCAGACTCTAGCAGCTGTATTAGGACTATTTAGCTATTTGCTTCGATATAGGCTTGTAGATGTTATTGTTTACTTGTTCTCAATTACTTTGAGGCCTTAAATTAGCCATTTCATTGTAGTTGTGTGGTGGGCGCAGTTCATGATGATGTCGATGTTGGACGGACTCAATTGCCGTCGGCTATTGACCGTTCGACACGCTGGCGACGAAACAATAGCATAGCTAGCAATTTACTTGGAAGATTTTGATCACTTTGGTAGAAATAACCACTTAATACGCACTCACACCTGCAAACAAGGAATTGGCCTCGCTGTTCAACAGATATACGCCCAAGCAGACACAAATCTTCAATCGCCGACGGCAATTGGATTCCCGATCAGGAATACCCCGCGTGTGGGGGAGGCACCCCGATAAAAGATTTGAGCCCGCGTCTTGTTTCTGTTCAAAAACACAATAACAATAATGGCAGCAACTGTCGCTTCACTCTTCTCCGTGGCCGGACAGACCGCCATCGTCACCGGGGGCACGCGCGGCATCGGCCAGGCCATGGCCATTGCCCTAGCGGAAGCCGGCGCAGATATCGTGCTGATCCAAGTACGTGACATGCATCAAGAAGCCGAGTCAAGCTAACCGCTGTCCCGTAGAGAGACGACTCCAATACATCGACCCGAGATGAGATCGTTACTCGTCTAGGCCGCAAAGCCTGGATCCACATCGCCGAACTGTCCGACCGACAAGCCATCAAGGGCATCATGCCCGCCCTAGCCAGCCAGGGCATCAAGCCGCAGATTTTGCTGAACTGCGCGGGCATCCAGCGCCGGCATCCGAGCCACCAGTTTCCTGACGAGGACTGGGACGAGGTTTGTCTCTTTTTCTCACCACCAGGCCGCAATTGCTGACTGTGATAGGTTATCAATGTGAACCTCAGCTCAGTCTTCACGCTCTGTCGCGAATTCGGCGCCTACCTCCTCGCCCGCGATGCCTCCGAGTTCCCCTCCGCCCGTCGGGGCTCCATCATCAACGTCGCATCCCTGCTCACCTTCCAGGGTGGCATCACCGTGCCCGCCTATGCCGCCTCCAAGGGTGGTGTCGGACAGCTGACCAAGGCGCTCTCGAATGAATGGGTGGGCAAGGGGATTAATGTCAATGCGATTGCACCTGGGTATATCGCTACGGATATGAACACTGCGCTCATTAACGACGCGGACCGTAACGCGGGCATCATGGCGCGTATCCCTGCGGGTCGCTGGGGTCAGCCAGAGGACTTTAAGGGGGTTGTTGTCTTTTTGGCCAGTTCGGCGAGTGGATATGTGTCTGGTGAGGTTATTACTGTGGATGGTGGGTGGATGGGACGGTAAGCGGAGAGACACTACCTAGAGATTATAGCGTGAACTCTAGGCTTTCGCGCATAGCTTCAAGTCACCGAGCGAAGCGAAGGTCATGACCTGTATACAAAAATAGAAGCAAATATTATTCATTGTCCAGTCAGTAAACTAACACGGTCGATGGATCGAGCCGTTGTAAGCGCCGCGTTTCAGGGCGGTTTCCGATGCGCCTGAAACAGTGGAACTACAGGCCGGCGTCTAGCTAAGAGCATTGTTTCATTCGACAATAGTCGGTCTTATTGAAGAGATAATGCATCATGTCCAATTGTTTCGGGTCGGGTTTGAGAGACAAGCCTTCTATCCCTACCGGATGATCGTCATTGTTGCCTTCTTTGTTCCAGACAATGGTGCGGAATGGCCCTTTGTTGAGATGTCATACATTCCAACCATCTATATGATCTCATCCCATCTAATCGTCACATTCCCTCGCCAACGACATATTCTGCGTGTAAACATCTATCCATGCTGCTCTCCAGTTGACTTCCACCACCGACAAGTGCAGTCGGCCAACTCGCAACCCACCCGCTGGAGGGTGGCCAACTCGATGGCTGCCCACTTAGCACCGCGGTCCTACGGGCCAAATGTCACCTACATCTACGAATACTCGAGAGGCCTGGGAGGTGTCAACATCCCTCTCGACGTCCTGTTTACTCGCATAATCTACACTTCAGTCATCCTCCTCGCGCTGAGCGTCTTCTGTGGCCGCATCGCCCAAATCAGCCATGCCTATCTTCGCCAGGTTACCTCTTCGGCAGCTGACAGGCGGCAACAGACGTTCTGGAGTCAGGAGCAGTCTCCTTGGTGGGCGAAAGTGAAGAAACATCTGCTATATGCGCCGCTGGGCAAGAAGAGACATAACCGCGAGATCCAGCTTTCGTCCGCAATCAGCATGGGCACGTTGCCGTCCCGGTTCCAGGCAATCTTGATTATGTTCTACCTAATCAGTCAGCTGGCATATTGTTTTTATCTTGATTACAGAGTCAACATCAAGGCAGCGCTGCTCGCCGAGCTTCGTGGTCGGGCTGGAACGCTGGCCGTTTTGAATCTGGTGCCTCTTTTCCTTCTGGCTGGCCGTAACAACCCTTTGATTTCTTTCTTGCATATCAGCTTCGACACCTACAATCTGCTGCACCGCTGGCTGGGCCGGATTATCATGCTCGAAGTCGTCATCCACACGGCTGCCTGGGCTTTCAACGCCTGCGATGAGCAGAATTTCGCTCACATGCTCATGCGCCTGCGAGACACGCCATTCTTCAGCTGGGGCCTGGTGGGAACAATCTCAATGGTCTTTATGTCATTGCATTCCCTATCACCCATCCGCCATGCATTCTACGAATCTTTCTTGCATCTGCATCAGCTATTGGCGTTTCTAGCTTTCCTCGGGGTCTATTTCCATTTGAACATGGACAGCCTGCCACAGAAGAGTTGGTCCAATGTCATCGCGGCCATCTGGATATTCGAACGAAGCGTCCGATTCCTCCGACTAATCCACCTCAACATGTCTCCTACAAAAGGCTTCACCAATATGATCGTCGAAGCTCTCCCCGGCGAAGCATGCCGAGTAACCTTCCACCTCCCCAAATTAGTGCAGGTCCAACCCGGGTGCCATGTCTATGCCTACATCCCACGACTGTCGTGGTGGATGTCGCACCCATTCTCCATCGCCTGGGCAGAGCCAACCATCAACAAAACGCTATCTCCAGAATACAAATATATGAGCCCATCAGCACTAGAGAAACAATCGTTCCCTTCAACACCCAGCTCCCGACACACCCAAATCGCCCTCATCATCAGCGCCCGCCAAGGCATGACTCGCAAGCTCTACAACCTCGCCAGCGCCTCCCCCAACCAGACCATCCGCATGACAGGCCTCCTCGAAGGGCCGTACGGCTCCCACCCAGCCAATACAACCAGCTACGGCACGACAGTGCTCTTCTCCGCCGGCGCAGGAATAACCCACCACCTGCAGTACACCCGTGACCTCATCCAACGCGCCGCAGATTCCCGCGCCGCGACACGCAAAATCTACCTCATCTGGTCGATCCGCTCAACAGACCATTTGGAATGGATCCGTCCATACATGGACCAAATCCTGCGCCTGCCGATGCGGCGCGAGATTTTGGTTGTCAAGCTGTTCGTCTCGAAACCGCGTCGCGCTGCCGATATTGTGTCTCCGTCTGCGTCGGTGCAGATGCTTTCTGGCCGCTGTCGTCCCGGTGTTGTTCTTGATGAAGTGCTTCCTGTGCGTGTGGGCGCTACCCTTGTTTCGGTTTGTGGGCCCGGCGCATTTGCGGATGAGGTGAGAGATGCGGCGAGGGAGAGGATTGGACGGGGTGCTGTGGTGGATTTTGTGGAGGAGGCTTTTACGTGGTAGATCTTTTTTCTTTCGGCGCGTAGAATTAGATTATTCTTTACTTGTGAAATAATGTCTATACCGTTGATCAACGAGGTACTATCCCTTTTTATTATCCGTTCCCTGCTACAGTAGACTGAATGACCAATGTTCGGAGGGTCTACCTCAATCCTAATTTCTTCGGAGTTGCCTCCATCAAGTATTGCACCAGCGGCGGATGTTGATTGTGGTATTACATGTAGTTCTCTATGTCCCATTATGTAACAATGAGTGAAGGAAAGAGGGCTGTTCACATCTGCCTTCTGAGGTTTCTACCGAGAACTAGTTACAAGAAAAGAAGGAAGAGTCTCGTTGGATCATGCTTCATATATTTAGTCTGAGGAACCCCTCTATCCTCTATCTCTAATGTAAACCCCATATTTCCACTGCACATACAGACCAAAAAATACAAAGAACCGAGATAATGTGCAAAGAAGACAGGAGAGGATGCTGCGGTTTAGTAGAGACATATGCAAGACGCAGGGAGACAAGGAAAATGGCAGAAAAATAAATATGCAACAAGAAAAGAAAATGAAGGATCTATGTATAATAATTAAAAGAAAAGGAGAAGAAATTAGGCAGAGCTCTTCTTGCTCTTGTTGCGGCTTCCCTTGGGCACACGGGCCAGCCAGTAGATAAACACGGCCAGGAAGACGTTAGCAACGATGTAGATCCACATGAATCCAAAGTTGCGCCATGCATCTTTGTAGTAGCTCCCCACGGAACCGAGGAAAGTGTCCGTGGAAGAGATGGTGCAGAAGGAGCACTCATCCGTAGCGTTTTTATCCTTGAGATAACCACCGGCAACCTTCATCCACGGCTCCATGTACTGGTAGCAAGTCTCGTTGGGGAGCGGCTTGAATTTCAAGAACTCGATGGGCTCGCACACGGCTTCAGTGCCTGATACACCCGTGGAGAGCATAGCCGAGACCAGATAGGTGAATGGCGAGACGCGGTACATGAAGATCCAGAAGCCGGGCATCTGTTGTGGAGTGGCGAGGACACCGCAGAAGATCAGACACAGCGAGAAGAGCAGATTGGCCAGGTTACCACCTGTCTCGGCGAGCTCGATACCGGCGATCATCATGTGTGCGAAGGTCGAGGTGAAGAGTAGGAAGGTCCAGATGAGCAGAAACATCAGCGCGCCGCGCTCGTGCACTGCGCCGGTGGGTTCGGCGTTGCGGTAGAGACCGATCGGATAGTACCAGCAGACGAAGATGAGGAAGGCCATGAGCGTGTTCCAGGGAAGTTCAACGAGGATGTTGGCTGCCATGAATGACTTCCACGAGTATGCCTTGGACGGCCGCTCGCGCACCTCGTACAGGGAGCGCTGCGTCACGAAGTGCGGCATGATCTGCTGCACCAAATTGCCGAAAATGGTCATCAGCATGAAGATACTGAACATCTGGTTCTGGAGACCTTGGATACTGTTTTGTGCCTGGAAGAAGGAGAATCCGATGTACATTGCGGTCAGGACACACAGCGCCGCCTTGGAGTAGATGTAGACCGGCGTGCGCCAGTACTGCGCGAAGACACGGACCAGACACTCATATAGCTGCACGGAGAAAGGAGCGGCGAATTCCTTGAAACTGTCCGGGTCGTCGCTGGTTGTCTCCTGGGGTTTCTGGGAGAGGGTCGATTTCAGCTCTGCGAGGTGCGCCAGCACTCCTTGGCGTTCGGGGCTCTCGCGCCAGACAGCAGGCCAGTCGATGTCGCTGTGGGATCCGGGGGCGGCACCGATGACCTCAAGCATCCATTCGGCCGGGTTAGCCTCGGATGACAGCTTGGGTGCGCCGTTCTTCTCGAAGTAGTTGGCCAAGATAGAGGACCTCTCGCCGATCTCACCAAAGTAGACGGTCTTACCACCCTTGGCGAGGAAGAGGAGACGATCAAACCGCTGAAAGAGCATGGCGCTGGGCTGATGGATGGTGCAGAGGATGGCTTGGCCATGCTTGGTGAGGGTGTCAATTAGATCGAGAATGGACCAAGAAGTCTGGCTGTCAAGACCGGATGTGGGCTCGTCCAGGAACAGGAGCAGCTGCGGCTTCGCAGCGAGCTCGACTCCGATGGTAAGACGCTTGCGCTGTTCAACGTTGAGACCTTCACCGGGAACACCAACGACGGCGTCGGCATAGTGCTCCATGCCAAGCAGCTTAATAACCTCCTCCACGTAGTCAACTTTCTCCTGATGGGAGAAGTGGGCCGGCTGGCGGAGAATAGCACTGAAGCGAAGAGCCTCGCGGACGGTGCTCGTGTGGAGATGAAGATCCTGCTGTTGTACGTAACCTGTCTTCCGCTGGAAGGACTGGTCACGGAGACGACCGTCGACAAGCATCTCGCCGCTGACGACACCCATGGTGACACGGGTTGCAAGGACATCCAGAAGAGTGGTTTTACCAGCACCGGAGACACCCATGAGAGCCGTGCAAGTACCCGGCTTAACCCAGCCATCGACGTGATCCAGAATACGGCGCTCCTCCTTCTTGATTTTGATGTCGTAGCATACGTCTTGCCAGTGGAAGACAGCAGTCTGCCTTTGGATATTGGCAGTGACTTCCTTGCCGCTCGACTCGTCTGTCTTCTCGGCCGGGCTCACGGTCTCGGGCTGCTCGATATCGTCTTCGGATCGCTTTCCGGGGGCATGTCCGCGACGGAAGAGCAGAACCTCGCCCTTGGACTTGGACTCGGAGATGTACTCGGTGGCGATCAGATAGGTGGCCATGAAGAAGAACATGAAGCCAAGCATGATACCCAGGTTCCTCCACTTGTGGCTGTTGTCGTAGTGAAAGCCGTCATGGAGATAGTCATCGCCGTACACAACGCTGAGACCTGTGCGAGCACCCTTGGATGAACAGATCTTGTTATCCGGGCCGACGTTCTCGTAGCCGGGACCGGCAGGGATGAAAGATTCAGGCAGGCACGTGAATGCCCGGTTGTGGAACTCGTTGACCATGAGCGACTCGAAACCGTACGCAATCGGGTCAATGTAGTTCATCCATCGGGACCAGCCAAGCATGTTGATAGTCGGGATGGTGAAACCGGTGTAGATAATCAGACCCAGGATCAGGATGGCGGCGGGCACCAGAGCCTGAGACAGCGTACGCGAGGTGGCAGCAATGGTCCGGAAGATCATGGACATGGTCAGGGTGGTCATGATGGAGAAGAGAAGGAACGTAAAGAAGGCACCGGGAGTCTTGCGAAGACCGGTCATGAAGTAGAGCGTGATGTTGAAAGTGACGGCGTTAAGGAGCTTGTACGGCATGTCACACAACATGGACGCTATTGCTTCAGCAAACGGGTGATACATGGCGTAGCGAGCTTGCTTTTCGACAATTGGACGTTGCGCATAGAGGGTCAAAATCTGGTAATCCGTCAGCATATGTATAGGGCGATATTTCACAAGGAACTCACCTCGAGTGCACTAGCGAAAGCGTTGAGCAAGACCGCAAAGAATAGAAGAGCACCACGAGAATAAAAACTGTCCGTGGTGTCCTCCAACTGATAGAAAACGGAACCGATAATCAAAGCCATTATAGTGTTGCCGATGAGTTGGCTCAGGGTTAAACTCGCGTCACCCTTCAGACGCTGGAATCCTCGCACCATACAGAGACTGACCTGCTGCGAGACAGACATAGTGTAGGGAGACTTGACTCGCTGATTCTTTGCCTGCATGGCCCGACGAGAGTCGATGAACTTCTGCACTGATTCGCCTCCGAGAGGGAACTCCTGCTCGTACTCTTCGATTTCTTTCATCAGGTTCTTATAAGCGGCGCTCTTCTTCCAGGCAGCCGCAAACTCGTCGGGTGTCCGGGGGACCAGACTCTCGAAGCCAGGCTTGACAATTCGCTCAGCCGGACTGGTCAAAGAAGTCAAGAAATCGGCGGTCGTCTGACGTTCGGGGCAGTCGAATCCCATGGTAGTAAAGAACTCCTTGGCCTCATTTGTGGGGCCAAAGTAGATCTGGCGACCCTCATACAACACGGTCACCTTGTCAAACACATCATAGGCACTCTGGGAAGCTTGGTAGATGGCCACTGCAACCGTGGCACCGGCATACTTGGTCATCAGGTTGAGTGTCTTGCAGAACTCGAGTGCGTTCGCACTGTCCAGACCACGGGTACTGTTATCCCAGCACTGAAGAGGGCTGCCGCACAGGGTGGCCTCGGCAATACTAACACGCTTCCGCTCACCACCACTGACACCGCGAACGAAATCATTGCCGACCTTGGTGTTGATGGTGTGTGTCAGGCCGAGCATGGCCATAACCACATCGCGCATATGTTCAGCGTATTGCTCGCGCGTGATGCCGGGTAGCCGGTTGCGAGGGGCGCGAGCGAGTGCCGCGAACTTGAGCGTGTCTCCCACGGAAAGCTGAGGGAAATGGACGTCCGTCTCGGCCGTGTAGATGGCCTCGCCACGGAATTGGTTTTTCATCAGCTTGTCGGAGATACCTAGAATTCGGTCAGACATAAGTCCCCTAGCTTTCTATAAGTAGCTCACCTTGATAGTTCATGTGGGTATCCTTGTCTTTGTGAATTCCGTTCATCTCTCCAGTCAGGGTCTTCAGGAAAGTCGAGCAACCACTGCCAGGCCGACCCAAAACGACCAGCATCTCGCCGCTCTTCACCAAGCCATCAAAATCCCGCAGAATCTGGATCTTCTGCTTGCCAGTTCCGGTAAGCATACGGGCCAGCGCTCCAATCTGCAGAACAGAGTTGAAGACATCCTTTTGGTAGTCTGTCGGACTGCCGAAGCCGTGGACACTGAGATTCCTGAACGCCACGCCCGCTCTCCGCTGCGGGTAGCGTTCCGGGTCGCGAGAGGTGATAGCCAGCAGGTTCTTCATCCAGTTCTTGGCCTTGAAATTAGGGCTGGCCGGGTTCAATGTGGAGTCCTCCTTGGTACTCGCGAAGGGGTTCTCCGTGTTCTCGCCGGAAACAGAGTAGTGCGTCGACTGTCGAGTCAACTGCCGGGCCAGGCGAGTGACCTCGGCTTCAATGACCTCCTCATTGCCGACTTCGTTGACCTTGTCGAGGGCTGTGTCGTCGGAGCTCACGCTGGCGGCCGGGTCATGGCGCCGGGCCTCAACCGCGGCCGTCTGGTCTGACTCCGGGTTGAAACTGGGGTTGATCGTCCCCAAAAGAGACATGGTGACCGTCGACCCTCAGTAAGGTGAAAGGGGGTGTATTATTATTTATAGAAATTATGCGACCATCAAACGGGCAGGGAGTGGGTCGCGTCTGCCAGAATAGAACACAAAGAAAAGAATTAGGATTTAGAAGAACAAAATTTGAAAGAATGACGAGAAAGAAAGAAAGAGTGTGAGTGCCACAGGTGCTAGGAATAAATAAGAATCAAAAACCATGCGAACGTCGGACCCGAGCAAAAAATTCGATTGCATCGCGCATCGGGTCCGGGACGAGGCTTGGCTCCGGAGGCGAGACCCATAAAGGAAAACGGGGGAACTGGAGATAAGCAGCCGAGCGGAGGGTCAGACTCCCGGTTCCCACCAGTATAGAAGCGGGTGGACCTGGATCGACCAGAAAAGAATGCTGATATTACGATTATTCGATCATTTGTTCGATCGGAGCCGTCTTCCTGCCCGTTTGCACTCCATCTCATACTTGTTCATCCCAATTCCGACATGAATGTGCCATGTTGCCCAGTCCACGTGCTCCGCACGGGACTCGCCCTTTCCGAGACTGACAAGGGCGGATGTCTTTTTGCCGTCTCGGATGCCGGGGTCAGAGCATCCGATTGGCTGGGATCTTCGAGGTCCTGACTCAGCGGAATTATGCAATGCATTATCCCTAACGCCCTTGGACGCCTCATCTGCTTGCGGTGGCCTGATATTAATCAGGTCGGTGGCCACGCCATCACTGCGTTGTCTTGGTTGGGTTCGGATATCTTGATGAAAAATTATACGCAATTCGTTAATATGAGAATAAAATTGAGAAATATACATGTTCACTATTCAATGGACGACGCCAGTGTTGTTCATGAGTTATTGCAAGTGGTGTTGACATATATGTCTGCCAAGGCGGCCTAGATCTTATGTCTTGGATTCATCAGATCGACAACTCGACCCATCGCTGGTACGCGAACACCCACTGGGACAAGGGTAGGTAGGGTCATATTGCCAGAAGAACAACGGATCTGTCTCATTGGTCAACACATTCCCAATCAATCGAGCCTGGTCAGGGAGGTCGAAGGATGCTTCGAAGATGTCCACCGAGGCTACCCGGATCTGACCCCATCCCTTTGTGATGAGTGTGTCGATGGAAGTGCCGTAGATATATTCCCGGAACCCGGACCAGCGAATGGCCGATGCACACTTTTGTATATACATCAGCTCCAAGTCCCGATGAAAATAAACAGGGATGCCAACGCTGCTTACCATCGGACAGCTCTCCGCATTCGTGTACAAGCTGAGGTCGGTAAATGCAGCTTGGGCTTCGGTCGGGCTCATCTGAAACCTGCCGCGCGGATCGGTAAGGACGGCGGTACAGTTTTTGATAGCGGCCATCTCCCCTGGTATATGTAGAAGGTGTTGTAATTAGAAAAAAACAATAAGGTTTGAGTTGTGTTGTTTTTTTGGCAGTATCTCACCTTGCAGCGACGGATTCCCGGTTTGACTCGCCGAATTGGCGCCCATACACACCAGTTCTCCCAGCCCATCGGGATGTTGCGTGTGGTTGACAATAACGGACCCGAATGCTGCGAATGGGCAGGCAGAACCACCGATCAGGGAAAGTGCCTCATTGGCAAGACGCATCCAATGCGCACGGGTGGCGAAGGAGACCCCGTTGATGATTAGGGTTGGATTGGCAATTGTGGCAACTGCAGATGTCACTGAAGCAAAGGCAAAAGCAAAAAGCGTAGGAAGATACATATTGATATTTGAAAGCTATCCAGCTGCGAAGAGGCGCGCAGATCATCGTTCAGGGAGAATGGCATATTAAATACAGTCCTAAAGAGGATGCTGCTACGCAAGACTAGATTAGGTATTAGGAGGTCGCCGCAGACCGATATCTTGCAGACTCACGTCCCCGCATGACGGACAGACGTCGGGGACCGATTACATACGGATATAGTTTGATATCCTGCGGCGGCCTATGTAACGCTGTAGTTCTCTTTGTATTTATCCTGCTTGCCGAGGTATAGTGGAAGGATACCAACGAAATTATTCCCGGTGATTGACCTGTTACATGGTGATATACAAGGGCATCGGGATGATACGCTGACTAACTCCTAGTATAATGCTAATAATCCCCAAGAATGAGAGAAAGTGTCAGGAAAATAAACCCCAGATCTATACACAGCTGGACGGCAGTTGACTAGTTCATCGGCAGACTCCACAACCCCACCTACGTCTTCTCAGCAGAGCAGAACGCATGTTCAACAACCCCAAGCACAGGCAACAAGTCATCAAAACTACCTGTAGCTATATGAGAAGACACGGTTATCCAAATCTAACCCTCCATTTAAATATTCAAAATGAACACCACCGCAGTACCTCACCCAGAACCCACCACCACCCAGCAACCACGCCCAGGAGCAGACGCAGACGTCAGCGCTGCTACCCTCCAAACAAAGCTCTCAACCCTGATAAACAACTTCGTAACCACAAACCCTCAATCCCGCGCATCCCACGACAATGCCCGCAAATCTCTACCAGGAGGCAACACGCGATCCGTCCTAAGCTCCGCTCCATTCCCTCTGACCATGAAAAGCGGAAAAGCGCAATATCTCACTTCCATCGACGGAAAAGAGTACCTGGATTTCACGTCCAATTTCTCAGAGGCGCTCTACGGCCACTCGCACCCCGTGATAGAGGCCGCAGTTAAAGAAGCACTGTCGAATGGCTTCAGCATGGGCGCGGTCTCGAACAAAGAGGCGCAGCTGGCGGAGATCCTGAAGGAGAGGTTTGCGAGTATTGATTATGTGAGGTTTTGTAACTCTGGCACGGAGGCTAACACGTTTGCGCTGCTTGCTGCGTTGGCTTTTACGGGGAGGAAGAAGGTATGGCGCGTGCTTTTCCTGCGCTCCCCTTCTCTCTCGCTCATTGACATATATAGGTATTGGTCTTTCGCAATGGGTACCATGGAGGTACGCTAACATTCGCCAACGACACAAACCCCATGACTCTCCCCTTCGACTTTGTCCTCGGCGAATACTGCAACATCGAGCACACCCGGCAGCTAATCACCTCCGACCTCGGCGCCATACTAGTCGAACCAATGCAAGGCGCAGCGGGCATGCTACCCGCAACAGCAAAATTCCTCACTTTTCTCCGCGAAGAAGCCTCTCGGACTGGCGCCGTCCTCATCTTCGACGAAGTCATCACCTCCCGACTACACTACAACGGCCTGCAAGGTCACTTTGGGATATGTCCGGACATGACAACGCTGGGGAAGTACATCGGCGGAGGATTCTCATTCGGTGCATTTGGCGGACGGGCCGATATCATGTCTCAATTTGATCCTGCTGTCGGCACGCCCGGGACTGGTCGTGTGCTCACCCACTCTGGCACGTTTAACAATAATGTTTTCACCATGACTGCTGCGCTGGCAGGTTCGAAGCTCGTGACGAGGGAGTCGCTTTCGGGGTTGAATGCACTGGGTGATGGGTTGCGTCAACGGGGGAATGAGATTGCGAGGGACCATGAGTGGGTGGGGATCGAGTTTTCGGGGATGGGGAGCGCGGTTGGGGTTCATTTTGGGGGAAGTGGGAATAGTGAGGTGTTACGGGACTGTTTCTATTTCTACATGTTGGAACGCGGGATCATGGTTGGTCGGCGTGGGTTTGTGTCGCTGAATCTGGCTCATAGGGAAGAGGATGTTGATCGGTTTTTGGATGCTGTTCGGGCATTTGCAGTGGAGATGAAGTCTCTTTGTCTGATATAGTTGCTCTGATGCGACGGAAACGAATATGCAAGGGAAACACGCCTAGGCTCGAACTACTTGAAGAACTAGACGACTGTCATCAAGTACGTGGTATTCATCTCATAAGCCCACCAGAATGCTGAACGCCAAGTACTAAACAAGTAATACACGGAAGAGAAGAAGGCGGAGTACAGCATCATGCCATCTCCGCCTCCACCTTTTCCTCTTCGTCTTCATCCTCTTCATCCTCAATCGGCTCAACCAGAAGATTACCACCCCTCCCAATCTTATCACGGATCGTGCCCCCGTCATCGACCGCAAACACCGCTCGCGGCATGGGAGAGACCAAGCGGAAACCATACTGGTGCTCAAACCCTTCCGGGGGAGACACATCTGTTGGCCGTGCCTCGTCCTGCAGTAGCTCGTAACACTCCACGACAGCGTATAATTCTTCGATATCTGCGTCTGGTGCGAACTTGCGCATGATTCGCTCTCCCGATGGAAGTCGGACACTAATCCGCACGGCATCTTTGACATCCGCCCCCGGCTCGGGCTGAAGAGACTGCGTGCGCCAGGCTTTCCATTGCGCGAGATCGCTCTGTCGCTTCTCCTCTGCGGCCTGTCGGTCTGCCGCTTCCTGTTCCTCGCGCTGCCGCGTCGCCTCTGCCTCGCGGCGTTGCCGGGCTCGCTCCCGGTCAATGGCCAATGACCGCTCGTAAGCAGAGTCTTGCTCCTCACGCAGGCTGCGGGAGGCCTGCTGCTCGGCGCGTGTGGACCGGATCCGCTCCAGCGGCTCCTGGTTGGACGTAATACTGGTCCGCAATCGGGACACCATCTCCGACGGGGAGGTGGTGCCTGCGATTCTGCCTATCACCGACATGGCGGTCGAGGACACATTAGGCGTGTGCACGATAACCGCCGCAAAGGGAAATTTGGTGCACCGCAGCGAGTTGGACACCTGGTACGCCTCGGAATCCCGCACGTTGCCACCCCATACCAGCAGGTTGTTCTGGGGGTCGTTGATAAACTCGACCACCTCGGGCGCCAGCAGCGTATCCCTGACCCAGCCGGTGGTATCATCGTGCTCTGGGGACATGAGAATAACCAAAAGAAACTTCAGATCGCGCTGCGCCTTCTCCAGCGCCATGTTGTACCCGTTCTCCAGGAACGGAATCGTGTGCGAGCCATACTCCTCCTCGAACTCGCGGATGAACCGGGCCGCCGTGTCCTTGGGGCCTAGTGCTCGCCGGCCGGTTGTGTTTCGACTCGCGCCTTGTAGAGCGGGGTTGACGGTGGTGGTGAATAGCCGCGGCAGAAATGGGAAGAGAGTCCCAAATAGTCGGAATGAGCTGGCGAGGAGTCGGTAGACCAGGCTGAATGGGGTAAAGAGTAGGGCAAGGATGAATGGCGGGCGGTATACGGGTTGGTCTTCGGGCTGGGTGTCGACTCGGGGTGCGAGATCGGCCCTACGAATGGCTGGTGGAGATATGGTTGCCGTGAGATCGTCCGACATCAGGTTTTGGGTGCGGCGGGTTGGCCGTGGTGGCGGTGGAGGGTCGTTCATGGACGAGCGAGCTTCCTCGACCGGGTCGGGGCCTTCGCCATCGAAGAACTTGGAGATGGCGATCTGTGGAGTGGTGTATCAGCATGAGAGGTACTACTATATGGGGCCAACCACGACTCACTTGGACATTCCATTGTGACCGACGCAGTAACGGGATAGCCTCGGCAGGTTCCTGGCCGGTCAGGGTAGTGTAGGTCTCCAGCGCGGACCTCTCGCTGTCAGAGAGCTGGCCGATGTCGAGGTCAGACATGTTGATGACAATGGAAGATACCAGACTGAGATAGAGTGCAGCTAAGCTGTCCTCTCTATGAGCTCCCTCACCGCCTGGCACTTACTTTCCCCCTTCCGAAGGTCGCCCCGCGTCATCTCGTTCGACTCTCTCTTCGTAATTGCTCGCGACTATTATATATCCTATTTTTATCGGAAAACGCATGTCACCTGCTCCGGCCGGTCTGCCCTTGACCGCTGCCCCGGATTCCGCCCAGAATTGACCCGCCACCGCGCGCCGTGTACCTGTTTCGCGAGGCATCGGACCGTAGGGGAATGCGGCTACCCCCAAGCAAACCGATCCGCTTCGTCTTGCCGAGTGTAGTGTCAATGGAGATCCTACTGCGCTGATTCGTACCGTTTTGTGGGTATCAGTCATCCCAGCTTATGGCGTCCACCGGGAAGCCGCCGCTGGACGACTCGCGTCGCACCACAGGGTCGCCCAAGATGAAGACACGAGGTGAGATCGGATGGATGAACAATCTGGAGGGGCGTGGGAGAGTGACTGATTGTGTTTGTAAAGCAGAGAACGCCAAAGATACGTTGTGCCGCAATGTAACCATATATGGACGATGTCGCTATGAAGATAAAGGTATTCTCGACGAGAGTGTCGATTGAATGGCTCTGACTCGAGCGTTAGGGTGTGCCTTTAACCACGATCCGATGAAAGTGAATGCCGCGCATCAAGCTCAAGCTGAGAGGTGAAGACTCGTCCAACCATTATTCAGACACCCTAAAAGCTGACAATCATCAGCGCGGCGAACAAGAAACGATTCAACGTGGACTCGCCTAGTTTCACCCCGTCGCTGTTGTCGGGCAACGGTGCGTCTACCCCCAAGAGGTCCACCATCTCGCCCAAAGCCGCCAACGCCGCTCCGTTCCAGCCGCGCACTGCAGCGTCCCGTATGAGTCTGCCCCGAGATTCGAGACGTATTGGTGCTAATCAACCTCAGCAGCGAGACAGGATACCGCGACGCCCGACTGGACCGTGGCCGAGGTGCAGGAGTTTGTACCCCAGGGATTTGATGTGGTAAGCTTGACTGGTCCCTTCCTTCAGTACATCCCGAGACACTTTTCTTCCCTTCCCTTCCCTGCCTTACACAACCAACAATGCTGGGATCCTTTTCCAACCGCTCTACTCGGAGCTTAAATGCTCTGGCGGATGACTTTGATCCCATTGTGTCTTGCGTGCCACCACGTCCACTGCATCGCATGGGCCCGTCTACCTTTGACCCGTTCGATCCACACCCGGAGATAACATGGGCGTGGCAGCCCCCCGAACAATACGATTACCCATATCACAGCTCGAGCCACGCTCATTTCTTCTATCATACTGACCCGTCCTTTCAGGCCCCTCTCCAGGGTAACGGCAATGGAGGCATCACAGCCTCGAACGCCTTCGATCCCTTCGTCAACGCCTCGACTCCCTTGGGCACTCCCGGCGCTGTGGGCCCCGTGCCGACCAACCCCTACTCTCACGATCCTGCGGCCGCTTTAGGGGGAACCGCGTTCTTCGGAAACCAGACTGGCTTCCAGCAACCAGTATGCTACTTCCTGAACCTTGGTGGGAATATGTCTGACACCCTGCAGGTCCAGTACCATCTGTATGCCCCGATTGGCCCTCACAACCAGAACACCCTTGGCTACCAACGGAATGTCCATGATCTCTTCCTCCCCAATGACTTCCGCGAAGAACTCCAGAAGAAGGCTGCTGCCACCTTGCAAACCCTACCCAGTACGTTGGACCCATTCTCCATCGAGAATTCAATGAGGTTGACAGCACATTAGACACAACACTGCCTTCCCAAGTCGATTATTTCCATTCCCTCGTCCCCTTGGATCTCACTCACCAGAAGAACGCGGCTACGTTCGGCTACCCCAGCTGGGTGTACAAAGCACAGTCCAGCAAAGATGGGAACTTTTATGCCCTACGAAGACTAGAAGGTATGCCGTTCTTGATTCACAAATAAACCCACGACTAATCAATCGGTCTAGGTTTCCGCTTGACTAACGAAAAGGCGATCCGATCAGTCCAAGCTTGGAAGCGGGTGTGCAACGGCAGCGTGGTTACTTTGCATGATGCATTTACTAGTCGAAGCTTCCAAGACAGCTCATTGATCTTTGTCACTGACTATCATCCGTTGTCCAAAACCCTTGCCGAGCAGCACCTGGGCGCTGGTCAGCGGTTTCAAAACCGGCCGAACACCCATATCCCCGAGCAGGTGATCTGGGGCTACATGACTCAGATTGCGAACGCTGTCAAATCGATCCACACCAACGGCCTTGCCGCACGAGTCCTCGAACCGAGCAAGGTTTTGTTGAGCGGCAAAAACCGCATTCGGCTGAACGCTTGTGGCGTTTTGGATGTGGTGCAGTATGACTCGCAGCGGACGGTAGCCGATCTTCAGCGGCAGGATCTGGTCAATTTCGGGCAATTGATTGTGGCCCTCGGCGCCAACCAGCCGAATGTGATGCACAACCCGACTAAAGCCATGGAGCATTTTACTCGGGCGTACAGCCCACAACTGAAGAATTCGGTCTTCTGGCTGTTGAATGGACTTCAGAAGGATCAGGATCGGACGATCGATATATTCATCACGGGCATTTCATCCCAGCTGATGTCGACCTTTGACTCGGCACTCCATCTGGACGATCAGCTTACGTCGGATCTCAGCCGCGAGCTTGAGAACGGGCGTCTCGTGCGTCTGATGACCAAGCTGAACTTTGTCAACGAGCGGCCAGAATACGAACATGACCGGCAGTGGTCGGAGACCGGCGAGCGATATTTCCTCAAGATCTTCCGCGATTATGTCTTCCATCAAGTGGATGCTCAGGGCGATCCGGTTGTCGATCTGGGGCATGTGTTGACCTGTCTGAACAAGCTGGACGCGGGCACCGATGAGAAGATTACCCTGATCAGCCGGGACGAGCAGAATTGCTTTATTGTCAGCTACAAGGAGATCAAGAAGGCGCTCGAGTCGTCCTTCCAGTCGCTGATGAAGCCGGCGCGGCGAATGCATTAACTACTCAGGGAGGGAGGTTTTTTTTTTTCGGACCATGTGGCTATGCTATGATTATATGAATTTGGGATTGCTTTTTTATTGTCTAGGAACAGCAAGCAATACGAGGAAGGGAAGAGGTATTGTTATAGCCGCGAGGCATTGTGAGTGGAAGGCAGGCATTTTGGTTTACACGGCATGCAGCTGCCGTTCGATGGATATACAATCAAATAACTCAAAGAATGAAGAATTATCCCAATGCAATTGTATCTCTCTCTCTGTGGTGATCATCACAGCTCAGCATGAATCCTCGGTTGCTCCCCTTCCACCCCGAACTGTCCCAGCAGCCTCTCCTCCAACTCCTCGGGACTTATCTCCCCCGAATCCTCACTCGGCTCCTCTTCCTTCTCACCCACCATCTTAGGCGGGATCAAGACCCGATCCAGAACATGCACCACCCCATCCCTCGCAATCCGATCCAACTCCACAACCCTCTCGAACCCATTCACCCGCATCACCACGTCCCAATGATGTCTATACTTAAGATCAACGCTAACAGTCCGATTGCCCAACCTCGTCGGCAAAACAACGTGAACCCCTTTCTCCTTCCCGCCCTCCTCCCCCCTCCCCATCTTCGACTTAGAACTAAACACCTCAATCCCTCCGGTGGATGTATACAATACATCAGAATAAAGCGTCTGATTGCTCACAAGGTGGTACTGCAGCAGCGCACGGAGACAGTATTTTCCCCGTTTCGAGAACAGGAATGCATTCGCGCGCCGGCCTAGACGCTTGAATGCTTCGTTCGTGGGCACGAAGGTCGTTCCACCTCGGCCGTTTTTGTGGTTCTTCTTTTTCTTGTTAGTCAGGTTCTTGTCTAGGCCGGTTTTGGAGAGGCCGAATGTGAAGGTGCTGAATGTTTCGGGGGATAGCTCGAGCTGGGTTAGGGTTAGAGGGGGTGGCACGAGGGGGGTGTTTATGGCGTGGATGAGGCCGTTTGTTGCTGTCTGTAGAATGATTAGTTCTTCTTCTTTATACATCAGATGTATAAGTATTAGTTAGGTATACTCACAATATCACCAACAACGACCCTCCCGCCCCAATTAAGAACCACCTCCTCCCCAAACCCTCTGGAGACAACAACCCTCTGCGGCAGATTCTTCCCAAGCGCAGACTCATTAAACAGCGTCGGCAGCGTCTGCAGTCCAGCAGCAACAAGTTCCTCAACGCCGACTCTGCCGGGAATAATGTGGTACCGCAGCAATCGGCTCAGGAACTTGCGCGAGGGCTTTTTGCCTCCTCCCCCTTCGCGCGGCAGACGGGCGAGGGCGCGGTTTGTCGGTGCGAAGACTGTGTAGTTCGCTGCGGAGCTGTTTAGGAGCGTTACCAGGTTTGTGTCTGACGAGAGGATGTCGGCTAGGTGGGCTGTTTGGCGGTCTTCGCTGAGCAGTTCCCAGATTGTGAGCTGCGCAGGGCAGAGATCTGAGCCTGGACAGCGGCCCGGGTGTGGATGTGGGTAGGGACCACGGTGAGGACGACGAGGACGGCGATGGGGCGCTCTGTGCTCTCCATCGTCGTCATCATCATCATCGCCCTCATCATCGCTGTCACTATCATCACCATCGTCGCCATACTCCCCATCTTCCTGACTAGTACACCCGCTCTCCTCCGGAGTGGCGATATAAGAATAAGAATCAACAACATCGAAGACGGAGTCATGTTCATCTTTCATCATCGTAAGAGCCCATAACAGATCACTATCAATATCATCCTCCTCAATATCCACAACATGAGAAGGAACATCCAGCTCTCCAGCATTTCGCTCAGGCTGCTGCTTCTCTAAGCGAAACTGGCCTAGCACCTTCTCATCTGGAACCACAAATGCAGAAGACAGCGGTGCCACTGCCGCTACTGGGAGGAAGAGGTGAGCGAACCGCATCGTAGGCGGAGGAAGTACGGGTAAGGCAAGGCACAGAACAAGTATGGGGATGGGATGAGAGGGGATGGGGATAGGTAGGATAACAAACAAACAAACAGGCCTAGTTATCATTACTATATAGCTATATAACATGTGTGGCCATTTGCTGACTAGGGGAGAGGGAAGATCCCTGTCCGGAGAAGAAGGTGGGACAAGACGCGACAAACCTGCTTGCGAGTCAATCAATATTGGAGATTTCGTACCCGGCTAGATGTGTCCCGTGCATTGTGCTGCACATACTACTGGGTCCGTACTACCTAGTTCTTTAGACGCTTCCAAGTTCTATGTAGGAAGGGGTGCGACGTAGGCACATACTGCCTAGATGTGTACCTGTATGTACAGTGTGTCACACTGAGTCCAACCACGCACTGCACTCTGACACGAACAAACAAGTTAAACAACTAGTCATATCTTTATGGCTGAGGCGTATATTCTGATGTGAACTGAATGGTGCAGCAATTATGAGAGATGGCGTCGACAATCATCGGCAGGACTGACGCGTTCCATTCGGATCTTGTGGGACATATCTTCCCTCAAATATTCTCAAAATCTCTTGAACTGACTAAACGAAAAGGTATATACAGAATTGCATCCATCATCCACCCATAAATACTTCCCCGCCACTCAACTCCAGATTCCATCGCACCTATGTGTTGTATTGTTCAATCCAAATCCGGAATAGGCAACCCATTAACAATCTTCACCTTCCGGCCCAACTTATCCAGCGCAACGATCGAGTTCTTCGCGCGCAGCTCAGACGTCTCCGCATCAGAAACAAGCACAAAGTCATACGTGAGCAAGGCATGGCCCTCCGGCACGCCGTACTTGCTCGCTATCTCCGGGCCCGCCTTGCCGATGTCAACGGTGAGGGAGTCCTTGACACCGAAGACGGCGTCGGAGGTTTCGTAGGGGTCGTTACGGAGGTAGAGTGCGCTATCATATCATCAGCATATCTCTCCCCCACAGGTATAATAGGAAGGAAGGGAGGGACTGAAACATACGTAATCAAATGGTCATAACCCTCCTTCTCAAACATGAAATGCATATGGCTCGGCCTATACGGATGGCGATGCAACTTCTTCAACAGCCTTCCAACAGGCCCGTCATGGGGGATGGGATAGGGCACGGGGGTAATAGCCTTGAACCAGAAAATGCCCTCTTTATCCGAGCGCATAATACAGCGCCCCTCGGGCTGCTCGCGCCCGGCATACTGCACATCATAATGGCCCGAGGAATCCGTCTCCCAGATATCGATCTTGACGCCCTCGACGGGACGCCCCTCTGTATCGCGCAAAGTGCAGACGACCAGCAGTGGCTCGCCGGAGGGGTCGTGCGACATCGACTCGCCAGCGGGCATCTCTTCGGCGTCGTGGGTGTGGAATGGGCCCAGGACTGTGCCTTCGGTTGAGCCCGGTGGTTTGGGGTGGTCAATTGAGTCGACTAGGATGGAGAGGCCGAGTACGTCGGAGAGGAGGATGAATTCCTGTGTCAATTGCCCGCATTAGAACCTGTCCTTGACAATAGTGATAATATGTTATACGCCGTGGGGTATATATATACCTGCCGCACATCCGTACAGATCTGTCCCACTTCCGTCAAAAACTGCAACCCCGTCATCCACTCGTCGCTGCTGAGACGGGTCTCGCGCGCAAAGTCGTGCAGGTGCGTGACTAGGCGCTCGAGCACGTATTTCATGCGCGGGTCCTCGCAGAGCGAGTTGATGGTGATGACATTCTCGGTGATGTTCTCCGTCGTGAGATCTTTCATCGGCGGGATCTTGACCTGCGAGGGATCCATGGTGACGGCGGAAGTGGGAGGGAATCAGATCAATGAAAGGATCCAGAATCTGGGGAAGGGGTTGCGTCTTATTTAAATCACTTCTCTCCGGTGTTGAACTCGGCAGTTGGCGTCTCCCCGCAGTCCCGTTCTCGATGATTCAGAGATTGATAATTAGTTAACTAGCATAGACACACACACCCCACTACACACCCCGCCAGTCAACCAATGTTGGCCACGGAATTACGGAGCAGTTCTTAGTTCACACCAATTGAGCAGGATCTACCTAGTAAATCATGTTCCGCCGGTTATACTCTCAGCTACAACTGTGCAGCTCTCAAGGTTAATAACCCCACCGGATGATGACCAATGTTAGGAAGCATTCCGCACTCATTGTGGAGCATCACCCGGCTATAAACTCTTCCTGTCGGATGGACCTTATCCTAGAACTAGTACCTTTGTAGCTACGCCAAATCCAATTGGTATAGAAATATAGAAACACGAATGGCCAAAATGCGAACTATTTCCATGCATCCCGCAGAAATCCCATTCCGTCCGTCCATCACTCCGTCCAAACAGAACTCCAAGCGCTGGTAAACAAAAACAAACCATACAATAGTAACGCCCTCGTTTTCGCTGTACACACTAACACCCACGACCAACGTCCCACACTAGGCTTGCACCAGTCGTCGCTCCCGATCGCGCTCGGCATCCCGATCGCGCTCGGCATCCCGATCATTGCTGCCGTCGCCGGGCCGTTCGGCCCCACGCTCCTTCTCCTGGACGGCAGCGGCCACGCGCGTGTGGTGGTCCACCGTGTCGAGGATAGCCTGCATCAGGCGCTGGTTTGCGTCGGGATCATCGTCATCCGGGTGGGGTGGCCGGTGGGTGGTCCCAGCTGGGACGCGCCGTTCGTGGTAGCGTTGATCGTTCTCGCTCAGGGCTCGCCGGGGTGAGCTGTCCGGGGCCATCGAGGCGGTCGACCCGGACTCGATATGCGGGGCACTCGGGGCGGATTCGCGCCGGTTATGATGCGAATGATGTTGAGCGACTCTCAATGACCCTTCGGGACGTTCCAGGGGCGCTGGGGCGCTGCTCGGAGTATGTGCTCCGGTCGTAGGAAGACCACCTGGGGACCCTTCGCCTGAGCGGGAGGGAAATAAGATGTGCGGTCGGACCGCAAGCAATTCCTCCTCTTTGACTTCCCTCCAGGAACACTTGGCATGCTTCTTGGTGCATCCCATGCACGCCGTCAGGTTCTTGAGACAGTCCATGTGCAGCCGCCGACACCGATCGCAAGGCGGCATCAGGCGCTCCCCGCGCTTCAACTCGTTCATGCGCGCAATCATTTCCAGCTTCCACAGCCCTCCATCTTCTTTCTCTTGAGAGCTCGCCTTTGGGGGCGGCAGTAGCGAGGACGGCGTGCTGGGGATGGCGACCGGGTTCACCGCGGTATTATAAAGGCTGTACTCGGCTGCATCGGAAACCCGTGGCCGCGGCGGTGCGGGCTGCGGGTTGGGGTTCGATGCATCATCATAGCCGCGCGCCTGGCGGTCTGCCGTGGTAAAGAACTTCTTCATCAGCTCGGCGCGCGTCGTGGGGGATGCGCCCTTGATCGAGGTGCCGTTGATCATGGTGACATTGTCAGTGTTGGAGTGAGAAAACATAAACTGCGATGAAAGATTCTCTTCATCGTCATGGCGATTCGCGTTGACAGCGACAAACCCGGCCGCGGGCGAGGAGGCGTAGAGCGATCCCGAGCCGTGACCGTTCGCCTCACGCCAGGGCTCCCCGGCAGAGAGGGACTGTTGCAGAGACACATCGTTCTCTCGCCGGCTCACGATGGCAGTCCGCCGGTTCTTCATGCGGTGGTTCAGCTGCCGAGCTCGTGCAGAAACTATAAATGCCGCAATTAGATTTTGATATCAACATCGTCCGGAGCAATCCCTACTCACCTTGGTCGGCCATCTGGATTATCTGCTGCATATTCTTCTCCAAGATTTCCAGTGCGCCCAACTCCTTCTCCTCGTCCTCGATAATCGGCTGCGGCGGAATCATCTTTTGCGGCATGCCGGAGGCGATGAGCACAAAGTCCTCCTCGCTGATCTCCACACGACACTGTTTTGTGTAAAACTGACAGACCCGCACGCCGTCGCGCTGCTTCTCCAGGTTGAATTGCTCGGGCTTGCTCTTGGCGAACTCGACTACATCCAACCAGGTGACGGTGGGGCCGTCCTTGCCGTGCGTCTTGAGCACGCGCGGGGGCCCGTCGAAGAGGCGCTCGAAGCGTTTGATCAGGATCGGGCCCAGCGGGCATGCGCCGAGGTTGCCGGCGATGCTCTCGTGCCGGTGCAGCACGCCGTCGTACTCGCCGAGGAGGTGGATGATCGCCGGCATGGTGTCGTCGACGGACACCAGCGGGAGGTTGTCCGGGTATTGGCGGGCGAGATAGTTGATCTGGAGGTGGTTCGAGTGCGTCTTGGGGGCTTTGGCGGGCAGGGGAGGGAAGTCGCCGGTGGGAGACCGAGGTCGCTTGTTGGACGGCTCCGCCGTCTCTACTCGGGACTCCATGGCGAGTGAGGGCGGTCCAGTATCGGCCAAAATTGAAGATGTCAAGCGTTGAGAAAAGAGCAAGGAGGAAAAAAAAGGTGTTAGAGCTGCAGGGAAGCGGGGGTCGCCGCTGGGGAAGATGAGCCTGAGACCATGAGGGTAGAAGAGACAGAGGGAGAGAGAGAGGGAGGGAGATCTCGACCGAGACAGAGGCAAGACACAACGGATGTGCCAGCGGAGGCGGGACTCCGCTGAGTATGGGTATTGTCACGGTAATATTCCCTCCAGGGTCCTGCTAGTACTATATAGGAGCATTGAAACTCAACTAAAAGACGGTGGAAATGACCCTAAATGGTATTCCAGTCATCGGACCAGTGAAAAGGCTTGTCCGCACTGAATAGACTATGGTGCACAGTCTCCAGAGATGGCGTAATCGCCCCGTCGATCCAGCATGTGGTATTGCAGCTGCCTGGCTCTACTGGGCGGGAACAACATTATTAGTGCAAAGGGGGGCGGTATGTATGTATGGATCTGTTACAGCCGGGGCGGGAATCCAACCACTCTCTGCCCTCTCTTTCCACCTCCATTCACCTCCTCTCGCTTGATCTAGCTAGTACCCCCAGTCTAGGTATGTCTGTCTGTCTGTCCTAGCGGAAAATCCCTCATACACATTCCTTCCTCTTTGACTTCCCCCCGGTTCCCTGGTTCTCTACTGGTCCGCTGTCCGCGGGTTGCGAGAAAAAAGCACAACTGACCCCCCACCACCAAATCCCATCCCAATCGGTTCATCGCCCAACGTTGACATTTCTGCCCTGCGCTTCTTTTTCTCTTTTTGTGACGTGCTTGCTAACCAGCCAAGCCATGTCCGAACGAGGCTCGTTCCGAGGGGGCCGTGGTGGTGGCCGCGGTGGACCGCGCGGCCAGCAGGGCTCGCAGCAGAAAAGTGGCGGTGGTGGCGGTGCGCAGGAGAAGCCCAAAAGGAAAACATCCTCGACCTCAACAAGTACATGGATAAGGAGGTCCAGGTGAAGTTTAATGGTGGTCGCGAGGGTATTTCCCCCTTTTTCTTTTTCTTTTTCTTTTGATTGTCACCCCACTTGAAGGAAACGTTTCACTAACTTGCTTTTTGCAGTCTCTGGAATCCTCAAGGGCTACGACCAGCTCATGAACCTGGTTCTCGACGACGTCAAGGAATCTATGCGCGGTGCGTCGTCTCTGTAATTCAATTTTCTCTTTTTTTACTGACTGATTTTAGATGACGAGGGCAATCAAACGACCCGCTCGCTGGGCCTGATCGTCGCCCGCGGCACTCTGATCGTGCTGATCTCGCCCGCGGACGGCAGCGAGGAGATCGCCAATCCGTTCGTGCAACCCGAGGAGTAAATAGTTTTTTACTATGTACCTCTCCGGTCAAGGATTTCATGGTTTCACTACATTCTTGGCGCGGTTGCCTTGGCGCCATGCGAAACGTCCCTCAAGGTTTCATTTCATCATGATCAGTTCGCATTTCAGTAGAGAAAGCTGCCGGTTTGAGGCACCAATGTCTTATTGGGGCTTCTTTCTCATATATCCAAATCATGGCTCATCGGTTATGGACGAAGGGAATGGAGGGGCGTATTATTGGATGCGGGGTTTCTTTTGATTCACGGGATTCGAATGATAAAAGTCATTCACTGCTGGACGCTTCATCTTCAAAATTCCCAAGGATATAACTACCTAGACACCACAGAAAAGAGCAAATGCAAGAACAAAGATTAAACCAGCACCAGGAATAACATGCATAGTCATAACGCTTCAATTGAGGAAGATATAGTCTCAAGAGGTATCATAGATTCTGTACAGATCCCAAATTCTACGGCGCAACAGGTCGCACCATATCCCCATAATCATCCCCCTCCCCATCATCGCCTTGTTCATCAGCATCGCCATCTTCGGGTTCCCCAGGCGGCCTCGGCAAAGGACGCATCGTCAGATCCTTCAAGCGCCGCACGCCATCTGTCTCCTCAACCCACGGCCCAGCCTTCTCCATGCCATCAATGCACTCCACTCCCACGCGCAGATTCAAGCTCGCGCTGAGCGCACGCTCCACACGCGCCTCACGGCTTTGCGAAACGAGAGACCGGAAAACGTGCACGAGAAATCCACCGATGATATCCACGCTCCAAGCCTCGGGGACGAGATCCAGTACCTCGCGAACATCGAACCAGGCCGCGAAGCGGGCGAGAAGATCGCTCGTGCGCTCGATGCGGTCGGACAGGTCTTGTATCTGCAGGAACTCGTCCAGCAGATGTCGGAACAGCGTCGATTGCAGACCATGCTCGGCGAGTTCGGGCGGCGCACTGCTGCCGGTATGGTGGCGTGGCCCGCCGAATAGGCAGTAGCGGATGGCGGAGTCATAGTCGCCTAGTCCGTGGGTAAGCAGGCGGAGCGCGGCGCGGTGGTGACCCTGTAGTCCGTCGAGAATGATGCATTCCGAGACGAGCTCATTCTGGAACGGCTCGATGCGCTCCAAAACAGCGGGGATTGAGTAGCTGATTCCGGTTGGGACGGGCGAGGTGGTGAACTGGGTGCCTGAGCTGCCGCCTAGGAGCTGGAGGAGACGCAGACGAGACTGCCACCAGGATTCGGCGGGGGTGTTCGCGGTGATGAAGTTGAGGTAAGTTGGTTTCGGGGGCCGCAGGGCTCGGTAGGTTGAGTAGGATTCTGAAAGAGAGGTTCGCGCGGCAGGGGAAGACTGAAGCACGGAGAGGACGGTATCCAAGTAGTAAGAAATGAGGTCGTCGGCGTATTGTGTGTACTGCACGAAAATTAGACACGCATAGCGAAGAGGGTGGGTTGAGACTTACGTTTTTGGCAAAAACCAGATGCTCCAGGTAAACTTGGACGGCATTGGGAGCTCGCTCCTTAAGCAATTTCACCACATCCGCAGGATCGATTCTCACCCGACTCGAATTGTCTGCAAACACCTGGATTCCTAGCTCGGCGTTGCGCGCCGCCAGCCACGCGCCGTACTCTTCGACCAACTGCGGGTCTTTGATCCTCACCAAGTACCTGCGCATCTGGGCTTCGACACTAGCCACGGTAACCTCGCCACTGGCATCGTTCTCTCCATCAATAATCCTGCGCCATGTCTTGAGCACATTGCGAAACATTTTCTGGCTCTGGTAAAGACGGCTGAGCAGGAAAAGTCTCTGGTATTCTTCTAGAAGCGCCACTGCCCGCTCGAAGTTTCCCTTCCAATAATCAACGAGTCTGTCTAGCTCAGTGCAAGTCGACGATTTCGTCCGGTGCCCTGCGGTCAAGTTGGCATCTTGCTCCAGAAGTAGATGCAAGAGCGCGGCGTCGGTGGAGTCAAAGACATAGTCTTCGTCAGTGATACTCCCATATCCTCTCTTTTGCTGCCAAGAGAAGAGGAAGCGCTTCACCATGTCCAAGACAGACGACCCAGAAGTGGCATGGTCCGCTTTGCCGACCACTTCGATATACTTTTCTACAACAGTCGCCAAGCCAGCATGTATCCAAATCCCTTGTGGGCCTTGCAAGACCTCGCATCGCAGCAGTGGGATGAACAATAATGCCAGGCGAGGATCCAAGTCACCAATCAAAAGTGCTCGTTCCGTGGTGTCAATGACTGCGTCGCTGCGATTCTCTGGTTTCATCGAGAACAAGTCTCCGTACAGCAGCAAACTTGCTTTCTGCTTCATATAGCCCAAGCCAATGAATTCGGCCTCGGAGTTGGGCTCGGTGTCCTGAAAAGACATCATCAAGTCAACGACGGCGTCCCGGTCTAAGACCGCACCCTTTTGGGCATTCTGCAGACTATCCTCGAGCTGGACGACCAAGGGGTTGCGCAGCACGCGCCAGATCTGAGAGCCTGACCACACCAGAAGGCTGCTTTGAAGCTTGCCTAGCCCACGCGCGAATCTGGCTTCTTCGGCAATCCGTTGAGTCTCCCAATTTCGGGAAGATGTTCTCTCTGGTTTCTTAGGCCCTTCAGAGTCGGTCGATTCTTGAGACTCGAGGAGCTCTTTCTCTCTTTGGATATGTTCGATCGATGCCTGCGTCCTTGGGTCGGGGTCCGGGGCATAGGGCAATAACGACGAGGTCTTGAGGCGAACCATCTGCAGAATCTTGCCAACGTCATGCAGTTCGAGATGGCTCGGACTGATGGTATGGCCTAGGCCCACTTGAGCTGCAGTTGTTTCTGCAGCACAGGGTATTTCTATCCATCGCTTGTTGCGCTCGATTTCTGCGGGGTCGTCATCCCACCGTTGCATTTCCAGTAGGTATCGCGATGATTCTTGTTCTATACTGTCGTCAATCACGGCAAGGATCCACTCCTCGCGATCCTCGTCATTTGGCTGAAGCAGCTGATCATCCTCGCCCGTATCGATCGCAATAGATTTCGGATATTTATGGAAATTGATCGTGCCTCGGACGACTTCGCCGTCCATGTCCACGAACATCCCAACACCCGGTTCCTTTTCGTCCGTACCAGTCACCAGGAGGAACTCAGAAGGCGTTGGAGATGCCACGTGAGGTTGGAGTAGTCGTTTCGTTATTGGCTTCGGTAGTGGTGGTAACGGCTTTAAGCTGTCGGTGGCTGTAGATGGAGCCTCCGTCTCGTCGGTAACCTGTTTGGAGTCTTCATCACGTTCTTCAGAGCTCGACCGTCTCAAAGTCCCGGAAGACGTAAAGGGATCTGGCGTTCCCGCTGACGCTCGATCTTGCTGGTTTGCTTGCGCCTGGGGCTGTAGCATCCCCACAAACGCATTAAGACTGGTGCTTCTGGCATGTACCTGTGCATCTGTAGGAGGCGAGCTTGGATAGGATGACGACGGCGATCGTCTCGGGGAGGTGTGGGATGCCGGCCTCGTCTCTTCCACCTGTCCTGGTTCAAAGACCTCGCTCAAGGAGGATATTGGGAAAAGCGAAATCTTTTGCCGATGTTCCACCTCCAACAGTGAGTATGAATGCGTATCAGCTGCGCAGGCAATTGTCCCTCTTCGAGCCGCGACCAAGCAGCTGGGGAAATCGATCTTTTTGATTCGTTTCGCCTCATCACCAATCTGGACCAACATTATCCTGTTCCGCATCGCAATCATCACTGTTGGAGGCTCCTCGTCCGTTGGGTCTCGGTTCAGATCCAATCCACCTATCCAGCGGCAGGGGTTGACCTTGGTCGAATCGAAGGCTGGGCTGAGTTCTGGCAACAGATAGAAGGTGACCGTACCGTTGCACAGAACGCACGCTTTATTCACCGAGGATAGAATGACGATCTGTTGCACACCAGGCTGGTTGTCTGACTGAGCCGCATCTTGCACATAGAAGATCGGCAGCCGCGATGCCAGGATAAAGGTGGGCTCGTTCGATTCATCGGAGGCTGGCAGGCAGACAAAGTGCAGGATCTCTGCCGCAGATGTGCCGATATATAAGTTTTCATCTTCGAGTCATTGGGTTAGTGGCAGTTCCTCCCCCCGTTCGGGGAGGGCAGCTTACTCCAGTACTCCACGCAGGTGATATGCACCTCGGAGCTGTGTTCCTCGGTGGTCAAGGGGACCTGGTCGAACAGGGACCGCAGGATATATGGTACGGTTCCTTTCGGACTAATCTTGCGCCGTTTGCGAGGACCAAATCCATCGTCAGGCGGAGCCATGGTGGTGGCATGCGTGGTGAGCAGGCAGCTCGGGGAACAGCTGTTGATGGGGCCTAGTTACCGCGCGCGAAGGCGGTCAGACCAGTCAGCCTCAGGGGAGCTGACTACTCAGGCACTGCCCTCGAGAGTAGTTACGGGAGTATATTATTCTTCCTACATATATTAACTCTCTATGATATATATTGATTACCATCTCTCCGTGAATCTCCGTGAATACTACCTAACCTACATACTATCCCTGCTCGGTCGCAATCATCGGATCATCGTCGGTCCGGGCGCCGCGTGTCCCGTTCTCCGCGCAGTGACACTTGGTCCCCATCTTCTCTGGCAGGGTCAACATGGACTCCTTCGCCATCACAGAGGGCCTTGTGCCTGATGAGACCGCACAGGGTGGCCAGGAATCTCAACCTCCAGTCTCCGCCAAACTCTCCGAGGAAACAACCAAGTACCAACGCGCGATTGCCGCCTGGAGAGGTAAGATCTCCACAAGTTACGCTGGAGCGGCCACTGACATGTTGGGCTAGGCATTGATTTGGCAGCGACAATCGCCAAGCTCGATACCACGGCCTCGGATATCGTTGCGCAGCAGCGGGACTCCCTCGTCCAAAGGAAGGACCTCGCGCAGAAGACGAAGGACTTTAAGAAACTCGACGACCAGTCCAAACTGACCGAGTACAAAGGGCTGTTGAAAGGTGAGGGTACAGATGCGCGGACATGTAATAAACAACTAACACATCCACAGCATACCAGTCCTTCATCGACGTCCTGACCAACCAAGGGAAAACATCCTCGTCCGCCTTCCTGCAACTGTACTCCTCTCTATCCGAAGCACCAGATCCATACCCACTCCTCGAAGCCTCGGTCGATTCCCTCGTGCTTTCCGAAGATACAGTCCCTAAACTCACCTCCGAGAAAGACCAATTGCAGCGGTCTGTTGAACGTCTTACCACACAGCAAGAGGAAACCGAGAAGCGGCTACAGGAAGAGCGCGCTGCGCGCAAGAAGTTGGAGGAAACCCAGGAGACTAGGGCTAAGGAGATTGAAGCATCCTGGGAAGCAGTGTTGTCAGAAAAGACAAACAACTGGGCCGCTAAGGAAAAGAGCTTGGAAGAGAAGGTGGAGAATCAGGAGCGTTTGCTGAAAGAAGTCAAAGCGAGCTATGAAGTGTCCGAACGTCTGGGCGAAGGCGCTGACAATGACAACTCTCGGAGCGGCGCAACTGCGGCTGAGCTAGAGCTTGTTTCTGCTGATCTGGAGAAAACAAGCTTGCGCTTAGGAGAAGTGGAGGCACGGAACGAGCAGCTGCGGCTCGAGTTGGCCCAAGCTGTATCACATTCGCACCAATCCGCGTCCGTCGATGATGACCCTGCGTATCAGCGCCTTCAGTCGGAGAACTCGGCCCTCTTGCGGAAACTGGATGCTGCACGCTATGAGAAGGACTCTGACCGACACGCTTGGGAAGCCAAGCTCCTTCAATCGGAGCGGACTAGCTCGAAGACTTTAGCCGAGAGGGACGAGTTGCGATCACGATTGGACAAGATGTCTGACTACGAAGATATTCGTCGGGAGCTAGAGATGATCAAGTCCATTGAATTCACTACGGGTGATGATGACGAAACGGGCGAGGCAGCTGAAGAGACGCGAGCCGACACCAACGGTGCTGCCACGAAATCCAAGGACAAGAACCTGGAGCAGTTGTTACTGGCTCGAAACAAGAAATTGACGGACGAACTTACGCTACTACGGGTATCGCACCGCGATATTCAGGGCCAACTCGAGAGCTTGCGCGGCGAGCTTTCGACGACGAAAATGGAACTCGAAAAGTCTCGTGGTCTGTCAAGCACTCTCGAAAATGACCTGCTCTCCGTGCAGCAAGAGGCGGCCAATACATTCCCATCAGGAGCAATGTCTGTCGCTGGCACTTACTCTTCGAGATACCCGTCGCGTCGGGGTGCGGCATCACCCACCTCATCTATCATTTCTGGCTTCGACCAGAGCGCGGTGTCTGGGAACACCATGGATGCGGTCCGTGCAGGGGAGGCCGTGGGCGGTGGGTCAGGCATCCTGCCCATGGTTCAAGCGCAGCGAGATCGCTTCAAGAAAAAGAACTCCGAGCTAGAGGAGGAGCTGTCGAAGATGTACAGCACAGTCAAATCCCTTCGACAGGAAGTTGCCTCTCTCCAGAAAGACAACTTGAGTCTCTACGAAAAGACCCGGTACGTGTCGACCTACAGCCGGGGCGGCAACGGCGCCTCGACATCTGCATCGTCCTATGCAAACGCACCAAGCTCGACATCCGTCTACAACGCAGACACACCCTCAGGGTTATCTCTGGACCGATATCAGTCCGCCTACGAAGCTCGCATCTCGCCATTTGCAGCGTTCCGCGGCCGTGAATCCGCACGAGCGTACAAGCGCATGAGCCTTCCGGAATGGATCGTCTTCTCGCTTACCCGCGTTATCCTCGCGAACCGGACCAGCCGGAATCTCTTTGCGGGGTACTGCTTCGCCCTGCATATTCTCATTTTCACCATGCTTTACTATATGAGCACGATGGAGATCGAGAAACATGCCGCCATGAGCGCCGTAGGTAGCGCCGCCGCGGCCGCATATGGGAGTAGTGGCGGCGGCAGTGGTGTTGGCAGCGGTAGTGGGAGTGGTCAGCTGCACGGTGATGACTGGCAGCAGGAAGGCTTCAACCGTGGAGGCTGAGCTGAGCTGTATACCACCTGTGGTTGTGATTTAGCTGTCTTAGGAAAGTAACTAGCATGGATGAATGTGTCCGATATTGGAATAGCGAAGGACCCGGAGTTTTTTTTTTTTTTTTTACTTTCTGTTGATCAGATCTCGGCGCTTGGGACTGACTGAATTGAGTGCCATTCAACCTAAAGCCGGTTGGATGTCTTACTCTGCATCGTTTGTCTGTTCTATTTTGATTGGGGTGAACCTGTTGCGTGCACTCTGGTCATCAGGTCAGGTGTGGTGTATATTTGTAGTTCTCACATTTACTTTTTCTAGCAAATCACTAGACGAATTTGCATGTCTAGCTCAAAGCTCAAACGTCTCGCGTTTGATGTGACGCCGGAGTATGTCATGATCAACAAGTGCAACACACTATCCACTTCCTTTGGATAATTTCTAGATAAATGAATTAATTAGGTTGATTGAATGAAAATCGAAATGAAAGTGACCAACCTATTTGTGTGCGGAGATCGTAATGCTCAACGTCTTCTGTTCCATGTAACGCCGAGCTGTCCCAACGTATGTGAAAGCAGTTGCATGACCAGAGTATAGCTCCAGTTCCTACCCCATGGTAATCTGGTTCACTTTAGCTTTTTGGGCTCTCTGTATCAGTTGTTCCCTGAAAGGAGGTTTTTTTTTTTTTTTTTTTTTGGCAAAATTCAGGGGCTGTGAAAGTCGAGGCAGAGTTCATGAAATCTTTCGAAATCATACCTCAGAATGACACCAACCGCGAGAAGATTGCGCGAAGCCAGAGCAAGTACTTTTGCATACAGCGGAGTCGACGCCTTTGAAAATTGGTCGCTGTGCATGTTAAGAACCTGATATTTACATATTCCCGTAGCATGTGAACCTAGAAAACGCGAGATCTGTGAGCTAGTCTGATTGAATATATTCTTTTCCTATGTCTGTCGTCCTTTATGGCGACAAACGTGCATAATTGAGATCCTCAAAACTACATCTTGTGGAATTTATTTGTCAGTCTGGAAAATTCCTTTTGACTATTTCCAGCAATATAAACTGAATGATATACATAGAATTTTCTAGAGCAAGTAAGAGAGAAGCATGAATATCGGCGCTAGCGGACCTAGGACCAGCAGTCACACCATGTACCTTACGTGGAAGCTCTTTCGCCAGGTATACCTATGGAATATCCACGGTTGAAGTGACGAGGATTCGCTGCTGGCTCTCGCTCTCGATACTTTTTGCATCTCCACTGTTCCCTCTAAATTTATTCGCCCAGCGACCTTGTTCACTCAATTGGTATCCGCCACGAGAGGCACCGCCTGCCCACTCCTGGCTCGCGTGGGTACCCTTAGGACTGCTTTTCAGTCCTGGGATGAACTTTAACAGCACACGCAATGTAGGCAGGGATCCGGTGATTAAGCCTAGCGCAAATTCGAGGTTCATCAAAATGAGGGGAACAGCACCGACGTCTAGAGTAGAGTGGTTAGCATTGAGATATTTAGACAGATAAAGGACAAGTCATACATGTATAGTCGGTGGAATTCTTCTGGAACCCTAGAAGTGGGATGCGTGCGAGTCCGCCTGCACACGCAACGAAACCTTCATTCAATCAGCCCCGAAATCTTTGAAATACCCCTTGTTAAACTTACCAATAGCAAACAAGCCAATGATAGACAGACGCCGCCGGATGGGCATTTGAAGCTTCCAGATCGTCGGCATTGGAAGACCAATAATCATCACATCGAACACGAGCATCAAGATCGCTTGATATAGCTGAAGGTTTTCTAACACAGTATTGGAGAGGCACGTGGAATTTGGAATCGTTTTGTCCCACGCTGCCTCCACAGGACTGCACTGCAGGATCAAGGGCAACTCTCCAGAAATGGTCACGACAGCCATGAACGCCATAATACCATATCCGACCCAACGAGTCCATTTGGTCGGGAAGATTTGCATAATAAAGACTGTCAGGCTGCACTTAACAGCCAAAGCCACCCAGAGATATAGGCAGAATAAGATATAGACATACTAGACCAATGTAAGTATCGAAAGTCTATTCATATAAGGCTGCAATCAGCACTGACCTTCTCCACCTCAACCATATCCGCCGTGGGAACGGTGGCCTGATGGTAGCCGATGCCATATGTTGTGAGGGTGATCGAGAGAGCTACAAAGACGAGTACCATAACCTTCCTTGTGATCAGAAGTGTGTCCATGTTCCATTGAAGAACTGTACATACCAAGGCAAGAAACACAAGGTAGTCATCAAGGCCAAAAATATGCAACACGAACTTTCGTAGGTAGAGCTGTGGAGATATGAGTGAGTTTAGATGTTTGTCCTTGCGGAACCAGTCAGTTGACAAACCCTGACACCACAGACCATCACAGCGAGAGCAGCGCATACCCCAACCACGGCCCTCACAGTATATACCATTGGGGGTGCATGATCAGGCAGACTCTTTGGTGCTGCGGTGGTCATTATTCAATGAGTCGCTTTATTGACTTGGGTGCTGCGCCTGGGATGAAATGAGCAACGATTTGGACACGAACAGTGATGAGTGACCCGGAAGAAGGAAGAAGTGTCTCACGGCTATGTTAAATCCACCTCCACAGGTACTGTACCACATGTTAGCTCCCGCTTTGTTTGGCCCCCCATTTGCATGACCGATCTCTAATGCGTAAGGCACTGCATCAGCAGACTTGTAATAAACGAAATGGTAGTTCTTCGGATCATCGTAATTTATTATTAGATTTGAGGTTTTTATGCTCCTGAGATACTTAATTGTGCCCCAGACGGGACGGGGGGATGCTATGCATTCTGCACGGGCCCACTACCTAGCACATCAATGATTATTGACCGGATTGAGTTATACGTCTGCTACCTTCTATGCTAGTAATTGTCAATGGTGATCATTGCGCAATTTTTGCCGCCCGTTGGGCTGTCAGATACCCTAACCCTGACTATCCTGACTATCTTTTCTCTGCTAGGATAATGTACCGTTAGCAAGCGAGACTGTTCCAGACTAATACCTACATTAGTTTGTCGCTGCATTCAACGGACCCGAGAAACGAGGGGCGGGGAAATGGAGCTACTGCAACTGCTGAGGAGGTTCATCACAATCGGATAGTAAAATGAAGAAACGTTCTCTGTCCGTTTTCCATTTTTCTTTTGGGGCTCGCAACTTCCCCTCCTGTCATGCCGGATACACCTGATCTTCTGGGCTTGAGCCCTCTGGATCACATCCCCGCGAAGCTCTTTCTGCCGTATATCCTATTCTTCGACACGGCCGACCCCCAAACCGCCGTCCAATCCCTCCAGAAGGGCATAGATAAACTGATCTCCCAATTGCCCTGGCTCGCTGGAGATGTGATTCTCCACAGTGCGCCCGGGGGGCCCAAGAACCGAATGCACATCGCGCGCCCGCGCAGTTCGCCCTCTGGGGTCCCCATGCTGCAGGTCAAGCACTTCGACCACGATAAAGATTTCCGCACACACCCAGTCCATACCTATCTCCCTCTGCCAACGTTCATTCCGGCTTCCGAGCAGAGACCCGTACTCCGCTTCCAGGCCAATGTCTTCCCTAGCAAGATTGCTCTGGCCATGTCCTTCTGGCACAGCGTCTTCGACGGCACCGGGGCTGGCGTCATCCTCGAAGCGGTTGCCGAGTGCTGCAAGACGGCCAATGATGACTCCAAATGTCCTATCGCTCAGACAATTGCAGAGACCCATAGTGAGCTCCGAAAGAAGGTCTCGAGCTTCCCATCCCAATGCCAGGTGCGCCTCGACCACAGCGTGGAACTCGGGACGCCCATTTTCGACCCAAATATTTCCACCGAGCAGTGGAATGCAATTGAATCAGCTGCGGCCTCCGCTGTTGAGACAAAACGATACACATTTAGCCCAGATAAAGTGGCCAAAGTGAAAGCAATCTGCACACAGTTTCTCCCTCAGCTACAGTCCTCCGCATGGCTCTCTAGTAACGACATTATCACTGCAACGCTAGTCATCTGCATCGATCGAACCCTTCACCCGGACAGGGCGGACAAGACCGGATCCGCGGACTTCCTAATGGCCGTCGATTTGCGCAGCCGCATCCAGCCCCCGCTGCCAGAGACCTACTTGGGCAACTCGATCTTCCCCGTCCACGACGAAATCTACTTTAAAGAGACAGCAGGCCAAACAGGTGAGGACGCAGACTCGCTCCACCTAACCCAGCTAGCGCTGCACATCCGCAACAAACTCGCCTCCATGGACGAGACCATCGCGTACAGTGCATCCGCCGCCGTCGCAGAGTATGACGACTGGACCAAGATCGAAGCGAACCCCGCGGGTATAATTGTGACCAGCTGGCGGAGCCTGAAGATCTATTCACTAGATTTTGGCGCTAGGCTCGGCTACATTGAAGATTTTGAGCCTGGGCTTGCGCTTGTTCCAGGTGGGTGCATCTTTTTGCCATCGCGGGTGTCACTAGAAAATAGCGGGTCGACTCCGCCGTGGGAGGTGTGTATTACGATGAAGAAGGGGGATAACCAGGTGCTTGTTCAGGATCCACTCTTTTCTCAAATCTTGGCATGACTGTGTTAGAGATCTATGTTTGAGTGGCCAGAGTGGATTTTTTGTTTTGGTGGAATGATGCTGCGAATATCAATCGTCGCGTCTCCTGTTAATTCACCTGAACTTATTATTATTTACAATTTCCCCGTAAAACTCGCAAATACTCTGCTTCCCGTGTCCCCGTCCTACGAGGTGGTCTGTTCGCTGGCCAAATCATAGGAGATTCTGGCTCCTCATAACTTGCCTCCCCGGTGAAGCCTTGTCTACAACAGGTGCTTTTCCCCATATTCTTGCAGAACCAATCGAAAACTAAGGGTCGGTCTTTACCTGACTCCACCATGGCGGGATGGCGGTGGTTGACTAGTCTGTCTTCTTCTAGGCCGCGATCAGCCTTCTTCAATACCGTATCTGGTAAATAGTTGCTGGGCAATGATTGGAATCCTACGGCGTGGTGAAGCTGTTGCATTAATTGCCATCCAAAGGTGCGCGTCATCATGCCTTATCACTAGTTGTCGGAAGCGAGAATTCTGGTATCCACCAGTACCCAATGAAGGCAATGGTTCCAATTTTGGAGGTCACCAAATGTCTGGGTTCTTAGCTATCACCTATTTATTGTGATGATTCTTGGCACTGTGATTATTTAATATATGGCCTATTCAATTAAGTCCGCGGCCTTGGTGTCGTGCCACACCTCACGCAGGATGTCGCGTAGGTCGTCCAATTTGGCAAGGCATTGTGCAAGGCGTTGTTGATGAGGAGGCACAAATCGATGGTTGATAGCGATCAAAAACGCAACAAAACAATGATTGAATTTCAAAGGGAACGGCGACCATTGGAAAAAGCAAATGTTAGCATATGACTATAGTTAAGCGTAAAACTGACACATGCGACCACAGGGTGTGGAGAACAGGGCTTCCCGTCCGCTCAGCCGTACTTAAGCCACACGCCGGTCAGTTAGTAGTTGGGTGGGTGACCACCAGCGAATCCTGACTGTTGCATGTCGGGGTTCATCCTTTTTTTGCCCCCCTGGAGTCTAGCGTCCTTTCCCTTCAGGCCTTCAGGCCCTTCACCTGAACCGCCTGAAGCCCTCTAAATCGCACCCTGAACCCCCTGAACGACCCCTGCACCGCTGACGTGGCCACTCGGCTAAACTTGCCATGTTCCCTACCGCTGTCCATTGCCTCTTTGCTGTCTTTTGTTCGTCGTCTCTATCTCGCTGTCGCCTATCCATATATCATCACACCTCCACCGGCCTCCCCTGATCAGGTCAAACTAATGCCCTTGCCAGCGCCTCCACGAGATCACGGACGCCACGTCCTCGCTCCCCGCCACAGGGTCGGAGAACCCGTACCATCACCTCCGCATCACGGTCACTAGCGGCGGCTGCCATGGCTTCCAGTACCTGATGTCCCTGGAGCCAGCATCCAAGATCGACGTTGAAGAAGACACCGTCTTCGAGGGCGAGGAAGGCGTCGCGACGGTAGCTGGCGAAGCCAAGGTCGTTATAGACGAGCCTTCGCTAGAGCTTTTGCACGGTAGCACTGTAGACTATACGACTGAGTTGATTGGGAGCCAATTTAAGATTGTGGATAACCCAAGGGCTACGAGCAACTGTGGCTGTGGAACGAGTTTTGATGTTATTGATTAAAACGGGATCAAAAAGTATGTATCTAGCTGTGGATCTGGATGATGAGAGTTGCATGTTTTTTAAGTAAAGTTGGGGACGGTAAGTCGGCAGCCTTTGTCCGGGGTGTATAGCTCCTACAGTCAACTTCCAGTTTTGACATGCCCATACATGACACAGATCCACATATGACACCAAATTTCCAGGGATGCACTTTTCTGGATTTTCCCATATATATAAACCCGTTTTGACACTCAATGTTGACACGATCTTTCCTTCCCATATTTGCTTAGTCATACCAGAACAGACCAATCACAATGCAGAATGTCGTGCCATCCCAGGATTCCAGGGGCTCCAAGGAGGGCACATCCATCGCCCTTTCTGCAAGACTACCCCTACCAAAGCGTACCAAATTACAAACGAAATTAAAAACCTACAACAGTGCCCAGGTGAGGTCCCGAGGGACACTTGGATCAATCTTGGGAATTACCATACGATTACCTGACAGGACCAAATGCGCGTAGTTCGACAATTTCCTCCAATGATTATCGCCCGAGAATAGCTAGTTTCCCTCAGATGGACGGGAAACAATCCCTCGAGGTCGTGCTACACATGACTGTCATTCTGCTAAACGTGAGGAGGGTTTTGGCCAGGTCTAAAACAGATCCGTCATGATGGACGATATTATACACATTGCGTGTGGTCACACCATCCTCAGTTCTCCAGGCTAACATAATCCTTCTCAATGCGACCCAACCAATTCTGAAACGAGATCAACTCATCTCCAAACGGTACCACGCCCCGCGGGAGGCTCTTCAAGGACTCGTCCATCCGGGGAGCGCGCAGGGATCGATGGGTCTTATTACAAACCGAAAATGGGAGCGCGTTTTGCTCGATCTTCTGGCTACACTCTTCATCAAAATGGGCCTGGATGCAATCCTGACACCACTGCGTCTCCTCCGACATATACCAGGAGCGGTTGCAGTCGCCATCGCAAGCAATCCGTTGTTTCTCGCCGAAATTCAATACAATGAGCGCCCTGGTTGCCAACGCGTTTTTCATATCCCCAAAGGCGAGGAATACCGACTGGAGCTGGTTGTAGGCGGGAAGGTCGTTCTCTTCATCGTCGTCGGAGAGGATGTCCAGACTGAGCTGCACGATATTTCGAGCAATCTGCTTCGCCTGTGCCTCGTTACCTTGCCTCCAGTAATACCGGGCAATGTAGACTCTCGGAGGCAGGTTGGCATCGGCTTCGGGGACGCCCTCGGGAAGAAGCGTTTCAATTTCCTTGAGATAAGCCGACACGGCTTCGGTATCGGGCCCGGACGCATTGGCCTTTTGCACGTAATATGGCGCGATACTGCTGATTAGTGTCGACAAGAGGTAGGGGTCGGCGCCATCGAGGGCCTGACGCCAATGCTTAATCACCTTGAACGAGCCGTTCTGCAGCGCGTTGGCCGCTCGTCCACAGTGGTACCGGACATTGCATAGCGTAGTGTGCTCCCCACGTACTTCAACGAGTTGAATCGAGCGCTCATAGGCCGACACGAGGAATTCCAGCTGTTCCGTATGAATGGCCGCCTGCAAAACCGGTCTATGGGGGAATGCTCGACCGCCAACTGCCGCGATCAGTTCCGATAGACCCTGCAGCTTCTCCGTGGATTTCTCCTGTATCTTTCGCAGAATCGCAATGATGTCCGACCATCGCTCCCGCTTGGCATAGGATTTTAGACACTTGTTCACGCGACCGTAGTTAGTGAAATCGACTTCCACCGCCCTGGTCCAGAAATCGATGGCGACATCGATTTGCTCTTCACGCCAGCTGAGATCCGCAATAATGAACAGCATCTTGGCAAGTCCCACACGCTCCAGAGAGGATCGCTTCCATTGGCCGCTGGACTCAAGGGCCTGCACGGCAGGCTTCAAGATCGTGAGCCCATCACGAGGCTCAACCAGACCGGACAACAGGGTGGATGCTCTCCAGTCGTTTGGATCGATTTCCAGGGCTTGCCGGGCTCGGTCCTCCGCAAGCTTGTTGTGTGTGCAGACTTGCAGAACGCTGCCGATTTGCGTGTGCCACAACGAATTCTTCTTCTGTACGTTCAGTACTTCCTCGCACCACCGCTCGACCTGTTCAATTTGTTTCACAGAACTGAGCTGCTGCGGTTCGTCACTGGGTTCAAACTACAGCCCGTCGTTAGCAAGGTTTCAACCCGTCATTTCATCAAAATCAAGAGCTGACTGACCTTCTCGAGGAAGCTCGCGACAAAGAGAAAAGCATCCTTGGTGAGTGGTATGAAGTGGGGTTCTTGCACCAGATGGGTGGCCATCCACTTCGCAGCTGGCGTCAGCAATCCTCGGTGGCCCTCAGTATGAAGCAGACCGGTGATCCAAGCCCGAGCTTCATTGTCGACTTCCAACATGACCGCCGTGTCACCCAGCCAGCGAAGGATGAGTTTGGCGGTCGCATCGCTGAACATCAACTCACGGCCGATTCGGCGTTCTTTTACCGAGGGGCCAGGCAGCTCGTTATTGTTCAGTGCGATATCGATGGAGGCGTGATTCGTGAAGAGTTTGACCAGGTAGGGCCCAAACATCTTCTTGTATTCAATGTCCACGAGCGCCAAATTTACGGCAGACAGATGTTGGGCAAAATTGCTTCTCGCGTACGATAAGAGATCTCCATTTGGTTGCTCTGTCTCCCCCGTGATCAGGCGCAGGCAAGTGAGCGCCATCTTGGCCTCCTCGATGTGCGGATAGTCCTTGTAGATTCGGTCCCTCCGACCCTGTTTTTTGTCTTCGAGGAACCTATCCAAGTCTAACTTGTTATATGTTTCCCGTGGACAGACTGTGGAGAGGAAATGTTTGACCATGGCGATTTCGCCCGGGGAGACTGCTGCCCCTAAGACGTCATGCTCCTCCTGCGTAGGGGAGGAACGGCGCTTGTTGGGTATGGATTCCTCAACTTCGGGAGCCCGGAAAATCACCTCGGCCTTATTGGTAATCCTGAAAAGAGGGTATTTCTCCTTAATCTTGTCCGCTAGCGTCAGAAGTGATGATTCCCCGCCCCCCGAATATAGAGCCACGGTCATCTCTCTTTGCGTTAAGAGTCGCCGATAGCGTCGAATCCAGAGAATGATCTCATTGATCTCAGAAATCTCCGTCTCGGAACAGTTGTGATTGAGTCCTTCGATTTCCTTCCTGATTTGTGTAGTGCGTCCCTTGCTTGCATTCTCCAGGACATTCTTGATATCGGAGATATACTCTCGCTTGCTGATATCATCGAGGGCCAGATTGATTCGGAAATAGTCACCGGCGGTTGCTTGATAGAGCTCGTCGCAAATCCTAGCCCTTAGCTCTGGAATACGGGGGCGTGTCCTACCACTCAGGGCAAGCATGGAATCCATTCTTGAGCGAATCACCCTTTCCACGTCCGGTCGATTTTTGGAGCTAATGGGGATAGAACGGAAAGAGACACCACCCACAGTCGCCAAATGCTGGGAACACTCCGAGTGACCAAAGACAAGTGATTGTGGCACATTGACATTTGGAATTCTGCTTGCGGATCTGGAAGGTTCTCTGTCGCGTTGGATGCGAACGGTTATAACCATCAAGAGCCGAGGGGAAAGTACTGTATTCCACCATCCAGAGGAGAAACTTTTCCATGCTCCAGACGTTAGTCTGAGCCTACTATGAGCACTCTCGGAGTAGGACAGAGCTCTTACCGGACTCCATGAGCACTCTGGGAGCACTCCAAGACCAGCTAGATCTGCTCCAAGTCGACCTTGGGCACTATCGGGGCAAAAAAGTGACCTGATAATTTGATGTATGGGTCCCGCTTTTCCTCAAGCGTAACGGATAGAATGTTGACCTCGGTCATTTTTCGTCTTTCTCCCCCAGTGTTCAACATTGGGTTATCATTCTTGGCCTACGGAGGCACTTACTTTAGATGGTCGCTTCGGATGTTACCCTTGGTTTTGTTTCTGTCCAATATTTTTTTTTTTTTTTTGGGTTGTATTTTAGTGTTCATGTGCAAGCGGTTGACCACTTGTGGGTTGAACTAAGACCTCTTGGTCAACTGTGATAGATGTTGAATGACAAGTAGATGGCATAGATATCTTTGATGCCTGCTAACTACCTAAGCGCATTGAAAAAGTGGGGCACGTCGAAGTCTACGGACAATGGATGGAGAGCAGCTGGCAGTTCAACTTCATATTGCCAACCGTAGACAATCCTTTCTGCACCCTGCAATGCATATACAGATATGAATTACTTGAGAAAGTATTTCGTTCACCACTAATTTTGAAAGAGGCAGTTCAACATGATTGTTGCACGGGAAATGCCTTGGCCTTGTATTGCCATTTCACTCTAGCGTTGAAGTAATCACATAATTCCCAGCTCAAAACTTAATTGGCCATCCCATTACTCCTCTCTGCAAGATTTACTCCAGTCAGACTCAAAGAGGTCATTCGAAGAAAACATTTGTTGAAAATGAGGACTTGCAACTTGACCCGACATATTATGCAGAGCTTGGCAAGGCAAAATTAGACCAGTTCAACCGGCGGGAATGTGTGATTTCTGTTTAACATGGACGGTAAATGGTTAACGCCCTCTGTATGTTATAAAAGGCCGAAATAATGAAAGACTGATGGGCTATCACCCGACAGTGCTAGCTCTCCATAATTCTATCAAGTCTTGATTTCAATGGGAAAAAATCGACTACCCCGCGCAGAGGCGCAGCAGAGGCGAAGACGCAGAAAAACAATCTTTAAAATGGCGGCGAAATACAGCATTGACTTCCAATCGGACATTTCCGTCATTCTACGAACCAAAAAAGACGGTCAAATATACAGCTAAATTCGAAATTGGCTTCCATGTTTTACACAGAGAAACTATCTCAACCCCTAACGCCAAGGCGAAGGTGAAACTACCTAGTCCCGATTCAGCAAGCTTGCAGATCTCCCCTGCGCGTCACTTCGAAACTGTAAAATATATGACAAGACTAACACGCCATTGTTTCTTGTACTCATTTGTTTCTGCCAATTTGGTCCTGGCCTGAGCGGCTCCCCCTCCGACACGTCGTGACTTCTCAACCGCGTCTAATGCATTAGTAATCACATTCTAACTACTTGTGGTCTGCCAAGGTAGAAAGACAGACGCCTATACGAGCAAGGATTCTGCCCCTTCTTTCCGCCTTCTCGGACGGCATAAAAGGGCCACATTTCCCCCCTCGGGACCAGAGATTCTATTCTGCTATCCTCGCATCAGTTCCAACTTGCCATAGTGCACAGCACAACAATTCCAATATGAGGAAACCGGCTCCGATGGTAAGCGATATATACGGTGACGCTGGCCAGTCGATAGTTGATCAATTGTACACTCGCAATCCGGCAAGGTCTTTATTATTCATTCCTGAGGAAGGATGTTTTCATATCACTGGGTTCTCTGATATGGAGCAGTCGGAATGTGTTGAAATGCTTTCTCAAGTACAATCTGACGCTTTCGAATTGAGATTCAAGGAAAAAACCGCCCAAGGCATCGTGATTTTTCAGCTCATCCCTGTCCTAAGTGAGCGTGACGTTATTCAAACTGAGCGTGACTTTGTTCGAAATGAGCGTGGCCGTCGTCAAAGTGAGCGTAACTCCCGGAGCTTGGATGCAGCCCGAACTAGACTGCGGCAGATCGTTCCCGGCGGATAATCAGCATGTGAGGATTGAATTCTATACCTAGCAGACTCTGCCGCAGACTACTCCGAACTAGGGTGGCAGTTGTCATCTTGGGACCTTCGATCGTATCCGCCTGAGTGTATCTACTCCAAAGGTGATGCCATATATTTCAAATCGAAATGTTACTAGCACTAACGGATACCTCTAGCAGTGAATTCTTAGCGCTACATTGGATGATTCACATATAGATGCCGACTGCTACGCTTCCATCGACGGTCTTTTGAGAAGTCTCTAGGGATTATCTTGGCCCCCCGTATTTGATTTAAGCATGAGGAGCCGGGAATGAAAACCGTGGCCTTTGCGATCGTGACGATAAATGAACGCTACTGCATTGGTGAGATGGAATATTTCTAGTTTTGATAAGCCTTTCTATCCATGTATTTCACGAAGCCGATGAGGAACGCCGTACATATGACACTGAATATCTCGCCGCGGATTTCTCGATGCTATTAGCCATTCTGATCGGAGCTCTTGGTGTTTCTCGTCGTCTGCATACCTCGCCCTCGCCGTTCCCTCTTCGCTCATTGAGAGGGTCGGTAGCTATGCAATTATGCGTTCTCATCTCTTTTAGGGTATCTGAATCTGGCATCTTCAATCTGAAATTTCGTTCCTGGAGGTTGACTAGTTCCAGCCTGGTGTGAATCAGAATAATTGGTCAGGGACGAGTAGAATTGATGCACCATCTTTAGTTGGACGTTGGTCAAAACTGAAGAGATAGCTCAATTAGATTCCTCTGACCCAAGACAGCAGAAATGCGCTAAAGATCTAACACGAGAACGGATGAGGGGCCTTCGAAAAGGCTACAAGCAGGGGCCTCAGCCGCGTGGGCCACCTAGCTTAGCTGCATTTGGGGCCGCGATCGACATTCACAAATAAGGAACAAGTCAACTGTTTTGTTGACAGTTCAACTTTGCGGTGCCGTCATTCAGCTGAATCACAATCTGCGTTCTCCGTACATGTAACTTACAGGCTTCGTAATGATGTATTGAAAGAACATTACTCTGTAAGCTTAGCGAAACGAGCCCCTGTGCCTGCACTAACTGTATTCAGCATAGTGTGCTTCGACTAGGGGTATCAGAAACACTTTCTCTGTGTATACCATGGAAGCCAATTTCGAATCCGAGTGTACTTATTTAATTCGACACCAACAGATAATTGGCCTCCCTGTCCAGCAGAATTGGTACACTCTCCACTTAAGGGTACATGAAAGTCACTAAAAATTTGATTAACAGAGCTGTTGCGTCCCTACACCGAAAATCCAGACACTGGATGACGTATTATCAAAATATTAGCTACGTCCTGCATCTCCTAGTCTGTCTCGAAGCTGGCGTCGTCAGCGCTACCTGCGCTCTTTGAGTGTGAGCCCGAATATCATGGCACTCTAGTTATCTGGAGTAGGTCCCGCATAATAATGTTGCAATGCAGTACAGTACCTGTGTCATGAAATCTTTGACGTTGATGTAATCCAGACCAAGAGGGGGTATTTTAAAGTGGACAATATCAATCACATTCTGGCTTGGATGTATTTAATGTGTGTTTTACACTTTGCAGGGTCATGGATGCTTGATATTTCTCTTAAAGTGGTATGTTCGTGTCCTGGACACCCGGCTTTTTTTGATTCGTTGGGTTTGGCATCTTCGTTGTCCGTCCGGCCCTGAAGCCCATTATTTTTCACTTGAATGTCCTACACGGCCCTAAAGAGTAGAAGTGTCCCCTCGGCTAAACTTGCCATGCCTCACGCCTTTTCCCCGCCACCACAGCACCCTCCACCTTGCCGTATTTTGAGGCCCATACCGCGTCTGGACGGACCGTACCGTGCTGATCTTCCATCGGGTCCCATTACACAGATCCGCTACTCATCACATTTTCGATTCCGACACCAATCGTAAGGGCTTGGTAGCCGTTTCCTTTCCACGCGGAGGGTCTGTTTTTTTCTCCCAAATTTAGAAAGGCCAACTCATAGATCCTCATAAAGCTTGAAATCTTGATAACTACTCTCGCCGCCTGCTTATATTTGTCATGCAAATAAGGGTTTGTATTATGGGAACCCACCCAACCATTAAAACTGTTGGTTGATAAGTGATGCTTCGGTGTGCATATTATTGATGGGAGTTCATTGTGTGTGGTGTGTTGTGTGTTAGATACAGAGAGGCTGGTAGCCAGGTAAATATGTATGTATGCACGTGCTCCCATCCCCCGTGACTATCTCAGTGACCGGGATATTCAACAAAAACCGCCGGGGTGCGGCTTGTCTACGGCCAGTAGTCGGGTGGGTGCCGCCTGGGTGAATTTAGGGTGAGAAGTGGGTAAGCGTCGCGCGACCGAGGGTGAGAAGGATGAGCGTGCAATAAACAGGGTGAGAACAGGGTTGAGAAATCACCCTCGGTCGCGCGACAATCGCACGGGCCCTCTCGGCTGAACCTTGGCTCGTTATCTTTGGACTGCATTAACTCCCTTGAAACGTTCGGCTCCTTGGCATCTGCACACAGCCACCATGCGAGATAGAGGAGTGACCAAAGCAGAAAGTGCTCGACCTGCGGAAAAGTTGGCTGGCTGTGGGTGGCGGGTCGGACCATGCCGCACCGGTGCACTACCAGCCCCTGCTCGGGGAGATCTAAGTGTCAGAACAGATGGACATGCATCTAGTCTGGACAACAGGCTGGATATTTTTCAAACCGATCCCGCGCTTCCTACTTAGCCGCGTTTTTGGAATCGGTATCTCAACTGTGACTGAATTTGCTAGTGCTCCGTCGGAATCTTGGGTGCTCGACCTCCCAAAGGAGGACATCCCACTACACCACGAGAGTAAGCGAAGTCATGTGACAGGATAGCTAACTTAGTTAACCAACCAACCTACCTTGTCGCTGCAACCACTCTCTGGTCTGCTCTTGGCTATGTCTTCTCGAAGGACGCCGTGAAGATCTTGACCAGGGAGGACGTGCAAAAGCGAACTACTACAGGCAAATCGAGGCGAAATCTCTACGGTCATTTGTATTCTAGAGCGGTCTCAATTTGATCTGTGGAATAAAAATTGCATCCCCTTTTTTCGGTAGAATTGATAATATCGTGACCTGGATACGGGGGATTGATACGGGTTCTTATGTACCTGCTGAGCTGTCCGGAGAAGCAATACCATTATTGGTTACTTGGTGTGGTTCGGTGGGGTCGCATTTGTGCAAAAGAGGTGTTATCCAGGCTTTGATTGGGAGATACTGTTATCAGACCCAGTTACCTCTCTCTCCCCGGGATTTCTTTATAGAAAAAAAAATTGGCTACTTAATAGTGTGATAATCCCACACGAAGGCTCGGGAAGTCTATACCAAGGTCATGCGATCAGCTATGGCATATGGAGCCATGGCCTTCCACAAAGTAACAGAACTCGACAGCCAACCACAGGGCGTCACAAAGTCCTCCTTTCAGAAACAGACAAAGTGTCTCGGCACAGTAGCAGGCGCATACAAGGCAACGGCAACTATGGTCCTGAGGCAGAATCGTATTTCATGTGGCCGCAAGGCACCGATTCCTGTATGATAGCAAAGGCAGGACTGCATAGCCAACTGGATGGGTCAGTCAGCCACGGTGTATTATTGATAATAACAAAAGCGTCAGTTAAATAAACAAGGCACTCCCAACACCGGTGGCAACGAATCTGTCCATTGTTTGTTCACGCAGGTATCAGTGTCACTAGCTTGAGTGGGACCTAGCGCCGTTCTTCTCCTTTCTTGGTGGTGCCAGTTCCATCCTCATAGATATGACAGACTTTCCTCCCATCGACTCCGGAGATCTCTGCACTTATAACCCACTCCTTGTCATCAGTATTGAAGTGAGATTGATGAACAGGATTTCCGTCCCGGTACCTAACTTCCAAATTAACTAGAATTAAGTCGAAAGGCTTGCGTGCATATACCTAATATCAACGCGCTTTAATTTGCCGAGTTTCTGTTATTTAAAAGTCAGGACGACATCTAAATATTTTCTTCTTGTATATGTTAGTGGACATACGGATTCAGCTGCCCCTCCAGGTTTTGTGAAATTTTCCACTGCGCTTTGCCATTGTTCTGACAGCTTCTTCCTATCAAACCCGGTCCAGTGGAGGAGTGCACGAACAGAAGTACTGAACATTCGAGACATGTTGGATGGATATAATGAAGAGTTGGAGTTCCTGTTAGAAATGGAGGAAGTTGGACAGACCCTCAGATGTCTAGTTGATCCCACAGGGAATATGGATCAGTATTTATGTCGTGACATCCTTCTCTAAACCCTTCTTTTTAGCCATGAGCTGCAGGGGTTGATCAGGGCAGTGCCTGAAACGCTTTCTACTCTACCCCGTCCACTGAGGTCGCTCGTATTACCGCTCAACCATATCCATTGCCTGAGGAAAGAGCGGATGAAATAAAACACTCATAGCCAGAGAAAGCAAGTGCAGAGGTTATGTGCCAGTCATTGGGCTACGATAGGTCAAAATCACTGCCACCTCAAACACATTAAGCGCTCTCGCTTTCTTGTCATGACGTGGCAAAATTCAGCGTTTATTCTAGGCAAGATTATTGGCCAGGCCAAAGAGCTATTGTCAGGTATTGTTGGACTGATCCATCAGTAACAGTTGATCTTGCGCCCAGTTACTCTTTGCGAATGAGCGATCGGGTTTTTCTCAGATTGGGAATTCTTCGAAACTGGTTCCCATTAACTTACATAATCGTGGTTACTAATCAACCGCCGCATTCATTCGGAGCGACAACCCACGTCTGCGTATGACTCTCCACCAGCTTCAGCAATCGATAATCATGACTTCTCTTCTGAAATTAGCCAAGTCCATTATACGAAGAGCCCCCTCGCCTGCACGTTGTTTTCCAAAAAGTGGATTTGAAACAATCAATGCGTCTATAATCCTCGAAGAAGAAAGATTCGAACAGTTCAAGAAAGGGTGCTATTATCCTGTTAATATTGGTGACGTCTTGGGATCTAAATACCAAGTAATCGGCAAGCTTGGTTTCGGAGTCACTTCTACAGTATGGCTCGCTCGTGATCTTGAGTAGGTGACCTGTTGGTTCTTTCTGAATTTACATAATACTGAGTGATTAGGGGCCATCGATATGTCACATTGAAGGTGTATACACGCGATGAAACTGGCCAGGAGGAGTTCCAAATCTATAAACATCTGAGCCAGGGCAATCCGTCACACCCTGGCTTTGCGCACGTGAGAACAGCATTGGATGCATTTAGCATATCACGCCTTGGGAACTGCTACCACTGTCTGGTCCAGAGGCCTATGTGGGAGAGTTTCAGGGATCTTCTGTATCGAAATCCCGAGCATCGCTTTACTGAAGTTCTTCTGAAGGCCAGCCTTGTTCAGATCTTCCTTGCACTTGATTATATTCACACCCAATGCAAGCTCGTTCATACCGGTAAGACTCTCTTGGAGCTGTCCGAAAGGAGGTCACTAACAGATCTTTAGACATTAAGAGTGACAACATCCTCCAGGAAATAGAAGACCCGTCAATCCTAGATCGTTTTTGTGAAACCGAAATGGAACATCCTTCGCCACGAAAATTCGTCAATGATATGCCGGTATATGCTTCCCGACGTCTGGAATTGCCTAAAAGATTTGGCAAAGCGGTTCTCAGTGATTTTGGTTCAGCTGTAGGGGGTGATGAAAAGAGAAACCATGATGCTCAGCCCAACGTTTACAGATCTCCGGAAGTGATGTTGAAAACCGAGTGGAGCTATCCTATTGATATTTGGAATGTCGGAGTCATGGTCTGTACTGGTTTCCATTTGGCTCACGTGCCATGCGCCTTTCATATTCTCACTAATCACATTGTGTACTAGGTGTGGGATTTATTCGAGGGCAAACACATGTTCAATGGCAACGACCCAGATGGCAAGGGGTATTCCACCAGGGCACACCTTGCTGAAGTTATTGGGGTCTTAGGTCCCCCTCCATTGTCCCTGGTGAAGAGTGGAAGACGAAGTCATGAGTTTTTCACTGAAGATGGTGTGTTATTCCCTGCTAACAAAATCTATCCCAATTTGTGTGTTTGTGGCTTACAGAATTATCCAATAGGACACTGGAGAAATGAGATTGAAGTACCAGGAAACATTTCGTTGGAAAACTCGGAAGAATTCCTTAGCGGACGAAATAAAGAGATGTTCTTAAAGTTCATAAAGGGAATGCTTCAATGGCGACCAGAGGATAGAAAGACAGCCAAGGAACTACTGCAGGATCCGTGGCTCAATGACCACTCATTCTGATCGCTTTCATAATAAGAATGGATCCGCTTTAATATGTGGGGAAGACTCGTGAGAATACTCTGCTGAAACTCATTCAAAAATTCAATCGACAGAATGACAGTGATTTGTTCCCCTGTTCTAAGAGGGGGTCGGCTCCCATGTGTGCTGTTACTATGACGGTGGTGGGACGCCACTTGTTATGCTAAATATTTCGGTTAATCGTAGAAAGACGGATAGTGATTCTGCGATCTCTCTCTATCTGAGATAGTGTTGCTTTATTGCCGTAGCTTGTGTGGATGTATCGTCAAAGCATGTATTTCTTTGTCTATGGTCAGGACAAACTAGCAGCTAAAATCCTGTATTGGGAAATCCTCCGATTTTCGTGGCCAACAAGACCGCTGAGACACACCGCGACCTCGACAACAATTCCTGCATCGCGCTTGCAAAGGTAACATAGCCTTTCGTTTCCCACAATTCAAGCAATCACCCAGTAACGGAGCATCGAAATACGTATCGAGCATATCTTTCACAAAACCTGGGACTTGGGCAGCAATGGTGTCGTACTTGTCACGAATAGATCTATTTCGAAGAAGATCCTCGAGACTATCTCTAGATGAACGCAGAACTGATTCTCTGAGCTTTTTGTTTGGATGACCAACTAGGAAATAAACATCGGGTATAGATTCCAGAAATTCGAAAGGATCAAAGTGATTTTTGACTTTGTCCATATACCTGTCTGCGGCATTATCGCAAAGCTCGCTTATATCGTATTTATCGGCCAACGCAAATAGTTGCGCGTGTGTCTGAAGGGGTGAAATGGATACTTGTTCATTTTCGGGTCCGACAGTAACATCACGATAGTCTCCGATATAAAGAAAATCGAGCATTTTTTCAACGAATGCCTTCGAATCGTCAACCATCTCGTACGTAGCTGTTGTCGCTTCCTACCGAGATGTTAATACTTCAATAAACTATGCGCTAGTATGCGTCACCTTGAAATTGTCGGTACATGCGGCAAGGAATACCGAAGATTGCGAACATAAAATGAGCTTATGGACCTTGAACCTGGTACCATCACAAACGATGGTAAAGTCTGTGAAGCTCCCTAGTTCACGACACCTGCTCGACCATCAGCGCAGTAAAGAAAGCTCAGTCAGATTTGACGAACCACGTGATTTTGTCCACGATGTTTTGAAGCTGCGTCAGTGTTGCTGGTGACATCTTGAATTGAATTGTGAAGGCATTTGAGCAAGAACCACGAATTGACGGCATAGAAGGGTGGGGGTTACGTTGATATAGCTGTCGAGTTTCTCTGTACGCGCTCGATCGCAAAGCAGCGATAGGAATGTTTGGAATTTGCAGGACCCATCTTAGGCGTATTCAATCCAGGCAGCTACTTGCGCGTATTTGGTGGCAATATTGTTTACACGGACGGTATGAAGGGATGTGGATTTCAGTTGGGAATGCTCGGTCTCTCCTTCTTCTTCCACACTAGTTAACTGAACGCCTCATGGCCCAGGCACCAATTTCGATCTAATGTGACACTCCGAACATATTTTTACCTTCGAGCTCGCTTATGATGGATCCAGAAAATGACACAACTAGCACTGACAATACCCAGTGCCAATGTAATAAAAGACCTTGCAAAAAGACTCAATTTGATGCGACAGCCTGATCTTGTAGGTTCACAGAGCTCATCAGAAAGGCTGATATGATGGTTGAGGTCAATGTGAAGCACGTCCACACTTGCATATTGGGATGTTCAGCATTTGGCGATAATATGTTGGTATCTGAGACCATCAAGGCTTGGGAATGCTTGTGCAGCATACCGTCTTTAGACTTCTTCGCAATCAGAATCATCGTGTATCACGACCGCAGCCGGCACCGCTTGCGAGACAATAGTGACTATGTATCTCTTCGGTAATCTGTGGCATAAGTGGCAAATCGCGTTCAAAGTCAGCATCCCACTTCTGCACCTAGCATTCTCGGCAGCTCAGATTCATGGAAGCATTTTGTTTTGGAGAATGTATCGACGACAACAGAGCTTCGCAAAAGATAAGTCTGAAGAGGATGGAGAAAAAGCATTACAGCTGAACTGAGCCATTCATTGGGACATGCACCTGGGCCTTGGAACAAAAAACGTTTGGAGCATTACAAAAGAGATGACGATTGCTCATAGAAGCCTGTTGATGCATGCGCTTATTGGCGAGAGAAGCGGTTCTGTCCCCATATTTTGATGATCTTTCTTTGATAATTCTAGTCCCAGGGCGTTTTGTGTATCCCCCTGTCGACTCATCCAATTTCCCTGGCACCAGTATCTTCCACAGCCTGATTATTAAATCGTGGGAACGAGTAGAGCCGGATTCCTGGGAGCATTGAAGAGACTTCCTAATACATTGTAACAATCCGCAATTGTACCTTGTGCGCGGACACAATTTGTACATCTGTGCTCAGGATGAGAATTATCCCTGTCGTCCACGACCGCACCTTCTTGAAGACCCTCACAAATTTACAACGTCACGTCATTTTCACCAGTCTGGATTAGATTTGGAAATACGATGAATGGTTATCTTCTACATTTGGCGGAGATCCGATTAGTTCATTCCTAGTGTCATGACGCGCATTTCCGGAACGAACTAGAATACGACAACAGGGCGGTGTGAAAGCTACATTGCTCAGATGGTACTAAAATTGAGGCAAAGAGTGATTGGGATCCCAGGAACTTGATGCTGAAGAAAATAAAAATGGCCCTTAAGCAAAAGAATAAAACTGGGAAAATTGTTCTAGGTACAGAGCGGGAAAAGGGACTCCCCGCAACTGTGGAGCAGTCGTCTTGGACCAAAGTATGCCTGCTGCATCACAAGTAACAGACAGTGCATGAGCTTTCAGGTTTTTTTTTGGGGGGGGGGGGGGGGGGGGGTAGAGCCCGTAAAGTTACTGCTCTCGATATGAAGTTATCAGATAAAAATTTAAAGACAGAATATCTCCAATAATTGAGACATGCATCAGGAACAGGAACTCGATAATAAATCAACCACGCAAGTTACCTGTGGAGAGTGACTGTCATAATTGGTACTGGGAAGAACTGGTCATGTCCCTCCAGTCCCGTACTTCAATTAAGCTTTTCTACTGTCTCTATTTTCCTATTTTATAATTAATACGAACAGTCTATCCATAACCTTTGAATTATGCTCATTTAGGTTATTGCTTGTGGATTACCAAAGTACTCAATCATTCTTAGAGTATTACTTCCGAACGACATCTATTCCCTAGTGCAACAGTCTCATGGGAGTGACTGCCATACCAACCCAGATTCCGTGCAAAAATTCCAATAATATACCACCAAAACGACAACAACGAGCCAAACTTCGACTAAAAGATCCTATCAGCAGCGCATCCTGAGGACTATCAGTGCAAACCCACCTTTTTTCCTTTTCAAAAGAATATTGAGCCACTTGTCATGAGAACGGCATACACCCAGTACTGGGAGGTCTCACTTAGGCGGCTGCTGTGGTGCACCTGGCTTCTTCACAGCAGTTGTATCGTAGGCTCCGCGTCCCTCGTCAGCTGAAGATTTGCTTTAGTGCAAAGAACATAGGATAGATCTGGACAAGGGAAGTACTCACATAATGGATACTTATGCCCAGTCATGTCGGCAAATCCGATAAGTAGCACAAAATGAAATGCAGTGATGGGTATGGTCAGTCGGAGGGAAACAATGAGAACAACGGAGGGGATCGAACTGAGTGCGCTTTCGGCCCTTTTATAATAACTTCCAAGGAATGGTAATGCTAGCACTATTATTTAATACAGCCTTTTTTCTTTCGAGATGATCCGAAATAGTACCGTATTGGATCTCAGGTCTAGAACATAGATTGGAAGTCTCTTCTTCACAGTATTGACAGTGCGAATGTCTGATTTCAGAATTTTCAAAGACGCTAGTGTGCAAAACCCTAGTCTAGGTACGTAGCTCTTGGTGGATCCTAATCCTGTCTACCGCACGGATAGCAGTAGGTATGCGTAGCGTGCAGGGATAAGGCCATGGCTTGCTGCGCCATGTTCACTTTGTCTGGACATTGGGAAACGTGATCGGCACAGGCACCTGTATAGTATGGGCCCTAGCATTTTGTTCGGCTAGCAGTTCCCATGGCTGCAAGGGCCGTCTCAGGCTTACGGATGACTTGGCCTAGTCCTCCCAACTACACGACCTCCTAGGACCCAGGTTCTAATTTATGACGCTAAGTGCCCGGGTACCTTTGGAAGTAATCGACATCCGTGGGAGCCAATGAAATATTTCCATTACTGATCCAAAAGCAATGCCTTACGCTTATTATGCAGCCATATCTATCAAAATTGTAATGCGCTGAGATCTTGTTAATTTCTTTCTTTCCTAACTTTTTATCTGTCCCGATCCTTCCCTCTCCTTAGTTCTATTATTGTTCACCTCAAGGCTGGCACGAAAAAGGGAATCTGAAAAAAAAAACAGTACAATCCGGATGGAGGACCTGTCGTCCCTAGACACCACGGCCCTGCCCTCCGACAACTTGGGCCAACAGGAGAATATTTCTATCTGACTACCTCCAGCCATTCCTGCTCCCAACAGCTGGACTACCTGCTTGAGTCTACCTCTAGTTTTCGCCTTCTCCGACCAAACTTCTGCCAGCTGAAACAGATTTCCAACATGGTGTCTACGTCTGATATGCTCCCATGGATGCCCTAAATGAGTCCATAGCGCCGCAGACTGTCACGCCTGCGCAGGCTTTCCCCTTCGCAGCAATAGCTACTATTCCATTCTCATGCCTTGAGTTCCCGCCGGAAATCGCCACCTCCAAGATGCAAACTTCTTCGATCCCAATGCACCCCTTTTGAAATCCCCCTGGCACCGATACCCCCTCTAGTCTGTTATCCAAGGCAAGAACACCGCCAGGTCTTCAGCGGGAAGCCCAGCACGCCGCCTGCTGATTCCAATTTGAGCCAGGAAAACGTGTAATCTATTGTCAAACAGTCGTGGTTCAAGTGCAAGACACCCGAGTTCAATAGGTCCTTCATGCGTCAAGAACACCTAAAGCGCCACATGAAGAGCCACTCCAAGGAAAATCGATATGCCTGCTGGGTGCCTGGGTGCAACCGCGCTTTCTCGCGTTGCGACAACCTCAACGCCCACTACACAAAGACCCACAGCAAACCGGGAGATCGCAACCGTTACGTTTCTAGCCTGGATAAGACGGGCCCAGACTACAACCCTGACTTCCGCGGTCAGCTGACGTCTGACGGACGACCGCTATATCAACAAGCTTGAGAAGTCCTCAGCTGCCAACAGCATAAGTTGATGAGGCCTGTGTGAGCTGGTCATCCTAAAGGTGTTCGAAAAGCAAGAGAATTTAAAAGTCGCCTGAATATTGTCATTATAGACGACAGATTTCAGTGTCATAAGTCTTAGTTTAGCAAAGAGAAGCTATTCTGACTTGATGCCAACCTTGACTGAACAAGTGAGCAGGTTGCGAAGCCGCTCAACAACTGCTGTCCTGCAGTTGTGCTCGGGTTTCCCAATGGCAAACTCCCCGCTTGCATCTTTGTTTCCAGGATCAGCGCTCCTAGCGAGAAGAGCATTAACTACATCTAATTTATCTAGTTCAATAGCCTCCGAAGAGGGATTCCAATCCCTTTTGGGATTTTTTTATTTGGTACGAAGAGAGATTGTTCTCAAACATAAATTAGTTGATTGCCAGATTCTAGTCGAGAATGAAACGTAAGGCCTGAAGATACTCGGCACTCTGCCTTCGTACAGCGTAATGCAGCAGCAGCCCGTATTTGGCACATCCGCCATCTTTTTTCTTTTTTTTAAAAAAGGCTTTATAATGGCGAGGGATACTCCATAGTGTGTAATTGAACGAGCGGTGATACCAAGGGTACAATGGGCGTTTGGATCTACGCTATGTAGCTATTTGCAGAGCTCTTCATCTTGAAATGACATCTAAGGATACTTAACTACGGCTCTGGTAGATAAACAGACATCATCTTACATGAGTGGTGAAGGAGTGGTCCAATTGGCTCATTTGTGTTGTAGCCACTGGCCAGACTATAGGCACAGGGAATTGATAATCTGTCGGACAAAGGGAAGATTGGAAGCGACAGTTGACATCGACATTATTTACTAGCAAGGCTACAATGCCGTTTTTCCGCCTCTCCAGTCGCTGCATTATTCCACATTTTTGGCTCTGGGTGTCCAATATCAGATTGTCGATAAGCCCTTGCAAACCTTTTTAACGTGAATGTCGCGGTTTCCGGGTCTAGAAAACGATTTCTGGCAATAAGGGCACTGTGCCTGGCGCTTTCGACCTGACTTCTCACGCTGATGTCTCAACAAATTGCTGAATGTGGAAAACTCCCGACCGTTGCATTCGTGTTCCCAACATTGAGGTTTCGCGGGCGGGTTGACAACCATTGCATTCGTGAGCAGCGGATCCGGCTGAAATACGCCCAAGGGCAAGTGTAGGCTGCTGGAAGCATAGCCACCTGGAAGACCTCAATTTCCATTCCACAAAAATACATAGAGAATACTCACCAGAGGTATGCGATTGAAACATCATACATTGATGTGTGAGCTCACACCCAATACTGCTGCTTTCTTGAGGGCACGAGACCTCGGAAGTCGTAGGTACCTGCCACGGAATTCCATGAAAGAGGATCTCAGCTCTCTTTTCCGTCATCAATATACTGTTTCCATGGCCCTGTTAGCACGGAGGATGTCTGTGCATCGGCATGGGCTTACCTCTGATGAAGCAGTCCATCCTCTGTATTGTGCATGTTTAAATCTCCAGAACAGCGCAAATTAGCTTGTTTCCCCAACTGTTCTGGAGTCCACGTGTCATGTGTGTTCATAGTTAATGGAATGCAACTCGACGTCGAGCACAAGCTGTGACAATCGGTCTCGATGGCAAATGTCCCCAGTGGATTGTTCAGCAGGGAGACAATGGAAAAAGCGAAACTGTGGGTGGAATCAGGCAAGACAAGGAAGAATTTCGCTCGGGGTACTGTAGAAAATTACGGCGAAAAAAGGTAGACTTTTTATCTCTGTCTTATTTCTGAGTTCGAACGGACCAGCAGCCGTCAGTGGTTGATGGGGACGATGCTAGACTAGGAAATCCTTTGCGGATCTCAATCATCCCTACTGCGAGGGTAAGAACAGCTGTAGCAAGGGTGCAGGGATGCAGGTGGTGGCTTGCTGCGCCATTTGGCAAACGAAGCCGTGATCTGACTAGAACCATGATTGCTTTGTCCGTACATTTGCATTGGGGGAATGTGATCGGCGCGGAAACTTGCAGGGGTCGGACCCGTCTTTTCATTGGTGTCTAGCAGCAGGTCCCAGAAGCCACAGGGGCCGTCCTAAATCCACGGATGCCTGGCCAGACCATGTCTATATGACCTCCTAGGATCCAGGTGCGGTTTATGCCAGGTGCCATTGTATTCTTGACAGTACGCATCCGGGTAATGTAATGAGACTAATCCAAGCCCAGCGAGCTAAGGGTTCAGCCTCTGATCCAAAGGAGCATTATTGTGTCGCTCAAGTTTGTGTTGCTTCCTTTCCCTAAATCTTTCTCCGTCTACTCCATCCTATCCATCTACTTTCCTCGCACTGCCCAACAACTTTTTGTTGCTTCCGAACAAGAAAGGATTTGTGACATTGCGTAAGTAAAGTAAATATCATACACGCGCTTCATGCTTTCTTGCTGATTCTCAAGAAGGGCAAGAAATCCAACATGAACTGCCAATGCAACCAGTCGCTTCTACAAGAGGCCAGCTCAAAAGAATCTACAACTGGTCCTTTCAGATCCACTCCACTGTTGACAGGAAAAAATGTTGCTGAAAGATTTGGAAACGGATCAGAAGATTATATTTCTTTATTTTTACGATGGATAACCCGGTCCAATCAACACAAAATTGATCGTGAGGAAAGTGTCATCATTGCTGTTGTGCAGACAGAATCCAGTGGGATTTGTCTTTCGAAAACTATTATGCGGCATGTATATTATGGAGGTGAAGCTACTGGGGAATCTCAGGGCATGGTACACAATGTCCATCGCCACTCAGAGATATGATGGGGCAGCCAAAGTCGTGCGATCGAGAACAGAGATAAGACTGCTTGACTTGTGAACCATTTAACTTGGCTTTGAGTGGAATAAAATTGTCACTGGGTAAATACACGGTCTTGGTACAAAGTTACGAATTTGATCATAAGGTGGACTAGTAGAAGGGATACAAGGATTTGCTCTCGTGCTACGATTCAACTTCGTGAGTTCACTATGCAGATACTAAAGTGTGTACGGCGGGCAGCCCTGAATTAATGCTAGCCTCAATAGAGAGGCTGGCGCCCCTGTGCTATATGTATTTCTGAAAATATGATTCTCATCATGTTTCGGCTAAGTGCGGATGAATATGGCGGACAGAATTTTGGATAGACAGGACAAACCACCAAAATATTGCGTATCTGTGTAATAGCAATTGCTGAGATCGGACACTGTAGATTGCTGGTTATCGCAACCAATAGCTATGATCAATACCAAGGTAAAAAGCCGATTCCTCTCGAATGATGCAAGCAGAAGACCGTGGGGTTTGAACGGGAAATATTGGCGTCGGGATGACAGGCTCCTCCAAGCTCCTCAAAGAGGACAGGTTCGAGAAATGAATCGTCGGATCAAAGCTGATAAGGACCAGGGCAAAATGACTAGGGGGCAGTTCCCGACATGGGAGAGTGTAGAGGAGTGACCGTTCGTCAGAGACGGCACGAATAGGCATAGCGCTCGGTTCTGGACGCAGCAGATGGCGTAGAAAGTGTTGACGCGTAGATGAAGCGTCATCCGGAGGCCACATATGCACACCGCGGGAGACAAAACGCTCTTCGGAACCGTCAACGAACCGACCTTTCGCATCCATCTGTGTAGGGCGAAATAGCAACCCGTTCGGCCCTTCAGCCTTTTCCTCGTCGATCGGGCATTTGCGATTCCGCGCAACTGTCCGCAGTAGTAGGCGGTCTCGGTCAATTACAAGATCGACAAAGGTCGCTGCGCCGAGGTGATAGCTTCTGTGTTTGGTGTGAGCTCGTATAAATTCCTTTCTCTGTCTCGGACCATCCTCCCGCTCAAACTCGGAGTGGTAAAATCGTGGTAATCGCTTACTCAGATGCTGCGCAGTGGGCTCGTGAGTAGAAATACCAACCTCCGGCACATAATCCGTATGTGGAGGGCATATTCCTGCAAGAGTTTCTTCTGGTGTGGGTAGCGGTTGTGTATACAACGTACGATGGTTCTCGCTGTTATTACCATAGAGCCATTCGCGACGGCACTCGAGAATGACAGGCCGTCCGAACGTTTCGTCGATTTGTATGGAGAGGTCCGTCCATATCTCAGTCAAAGGCCCTTCACGGTGCTCACGGCGCCAGAGTCGACCACTTCTTTGGAGTTCCTGGCGCGGTGCAAAGCAAAACCAACGATAGAAAGAATTGTTGTCGTCGTCCTCTATTGAGATTGCATAGAGATGTTCCTGGTACATCTCGAAGTATAATGTCTCGCCGATATCGCAACTAGTAACTCCATCCAGGGAAAACACAACTTCTTCCTGTGTCATAAGATCCTGGCCGCACACGGACCACATACCACCCACATTGTTGGTTGGGAATGTAAAGGTGCCGTACCAGAGGTAGGACCGGCTATGCCGGACGAAAAGTTTTTCGGTGCCTTGTGCGATTGCCAAAAGCTTTAGTTGCCCTTGTTGAATCGCGTCGGGATGCTCTAAATAGGTTCCCAATAGTATCCCCATACGTTCTAGCCAAAAGACCAAAAATCCATCATCATAGTGGGCGAGCTTCCATAATGATGATGGGTCGTCTATGTCGCTTAAGTGGCCACCGAATTCAAACGCTTCGTCTGATATAAGGTTTTTCAGGTTTATCACACGTTCGTGACAGTCACGGGCATGCAAATCAAGCAGCCGGACCTCATTTTCGATTCGGTAACACAAGAAGCCGTTGTGATAAAGGAAATCTGCCGCATAGGCTAAGACAGTAACCGAATAGGGGGCTGCGGTTGCAATTGCTTCGTGGACGTCAAACCGGTGATTGATAGCATTGTAGTATCCAGCCTGGGAGGCCATGGCAATTTGGCCCTCTTTGCTATAGAACAAGTCATTCTGGATTGTTGTCAGCTTTATTCGGTCGGCTTCGTTTTGCCTGCCTACTTCAATAATTTTGCGCGCAATGACGTCGTTTTTCATCCTTTCATGGATAATTTTGTTAGTGCGACTAAGGTGGATAAAGTCACGGTTGTCAAGCAATATGGTGATCTGATAGAAAACGTCGAAAGGAATAGACATCAGTCTCCATCCAGCAGACATGTTGATGGACGCGGTGGAATTTCTGAGGAAGAAAACAGGACTGGCACAAACTAAGTGTGAGCAGTATTGGGTCCAGGGCCTCATTTTAAAAAAAAAAAAAAAAAAAAAAAAAAAAAAAAACCGCGCCGTATCCAGTCAGGAAGCAACTTGTCCAGTCTGATTAGCCGTCATAGCTCCAAGTTGTGCCTCTGCCTTTGAGATACTGCTGGTTGAATGGCATCCCCCTAAAAAGGGCTTGAGCCCGAGCGTCAATAGCGTCGTCGCTCCCAGAGCCGAAAGAGCTCTTGCAGATCACGTATGCACCTAGTGCTTAGACGAGTCCCGGAACCAAGGAGTTGAACTTTAGCCGTATCCATAACTGTACTGTAATGAAACTAATTCCAGTCCAGGAGAGCCAATTAGAGGGGTTATGAAATCGCAGACACATCTGTTGTGAGATGGTGAAGAAAAAGGCAAAAATCGGTGCTGCGCTTTTCAATTGCTTTTAGCATCTATGATACCAAATCATGCGGCCTGGTCCTTTGTACTGTTATTGTCTCTCTCCAAGTCAGCTTGAGCTTCGATATTTAGCACCCACATTTGTTCACCCTCTATCCATACTCGTTATTGGGCCTAGCCAAGACTGAGAACTCTTTGTGGGCCCACAAGCATCGCTACTTTCAAGTAGAAACAGTGCGCAGGGACACAGAAAATGCGTTGCTGCGTTTTAAGGCAAACAAAACCGTACTTATTTCTTTGTCCGTGCGTTGAAGGAATTTGATAGGCACAGAAACTTGCAAGAATACCACCATTTTCCAGTGCTAGCAGCAGATCCCAGGAAGGGGCCAGTAAGCACCCGTTCGAGGTCATGCGTGGTCACCTCAGCACATACAAACTCCTGGGATCCAGGTATTCATCAATGAACTGTTTCTACAAATTTGTACTGGTAAAACCCTAGACTAGGTACGTAGCTCTCGGTGGATTCTAATCTTGTCTACCCCAAGGATAGCAGTAGGTATGCGTAGAGTGCAGGGATAAGGCCATGGATTGCTGCGCCATGTTCACTTTTGTCTCAACATTTGGGAAATATGATTGACATAGTGACTTGAATGGTCCTTTTTTTTAACTGGCAGCTAGTCGTCCCCATGGCTGCAAGAGCTGTCTCAGGTTTACGGATGATTCGACCTGGTCCTCCCAACTACACGACCTCCTAGGACCCGAATGCTAATTTATGGAAGGTAGATGCTTTGGTATCCCTTGGCAGTAACCGACATCCATGGAGGCAATTAAATGCTCCCGGTACCGATACAAATGGAGAGTTTTTCGTTTATTGTGCAGCCATATCCACCCGAATTGTGATGAGCTAACATCGTGTTCATGTCCTTAACTTTTTTTTTATTTTTCCAGTACCTTGCCGCTCCTTCCTTGTTGAGTTATTGCTCAATTCCAGCCCAGCACAAAAAGGGAAAAACCGAGAAGTATACGTCGAATTCTTTTCAAACCGAAATATCATCTAATCCACAACGAAAGCTCTGTTCTTGCCTTTCAACCACTTATAGGTATGAAGAGTTTGCTCTGCAAGAGAGCACGTGTCGGCTGTCCTACAGCAGAGCCTCACAGTGAACGCAATTGCTCTTGGATGGCGCTAGGTTTCCCTTTTGTCAACCCTTTCCCCCTGATTCCTACTGGCTGTTACAGCAGGCCTCCCTGGACACCGCCAGGTCAGTATGAGACTAGTAACCACCACAGCCTATCTGAGAAAAGATGCACGCCCGCAATACCACCGCGACGTACGATCTGAATGGAATACCTGTATTCTTTTTACAGTATCTTGGCTTGGCAAGAGTGTGATGCTTAAAAGTGAGAGCTGAAGATCTGTGAGGAGATTGCTCCCCAATATCTCCTGCCTCGTTTTCCTCGCCAGCCCCTTGTTTCCTGAGAGGTTTCAAATTCCATTTAGACAATCTTTTCTAATATTTGACCTCGCAGGTTATTCTAATTATGCTCCTTTCAGATAGCAACAGAATCCGGCTCCTTGTTCTCGGCTTTGTTCATCAACTACCACGGACCGCTTGGCCCAGCCCGTTCAAAGGTCCTCTTGTCGTCACTGTCATTACAGGAGGTGTTCGAGGACGATCTGGGTCTCTAATATACCTAAACCTCCACATAAGATAGTCCGCATTGCGCCGGTTGACACTGCCTTCCCAAGGCCGAAGTTTATCAGGGAACGAGACTTCCTCGAGATCAACAATCACCACTTCTCCGTTTTTGCAGAACAAGAAATTGCCCAGATTCGGATCTCCATACTCGACTCCATTCTCATGTAGAATCTTGAGAGCCTTTTCAAGTTGACTTTCCGCCGTTTGCTCGTCGACATCGGTCTCGGCGAGTTTACGCAGGGAAACCCCATCGACTACCGAAAGAATAAGCGCCGGACGCCCATTGAAAGAACCTTGACCCAAAAGAGTTGGAATCAAGGTCCCTTGAAGCGCTTTTAATCTCTCGTAGGCAAGAGTCTCATTCCGGAACTCATCGTCCCCATCTTCCTTTTTCTGCTTCACAATGACTTTTTCAGGAAGACCAAGCCTAGGTTGGTCAAGTTCCAAGCGGCATACTGTTGGGCGTTCCTTATGTAGCGTCTGGACCGAACGAACGACGACGGACTTGTCTTCGAGATAGACTATCTAATCATTTGTGAGCTTAGCCTAGTCTTCCGCGAAATATCTTACCTGCGAATGGGACGGTATCTGAAGCATAGAATCCATGGCCTGAAAGGCAAAGAGCACACTGGAAGGAAGGTAATTAACTAAGGTCAAAGGAAGGAATGGCCTTTTGAAGGGGTCGAGAGCGCGGGCCTCCATCTTTTGATTACTAATTCGCATGTTATTGGAGTCAACCCTCACCAAATAAATCCAAGGCATAAGCAGTCAATAATAACTCTGACTGTCGGGACATATCCTTCTGTCAGTACAAGGTAGCGGTAACTTACCGCTAGCGACTGATAGATCACATTTCTGTATACGTAACATCGCGCTAAGCTACGGCTCCGGCGTATGGGATTCAGGGGTAATTTGAATGTGACCGGAGGAGACATCTATCATACATGAATCAAATCGATTTTTGCTTTAGGAGCATGAACACTGTTCACTTCACTGTGTACACGGTACCTAGCTGGTGATACCAACACTGACCTTCACTCTATTTTGTGTCCAATACAGTCCACCATGTATTTTCCTTGGAGTTGCGCATTGCGGCAATACAAACAGGTCCCCACTATAAGAGCAGTGATACTCGCCCCCAAGGCATCGAACTCGCACGGCGTGTTCTAGGTTTTACATTACGGGGTCTCTATGGGGCATCTTACAGCAGTGTTAAGTAGGTGTACCAAATTAGTTTACCTCCTAGTCAGGTGGTTTGTCTGTACCGACTTGTAAAAAAGTAGAAATAACGTGGTACCTAAGAACTGTAAATCAAACCGATTGAACGCGAAACATTAGATAGGAACGGAAAGTGAAGGGTCCCTCATAGGACGGCTCTCTCATCTAGCTGCTGGCAATCTCGGCTCCTGAATGGATGATGTGTCTGGCCGACTCAATTGAAACAGTTTAAGGTATCATCAACCATCATCTGTCCATTTGTCCATACCCAAAAACCCCCTGGCTTCTGGCTGCCATTGCGCCGCTGGACTGGTCTGTGGACAAATACACGCGTGTACCCTTGAGGAGCAGAGCATGGGCGGTTATGATGATCGAACCAATTCGGCCTCCCTGACCACCATTCGTATCCCCGCCTAGACCTACCTAACTGTAGCTCTTTTTGTGCCCGTATCAGCATACCTGATCGATCCTCTGTCTGGTCTAATGTTGTACATAGGCGAACCCATCCCCGCCAGGCTAGTCTGTACAGCGCGTATTGCATAGTGCATTGGTTATTTATCATATTCGGATCTCGAGGAATGACACAGCAATCAATGGGACAGCGTCGGCTTTTAATTTCCTCGCGACTCCTAGCTTGGAATTGCACAATGACTAGGCTTCGCGAGTCGAAAACGAAGGCTTGGGGGCAGTTGTATTCGTAAGCGTACCTTTACTCGGTCAGAAATGAATAAATCAACGAAAAATTGAATAAAACGATACCCTCTGACCTCCTTTTGGAGTCTCGATGTAACCTGACCGGCTTCCTCCAAACCCCACTCTCTTCCTTTGATGCTAAATGGCCTTTTCATCTCTCCTATCATAGCGGCGAGTTCAAGTTCCCGCCCTGAATGGCGCATTGTCATTTGGTAATCAACCATGAAAGTGGAAGATATCGACCCCGTTGGCCCACGCTGAGAGTATGGCCACAGTAAGGGAGCACCAGGCCATAAGTGCTGCCCTCCACTAGTGATGGCATCAGAGCCAGAGAAGGCTTTCGCGAGACATGGAACGATAAGGAGGTTGAAGTCCCGTGTAACATCGGCCTCATTACCAATCTCATGCTTGAAGTCATTCCACATGTAGGCGGGAGTCTGAAAGCCGATATAATCGGCGCTTGAAGGAGCATCCACCCCATTCAGGGGCCCCAGAAATTGGTCGATTGCATCGACGGTTGGAGGATAAGTCGTAACATGCGACTCTGAAAAGTCATGATAACTTCTTGTCCATGGTTTGGTACTGGTCGTGAGTTCACTATCAACGACAAGGGGCGGACGACTGGGCGTTCGCATAAGGTCAAAAACTGTAGCCGACATATTCAAAAATGTATAGGTTGAAAACTAGACGTAAAAGTGATGTTGATGTATTGCAGATTATTGGGAAGGGCGAGATTTTTATATCTTTGTAGAAAGCAAATCGCTATTTCGGCTCCACGAATTATCAATGAAAACATGTTACTAGCCGCCAGGGCTGTTGCCAGACAAAGAGTCTAGTCACAGTACTGTGAATACAAATTTGGCAAAAGACCCCTGGGTTTCATGCTAGTCCTGGTAGTGATCTATCATTGGCAAGAGAGTGTCCGAGCTAGGGAATGGCTGCTGATGTGGTGCGGCTTTCCATGCGACAGTGTTATGCGCGGTTATTAGTACAATACAAGCACCCATTAAAACAGATTATGAATGGGGTTTCTGACTCTCCTTCCATTCTCTTCCCACTCTCTTCCCAGAACGCTTTTTTATACGTCGGGACAGATGCATCAAGCTCCCAGCCGAGTTTTTGGACTTGGCGCTACCATTCTATGGGCATATTAGTTTGCAGTTCTTGCGTACATATTTTGGCTGTCATGGTTTTTCGCCATATGTATACGCGGGGATGGCAGTCAGGATGGTAGTAATGATGGTAGTAGGGATGGCAGTAGGGATGGCAGTTAGGATGGTAGTAGTGATTATTGTAGTAATAGATTTCGGTATTGTCAGATGAATCAGTGTTTGGAAGTTGACGGGGGTTGGAAGCGGGGATAATACAGTGGCACCGCAAAAGTCTGTGACCACCCCCCTCTGACCGCCCCTTTCTGCCACCTATATTCTGCCGTACTAAAATCTCCAAAATAATCATATTAAACTCATACTTAGTATACCACCCACTAGAAATCAGTAATAGCCTATACGCGACACGGCATACACTCTAAGAGATTCCCTTGATCGTGCCACTATTCGCGACGCGTTCTAGTAATTCAATCTAGGAAGCGGTGTAGGCGGTGAAGAGGCCGGTCAGAGGGGGTGGTCACAGAATTTTGCGGTGCCACTGTACAAGCAAAATATGTACAGTAGCCACTGTTCGTATCATGTATCAACCATGCCATACGCCAAGATCCTGCTATTCCCCACCCATAGCCCCTAGACAAACTGATTAAATAATGTCAAAACATGAAAAATTACCGTTAAGAGCTGAAATAGAGTGGCACTTTTTGGCCTAGCGGTATATTTTGCGCCCTCGATTTTGGTTGTCAAATAATCTGACTGTCAAGCATTAACTAACACATGAATCGAAGTAACTACTTAGATAGCTTCATAATTGGCCATTTCGTGAATTCCAATTCGGCATCATTGGGTGCATCCGATACTAGTGTATACCAGAATTGTCACTTCCGACATTATTATTAACATTATTATTATTATTATTATCTATTCCTCAGGCTTTTCACGACATTAGGTCGTACGCAGCCCTCTAGCTAGTGCGAACTGCTCCGTTGAATATGTACATTTGGTGTTTTCATCACTACGCGATTTTCTGTAATGCAGTTATCATTCCCTTTCAGCCTTCAACGACCAACCGTTGCGTCTCCATAGCGAACGCGATGACAGCTCTGACGATCTTGATATCGGGTTTCCATGCTCTCCCATTAGGCTCGCTTGCCCGTCTATATTATGTCGGTATAGCCCAAATCTAGTGATTCTTAGTAACAAATGTGAACAGCTATACCATCGAATCTATGATACTCAAAGATAGCGACGTATATTAAGTGGTGCCTCTGAGTTTTACCATATGCATTCTGAGATGTTGAAATCTAAACTTTGTCGTCCTTGGAGGTTGGCATTAAAAGAATAAGCACGAATGTTCACAGGAGAAACACTTATTTGCTTGTGCAAGAGTGAAAGAGCTTAAAGGATCTTTAGGGTCAATTGGCTACCAGAAACAGAAGACACAGCGAACCAGAGCATGCCTCATCCATTGGTTTAATGGCGTTGCAAACCCTTCTTAAGTAGTGCCAACGCAACACGGCCGTTACATAGGGGATTTGGCATCAGAATATTTCGTTACCGTCCTCTTTTTTGAGTTAGGTTCTGAGAATATACACAAAAGTAAAGAACCACGCCCCACAACCCTCTACTCTGTGCCTTAACGGTCAGACTTACTGACTTTCATAGCATAGCCGGTAATCTCGCGTGGATCCGGTCCAATCCAAACTTTTCGCTGCAGTCAATGTCCGGACAAATATTATCCCGAACCGATGAAGCCCGATTTTTGTCATCAGTTTGCCCCTCAGCATCCCACTTCCTACCATTGCCGGGCACTGTTGCAGACAGCCAAAACTACTGCCGATTCTTCTTTCTTTTCCTCCGATAATACCTTCTGAATATCTTCCGACATTGGGTATTCCACGATTTAACGACAGCCTGTCCTCTACGACTGCACGCCAGTCTACAGGCTTCAAGTTCGAGGCAATTTGCCGGAGGCTTGTTTGACGAACGAAAGTAAGTATCACAAAAATCTGTCTTATATTTTGGTTATCCTGACAAAACTTTGCAAAGTTTGACCCAATCCGCCTGCGTCTCGTGAAAAATATTTCCCTGTACTTCTTACTGTGTCGGTATCCCGAACCGCTGGTTATGACACTGGTTGACAAATGCACATTCTCTATTTACAGCTTACGTCTTTATTCAATAATGTCCAAACCCGATCAAGCCCCTGTCGGGAATGATGCCCTCGGCGGGAAAGCGGAATATATTCTCGGCTACATATTTGAAGCAGTCGATGAGGAACGATGTTTGGAAGGCAGAGGAACACTTATCATGGTTATTCATCCATCGGACACGGCAAAGACAAAAACATACGAAAACGTTCGCGAGGATACCAAAATCTCTGTGCCCCCTGGACACAAGATCAAAGTGATAGATGCCCTAATAAAGCTGACCAAGTAGGCTGCATATCCAGGCGCTTGAGCAAGTCCATCCCTGCCTCTTGTCCAACCCACAGAGTGATGGAGATATCTGCGTTTTCATCTCGAGGAATCATGGTTGTCAGACATCCAGTCCTGGGTTCATTCGCCTCTCTCTCCGTCATCCACAGACGACTAGTTTGAACGGCGTCTGGGATGAGGGTGCTTAAGAGGGGTATGTGACTGGTTGGGGCTCTCGAGAACATGAATGTGATCTCTATGATTAGTTGGTAAGAGAGTGCCTGTATGAATAGATAATTTAACTCACGCCTTCCATTTTCTATTGCCTGCCCTTGCTCTATACCATCTCCCACAGATGGCAACTGGCCGATATCTGTATTTTCAACGTCTTTCGGTGATAACTGCGAAGCATTCTCGTTCGTCGTTATCATATAGTTGCCTGAAAATCGGTCAAATTCGAGACCAAGCTATGTAGATACCTCATTATTTCTTACTTTGCAACTGCCTCTCTCCAGACATGCTCTGAACTGACTCTTCGTTTCGCGATGGAAAATGATCGGTGTAAACTTGCAATTCGTTATTGTGTTGTACCCGTGGCATTTGGTCAAGGGTCCGCTGCGGTGATTTTGGGTCTGCAAATGTCAGTTCCCTTCCTGTTCTTGCGAGAAAATCGTACCATTTGCAGTGGGAGAAAGTTCGTGAGTGGAAGATAGTAATCGCAATATTGGGTCGTCAAATTCGTGGCACAAACTTTTGAGCTGGCCTAGGAGCGTGGACCGAGTGGGTTTGTTCATGTGTGCAATGTTCGCTTGTCCCAGAGCTACAGCACATAACATGGTGAGAATAGGCCCAACATCACCGGTATTGTCAAAGAGGTCTCGAAGGAATAGTTTGTAATTGTTGCGTTTGATGGATTCCTGCACCTGATTCAAAATCTTGAATACATCCCGATATTGGCGAGCTTGAGTTTTGTTGAGCTGTCCAAGTGCTTTGAGGTGTTTACTGCATCCTCTGATTTTGTTTAAGGCCTCGCTTACGCTAAGCGGTTTCTGATGACGAGCACGTCGCGGCATTTGACTTGTGCTGAAGTTTAATTGATGGTAGCGGGGATAGCACGATTGACGGCAGCGTGGATGGTAGCGGGGATGTAGCGAGGATAGCACGATGGATGGCAATATGGATGGCAGTATGGAGGGTAGTGTGGATGGTAGCGTGGATGGTATCGTGGATGGTATCGTGGATGGTAGCGTGGATGGTATCGTGGATGGTATCGTGGATGGTAGCTTGGATGGCGTGGATGGCAGTATGGATGGTAGCGTGGATGGTAGCGGGGATGGCAGTATGGATGGTAGCGGGGATGGTAGCGTGGATGGTAGCGTGGATGGTAGCGGGGATGGCAGTATGGATGGTAGCGGGGATGGTAGCGTGGATGGCAGTATGGATGGCAGTATGGGTGACAGTGTGGATGGCAGTATGGATGGTAGCGGGGATGGTAGCGTGGATGGTAGCGTGGATGGTAGCGTGGCTGGTAGCGTGGATGGCAGTATGGATGGCAGTATGGGTGGCAGTGTGGATGGTAGCGTGGATGACAGCGTGTGTGGCCGTATGGATGGCAGTATGGATGGTAGCGTGGATCACAGCGTGGATGGCCGTATGGATGGCAGGATGGATGGTAGCGTGGATGGTAGCGTGGATGGCAGGATGGAGGGTAGCTTGGATGGCAGGATGGGGGATGGCAGGAGCTTCTCACGTGATATAGACGCGTTCCACGAGAGAGAGTATCTGAACCGAAATTACGCATCCTATCAACCGAGCCTCGATCGTTCTATAAGATCTGCGTATTATGAGTGTTATGACCATCCCGATGACAATGCAGACCGAGTCGAGACCCTCTGTGATGTCCAGGAAGGTTACATCGGAATAGCTATATAAGTCTGTGATCACTGTTTCCCATCTTCGACAGACAAAGCATTGTCCAGATCGTCCTCATGGGTATTCTCAGCAAACTTTCGAAGTGGCTCCACTCCATAGAACCCAGTTTCGGGCGTTCAAATCAGGATGAATCTACCAGTTCTTTTGGGGACTTTGGCCGAGAACCTCCGATCTCTGCTCTGTATACAACAGAGTCCCTGCGTGCAGAAAGTTCCGACTATCCTCACGGGCTGTCTGTCTCTGAACAGGCATCCTTGCCGAAAACATGTCAACATGTCAACGATCAGCCCGGCCCAGTTGGTTTGAGCACCATTTTGTATTACCGACATTATAATTCTATGGAAGTCATGTCTTGCCACCACACTGAACCTCTCGAAGAAGAAAGTCCACCTGAGGAAAAATCGACTCCGTTGTTGTCTTGGATATGCGGCGGTAAGTCATCAGAAATAAGTCCAATGCTTTGTTTTGGGCGCTAATGATACAGCCCATTAACGACAGCCTCCGGTGAGAACCACACAGACACGCCTTTCAGAGTTCAAATGTTTACCAACTACGGAGGATTGTTAAAGTCCTACCCTGGCTGTCAGATATGGATGCGCTTTACCGGTGTATGTATCGATGGCTCTGTCAAGGCCATTTATCTGGACCCACGCATGTTATGGGAGCATTCTGTTTTAGATCCCGAGGACCAAAATCTAGTGTACAGAGCAAAGAGCCTATTGTCTCAGGAGGAGTGGGAATATCTAGTGGCCAGATACAAGGGAAACTAGTAATTTTGGATCAGTTCCAATTCTAGTCAGACGTTTGGGAGTGGAACCGAGGATCAGTTGTATTTATGGAGATGGCTATCCGGGGTAATAGGTCCAAGATTCGCTTCGAAATAAATCCTGCATGAATATTCCTCTTCACCGTCTGTCACTATGATCTGGCTGGACCATGCAACACGGTTAACCAATTGGAACATCGAGATCCCACTTTGCAGATATTAGGTATTTCAAGGGCGCCAGTCATTTAAAGAGCAGCGAGAGGAAGCCTTTGATCCCTGAAACTTCCTCTCAATTCAAATCTTCTTTCGTTACTCGTGTTGTCTATAAATCAAAATGGAAGATCTCGACCTGATACGAAGGTTCTCAATTTTGAGGACAAGTCTACAAGTGACAAGATTTCATTTCATTTGCCCAAAGTGTCTGCGTCTACTCAAGGACCGGGCCGCCATCACTCAACACTGCCTAGATCAAACGGATCAAACGCATCGAGGACTCGGTCTGACAAGACGCAGAAATTTTGAAGAGTTCCAACGATGTTACCAGCAAGCCATTGGGTGGCTGATATTTCTCCCTCTAGGAGATGCTCCAGGACCTATTTCCTTCACCAGATTCTTCGAAATTGAGTTTGTTCTCAGTTGTAAGAGATGTGAGGTTTCTATCGATTATGAAACAAAGACTTCTACTGACAACCAACCCATTGAAGGGCCGGAAACGCAGTGGCTGTTGCCAAACTCTGAATAGTGAGAGATAGACTTGCAATTATTTAGCCATTTTGGTCAGCTATTTATCGGAAGGAAAAATCGAAAAACATGAAGGACGGAGCGAAGATGGGAAAACCATGGTTTGCGGAAAACCTCGCACTTTATAATTCGCCTGAAGAACAACAAGTCGAATACTAAGCCATAAAGTGTTTATAGCTAAAAAGTTCAATATGTAAAAAATTCATACCAAAATCCCAAATCACGTTTACTTTGACACCAGAAAATCAGAAGCCAAAATTAGATATACAGATCTTGATCACGTGATTTTCGAGAAACCCTAGAATGTCGGCGAAATTGTCCTTAAAGGAGCTCAGTGATCCAGATGCACCAGGTGAAGACATGCATGTGTAGGAGTAGTAAATTCTCTCACACACACTGTCAAAATACTGACTCGGTTGGTCGAAGAACAGTAGAATCGAGCGCGAAGGGGGCGCCCCATCCCGCGCATCAAAATGCCAAGTGAGAAGTGTTAACCGTATGAGTACAGCCTCGCTGAGTTCGTCCACAATGCACTCCACAAGCCATTCGAGCAGGTTGTTCGTGGACAAAGACCTCCACCCTTTTCTGAAGTCACTCTTCCTGAGATACTGGCATATTTTCACCAGGGATATGGTATCCGCATCAAGTTTATGGTGTTGATTTATGGCGTTTGCGAGCTCCGGTGTACTTAAGTACCATGCGATGAGTGCTTTTAATGCGGTCTCAGCTCCATTTAGGAGAAAACATCGAGGGATTGGAAACTTTCAAATTCAGCGGATGGTCATGCAAATAATATTGTCAACCCACCGTAGACCCTGCTTCTATCGGCATTGCGAGAGCTCTGAAGCTCGAGGAATCGTTCTTCCACTTCGAGCAGACGCATTTCCTTAACTGAGGCTCGTCCCCAGCTCTATTTATGCTGCGTTCAGACATGTTCGCTGGGCATTGACACTAATCTTACAGTACATTTCAGTAAAATTGAATTTCAATTTTACTGAATAATCGTGTATTCGACTAGGTGAAACTTTTTTTCATAGGTCAGGGCCTGTCCTCGGATGCGCAGTATTACAACCGCCGAAAGTCCCCTGGTGGTGCCTTATCCCTGGTTGGACAAGAAAATAATGAGGTTCCGCTGCGAGGTCCTAATGTCTACCGTCTTTCCGCAAGGAGTGCACTCAAATGGTTCGATGTCGATCAAAGTCTATATTTCTCCAGCTCAGATCTAGTCTCATAGCTACAATATGTCCAGTATTAACTTGGAATAGAGATGGCGCTGTGGATTTGAATCAAGTTTGACTAGGCAACAGGCGCGCCGCCCCCTTGAAATATTCACCTAAATATGTAGACGTCCTCGCTTATGAGTAATTCTTAATCACGCGACTGACTGGGCTAACATTATCTAGTCTAGCCTGCATTTCTTCCTTCGATTTTCTCTTTTTTGCCATTCCCCTAATGATGAAGGCATTTTCGCATCCATGATGCAATGGGGACATTTCAACTCAAGTCCAGCAGCCTCGGAATTGTGCCTCGATGCCCATGACGGTAAGCTTTGCTGAGGCTTTGCTTGATTGCTCGGCCTGCTTAGTACATTTACTTTGATCCTCGAATGTGGCGGCTGATTCCTCCTTCATCTCACACAGTGTATACATTCATCAATGGTAAAGTCAATTGTGGAATTTCGAAGCGCTGCGTACAACGAATTCGACCCCTGTCGATGACAGCTAATTGGCTGAAGTCTAGGGATATTGCCAAAGCTACCAGTAAGGAGATGTTAAGTGTGACTTGGTAGAATCAACTCCACGGCATTGCTCTTGGTGCTTTCGTTTGAATCTGTCCTGCATTCCATCGATCGCGGACACCGCAGGCATGACTGTGACTATAAGAGATCAGAGTTCGCTCCCAGCCTTGTCACATTCAATCGATCAATTTCCTTATCAGACTCCCAAGCTCACTAGCTACGAAAGGTCCAAGTATAGCAATGTGCACATCTTAGTGTATTTGGCACCTTGCTGACCCTTTATACAGATGTGTAGGACCAGAGCTTAATCAACACCAAATAACGATCGCATCACATTTGGAGCATCCTATATCGGTTTCGGACTGCTTTCCACAAAAGCATGGGTGCTTGACATCTGCATTTAAAGCTGAACGGACATCCACAGCGGTGTCTACCACTTGCTGGCCACAGAATGATACATTGGAGTACGTTATATTCTATGATACGAATACTTCGACCTGGCACTAATCCGCGATACAATAATTAGCTTGTTTCAGTACCTCTGCATTACTCCTAGCCATCAGTCGCAATCCTTTTCTCCCGAGATCTCATTCATTGTTGAAACCTCAAAAGAGTGTGGTATACGGAAGCTTGATGATACCATTCCATCCAAGAGACAGGGATTACCATACCTGCTTCCTCGCCCGACGAAGACGACCGGAAAAGGTTTGCAGTAATTAATAAACAAACACTGAAAATAGCTAAGTTAATCATTTTCCGTCAGAGCTATCAGAAAGTGATCGTGCAACTGTGGCAACAATAGATTCGAAGCTCAATACGATTAGTTCTCCTGCTCTAAGAGCAATCTATCAGCGACAAATCAAATCACTGAATGAGCAAACCTCTCTCCGCCTTTTAGTTAATGGACAGAGGATACGGGGAAGCAAAAACGGAAGAAACCATTGGGATGCCCGGGACCCAGCAAATACAAGCCAGAGATGCTTCAGGACCATCGTAGGTGATTCCGGGCTCTTGGTTGCTTTAGCTGACGGTGAAAAGAGCGCCAAGGAATTATATTTAATATCATATACGGAAATGATGGAAGACCAGGTTCTGTGGAGAAATTCTACAAGACTTTGAAGACGGTCACGATAAAATTAGAGGATCGAAAGACGTTACTGAGGTGTTTGACGGTTCGCAAAATTGAGTCTACGAAGAGGATAAGGGCTGCCAGTATGTTAACACTAAGATCGGATTGCCACTCAATCATCATTGACTCGCCATAGGTGCAAAATACATCGTCACCAAAGCCTTTACTTTTCATACAAATACAAGAGACAAAGGACCACGCCAGAGAAGTATTTGCGTCTACTGTAAACGACCCTTTATCCGCCTAGGAAATCTCAAGCGCCACGTAACAAGCAGATGTCCAAAACTGGCTTATGGCCTTTGAGTTATTCTCGTCCACTGTCATATCCAAACCAATCAAACCAATAGTCTTTGAACAGAGGCACTTCACCACTTCTATAGCGTTTGTGAGACAAGTCATTGAGCATTGGCACCTACCTTACAATACTTTCAATAAATTATATTCCATTACGGAAATCTTGTGTGTTGGATAGAGTGGAACAATGGTTTTCGGTTGATAGGGTAAGTATCAATCTTAGATGCACAGTAGCGAAAGCGGTGGCAAACCCCCGAGGTAAGAGCCAACCCGTTGTGGTGAAAGCATACAGCTCCTGGAGTTTTGGGGGGCATCCTGCTTTGCCGACATGC